TAGTCGTAGGATAGCCAAAGACAACCCATTTATACGCCTTATGCTTTGCCCAATACGTCCTATAATACTCCCTATATAAGCCTTGCTCTGTTAATCTCCTGATGTGCCCATGCCCTAGACGCGTTAGCCCCTGGCTATCTAGCAAAGCAAGACTCTCAAAGTACGTGGCGGGCTCACCATTCCACCACGCTTGCCACGTGGATGATCCACGTGGGCAGAGACAGCGCGTTGGAGGGCTCGTCAGCCAATGAGAGCGCGCCGAGCAGCAGCAGCTGATTCAGGGCCAATGCGCCATCGCCAGCTGTCCCCGCCGCGGCTGCTGCTAACGAGCTGACTTCAGCACTATTCACTGCAGCAACGGCTGAAGGGGCGACGACAGCACTCAAGGCTGTGACTGAAGCGAGTGTGGGGATTGCGCGCGATAGGGAAGGGGATGTGACACTATCGGAATGTCGCGAATCCGCAGCTTGAGGAGGGGTGGAAGAAGAAGAGAAGGTTCCTGCCGGCTTCCGTGATTCTGCAGATAGTCGTGTCGCGACGGGAGATACGGACGTCTTTAGTAGAGCCAGTGGCCGCAGCGGTCCTACTAGTGGTCTCGCCTCATAAGACCCTTTGAAACGCAGCAGCGTCTGCGCAAGCGAGACGCGAGAGGCCACGGAGGAATCTACATTGAGCTGAGCGGATGGCGGCTGTTGCGTGGCGTGGGTAAGGGCCGGCACTGACGCTCGCATCCTGCTGGCAATGGTGGCCATGGCGAAATCGTGCTGGTGTCGAAAGTGGTTATCGCAGTGACGCTGTTTTTAATAGGGCAGTAATAATTTGGTTCGGTTGTACATCACGGATCTGTGGCGCAATGGTAGCGCGTCTGACTCCAGATCAGAAGGTTGCGTGTTCGATTCACGTCAGGTTCAAAGCCTGCATTTTGGCATTTGTTGATTTCTCCTGTCGCTTTCGCATTTTGTCCCTACCTGCTCGTTCCTCCTCCACACCACTTCATGGCTCCTTTCCTGCAGCGCGATGCCCGGCAAGACCCTATTCAACCACGTGTTGCCCGTGCTGGCGCGCAATGGCAACGCCAGTCCTTTTCTCAATGGCTTGTCTGTCGTCCGGAGTCTGAAGGAACGCGATAGCAGGAGTAGCCGGTTTAAGTTACGAGTACCTCGCCCAGGCTGGAGGTTTTTTAGGCGCCTAAAAAATCCTCGCCCAGGCTGGAGGTCCCAAAGCTTTCTTTCTTCTTGCTCTCCTTCGTCTTTTCCGTTTCCCTCCTGACCGCCAAGTCACATTCCATGGCTTGGCGGTAATGTGACTTCGTCTTTCTTTCTTCTTGCTCTCCTGACCGCCAAGTCACATTCCATGGCTAGTAACGGCCCGCGGAGGAGGCGGCTTACTCGCGAAACGGTGTCTTATGTAGCCTCCTCTTTGGAAGGACCTTCCAGAATGGCCGTAGTTCTGGCGGAAACCGGAGCGGGCCGTGCGGAAGCGGATGTGGGAACGGCGGAAACGGCGATTGACTTGGCGGAAACCGGCGCAAGTCGCGGAAGGAAACGCCCAGCAGCGTCGCAAACGGCTCTCGTAATCTCAGCCGTTGGATCGTCTCTCGCAACAACGCCGGTTTCGCGAGGCTCGCGAAGTTCGGGAGGCCGGCAGGCGAAGCCAGTAGTGGAGAAGCGTCTAACTCGTTTTCTTTCGAAGCCGTCGCGCGCCGTGCTGGACCGTATAGAGCGCGCCTACGTTCACCGCCTGTACTTAATCGGCTTCGACTGGCCCCGCGCGCCCCGCGCAGCTGGCGGAGCTGGCGGGGGCGCGAGCGGGGGAACTGTTGCGCCAGGCGCTGGCACGGGGGGTGGTGCAGGCGATAGTGCTAGCCTCGCTCTGGCTCTTCCGCCTCCGCGCACGCCGCTTCCCCATAACCAGCCGCCTCGGCTCTCTCAGTCCCCCTCCTCTCGGTCCTCGCCGTTTTCTCAAAACACGGAAATCAGTACTCGTGGCGGCATGTCCTCACCGCGTTCGCCCGCCACTGGCTTACCAGCGGGCGCCCTCGCTCTTGCAGCTCCCCCCACTTCCGCTCTTCCCGCCCCCCACACTCCCTCCTCCGCCCCCCCCGCCACCTCCTCCCCCCTCCGCCCCTGCTCCTGCAACTTCCACGTGCTAGGCGCAACCGGCAACGTGTACACAGTTACCATCTCGCAACAGCCCTCCTGCACTTGCCCTGACAGCGGCAATGGCAACCTGTGCAAGCACATTCTCTTTGTGCTGCTGAGAGTGCTTCGGGTGGATCAGGACGATCCGCGCGTGTGGCAGCGGTCGCTGCTTTCCACCGAGCTGAACGAGCTTTTGGATAGAATAGACGATCTGGAAAGGAGTACGGCTGCTGCCGCTTCAGTTGTTGATGAGGATGGGGAAGATGTTTTGGCGAGCCGGTCAGTGAGAGAGCAGTTTGCACGCGTTGCAGGGGGGGCGTTAAGCTCTGATGGTTCGGGGCCAAACAGTGCAGCTGGCAGTCAGGATGCAGTTGGGGAGTCGGATCAGAAGCCGAAGCAGCGGCCGATTGAGGGTGACTGCCCGATTTGCTACGAGCCTCTGAGAGGGGCAGCAGCAGGGGGGCGAGGTGGGAAGCCAGCAGAGGCGGTGGTGTTCTGCCAGCGGTGTGGCAACAACGTTCACTCGGACTGCTTCTCACGCTGGAAGGCCGCCAAACGGGGAGGCTTGGTGACTTGTGTTTGGTGCAGGGCTCCTTGGGAGGACGAGAGCACTAGGAACACGGCACGGCGTAGTCATGTTGTGGATTATGACAGTGATGATGATGAGGAAGAGGAGGGACCTCAAGAGTATGTGAATCTGTCACAGTATTCTGATGCTCACAGGCATGCGGACACCAGTTTGGACTCCCTGTATCCGGACACACACATGTTCTTTGGCGGAGGGAGGAGACGGGGGCGATCGTGGTGGTAAATGAAATGTTGCTTCTTTCCTGTCAATCCAGCTTTCTGCATTCTGACTGCCGGTTTCGTTTGCAGCACACCTTACATGGCTGGTTTGGAATGAAACGAGGGTGTGACACAGTGGAACCTGTGTGTGTAATGGGCAGTGTACTACTGGTATGTACCTCTCTACGTGTGTGCTTGTGCCTGTGTAAAAGGCCAGGAGTAGGTATTCCTATGATACTCCTATGCATGCAATGTCAAGGTCAATAGGTAAGTCTAGTCTGAAACACGTTTTGTCACCCTGTATCCTTTGCTGAGAAGACAAAGGACTTAGCTACGTAGATGCAGGAGTCTAACATCCAGAGTCCTCGTGCTAGCACCGTAGCTTATTCATACCATAACTATGTTAGAACGACCGATCATTGGGCCGCTTCCCGAAAGCAAAGACGAGCATCTCAGTTGTAGGGAATGGGGTTGAATGGTCCCCGGGGACCCCGAGGGATCCCAGACTTCTGGAGTGCGGCTTTGTGTTTCCCAGGGGAAGGAGCCACTCGCCTGGGAGATGGTGCTACTTTGGGGGGAAGAGACACTGGCAGAGGCTCCTGAGCTTGGTCAGGCCAGTGGCACATCCCTGCAATCTCTTCCTCCGTTGGAATCTCCAGGCGGCGCTTCTGTGGCGTCCTTGACGTCTGTGCATCCGGCTGCACGGACCAAAACACACCCATGTTAGAAGTATGCCCCTCCACAAAATCCCATGCTGAGAAAAAGCAAGTCTGCACTTACCTTGAGGTCCTCCTCTAAGTATCTCTTCATGCATCCCTTCATGGCCTCGACATGTTGCTTCTGTTGGTCCAGTGTCATTGGCACTGCGTCAGATGACTCGGCAAGCGAGGATGAGATCTTCTTCAGCTCCTCCTGATTGGCACTGTGACTTTCTGCAAATGGGCGAGCATTTGATAGGTGTTCAGTACATGCAAGGTGGCTAGGATGATAGTGTTGAATTGGAACGCCATGGTTTACCTGAAAGCATAGCAGTGAGCTTGTTAGCTCCTTCATTGCACACCGCCTCAGCCTGTTCGTGGTAAGCTGATGCACTGTTGCCAAGGCTTGTTGACTCTACGTTGCATTCCCTGCCAACAAAAACCAATTAAGGTCAACGTTCTGATAGTAAAAGCACTCAAATCACAGAACAGCAGGTACAGCTGCGGAATAAAGAGGACAGTAAAACATCCTGTGACAAAAAACTTACCCAATGCTCTTTGCCATGCGGTCACAATGAGATTTGGAACGCGATGTAAGAAGTGACTGCTGTTCGTTGGCGTTTACAACCATCATCTCCACGCAGTCCCCACTGTATCAGGAAACGAGGAAGACACAAATGAGAACTCTTGTGTTTGTGTGAGTGTCTGTACGTATATGTGCAACATCAAGTGATTTTCACAATGTTATCAGGAGCGACATAAGGGAGGGGAGAGACGTTCAAAGGAAGAAGAGTAAGACGGAGAGTGTGAGGAGAGGAGGGGTGTAAGAGATGCGTACCACGAAGCCACCATCTTGCCAGCTTCAGACTTCTTGCGTGCAACTTCGTCTGAGGCCTCTGCATCTGCAGTGGCTTCCTTCTCCCGAAGATCGGCAATGACACCTGACATGTTCGAGAGGCCATCAACCACAGCAAGCCTTTTTTCATCGCTGGCGGAGCATAGCTTGTTCACGTTGGCGACCATGCGAGCAGTCTTCCCCTTGACCTAAATTGCAGAAACGAAAAGTTAGGATTCAACTGAGTTGAACAAAAAAAGACTGGAAGAAAGAAAAAGACAGGAAGAGTTAAGTTTGCACACGTACCACGTCCTTGGTGGTGGTCATTCCTTGCTGCGAAATTTCGGACACCGCCTCTATAATCCTTTTAACCTTCTGAACTTCAGCCTCCTGCAACCAGATTAATTGCAACAGTGAGCTGAACCCTTCACTGCAAAAGGGAAAGGAGTGCCAACTCTGCTTGCGACTCACCATCAGCTCGTTCACTAGGCTGTTCACATCCGCCTCATGAGTCTCCTTGTGCTGAGCTATCATCCCAGACCAAGCAGTTGTCTCATTATGCAACCGCTCAATGAGGCCATCCAGGGATGTGAGGGCAGAGGATGACACAGCTCTGCATTTCTCCGAGTGCTGCAGGACTCAAATGACATTGAATTAGTAGAAATAAACCTGAAAATCACGATAGAACGAAACCACACGTGCACACTCTAGCAAATCAACCATGCCTACCTGATTCCACCACACTTGCACATCCTCCCAGCCAGCAGAGATGCCTGCCAGCAGACTCTGGATCTGCTGTTGTGATGCCTTGGACGATACTGAAGCTTCTTCAAGTAACTGCAGACGAATGGCGCAGGGAAACAACAACCTTGTATGAGCATTAATTACTGTAAATGATGCAGCTTGTGCAGTCCCTGGAGCAATGAAAAGCGAACAAACCTTTTCCATCTCCTCTTGCTGTGGGCCGAGATCGTCCACCAGGGATTGGAGAGAGCTGTTGTTCTTGTCCACAAACTGCTGCACACGCTCCTTCATAAGTTGCGTCACACTCAACACCATCTGCCGCAACTGGGACACCTCCTCTGTCACTTTCCCCAAATCCTGCATCGGACATGCATTAGGAAGTCAGTCTCTGCGCTACAGACAATAATACTGGCACTCATTTAGGGGGGAAAGAACCACTCATTCTAGAGATACCTTAGTTGATTGACTGAGGACGCCTTCAAGACCCTGTGATGCTTGCCGGTCTTGGGAAGCAAGAGTCTCCATATGCTTGACCATGAAGGCTCGCACACCATCAACTTGATGGTCCATCTGCTGCTTCAAGGCTGCAGCCGCATCCTTGTTGTGGATGGAAGTCTCCTGCATTCTCTCTGGCAAAGAATCACTGTCAGTACAAGCATTTTCAGCAACATCTAGGGACGAAGAAATGACGTGATCATATAATTACCACGCTCACCTATCTTCTCGAACAATCGAGCAATGTCGTTATCAGCGTTGACGAGCTTTTGTCGAAGGCTCTGGCAAGTGGAAACAAGCTGCGACTCTGCCAGTAGAAAGAGGGTCGTGATGAGAGTCGTGTGGTTGATGAGAAAACTGGCAAGCACACATTGTTGGGGAAAGCAGAAAAGTTTGACACGAAAAAAGAACCAACAAGAGCACTTACCAGCTTCAGTCATTGCTGCAATTGTTGAAACTGCTCTTCTATGATCAGCTTCAGTCTTCTCCAAGGTTTGCGAAAGCGTCTCAACTTGTTCCTGGAGAGAAGCAACTTTTAAGAAAATTAAGATACGTGACCAGGAAAAACATCTGTATCGTTTCAGAAAGAACTTACGGGAAGTTACATCATGATTTCAGTTACCTTTAGGCCATCCCTCTCCTTTGTCATTTCATCCAGCTGGCCCGAAAATGTCTCCACTTGTTCATTGAGTTGCTTAATCTCCTGCACATGACAACACTCCTTTTCAGGTGCTGCTACGAGACTAAGAAGACTTGGCACTGGTGTAACAGGACATTTCTTACCTCCGCCCTCTGCTCCAGCTCGTCAGTGTTTTGGCCTATGAGGTCCGTGAGGGACTGCACCTGCCTTAGCAGGTTCTCGTGCTGCTGGACTGTCAGATGCACGCCATCCTTCTCGCGCTGAGCCTTCAGTTCTGAAACACGATGAGGCCATTTGAGTTACAGCAGGATGAATATCAGAAAGAACAACGAACGTGCAGGCAGACAAGTACCTTGCTTCAGCTTCTCAACCTCTCCTGCCATGTCCTTCAGCAGCTTCGACTTGGTCGTTCGTTGGTTAACCTGAAAATTAAGTGGAATGTCAGACTTCATGTTGGTTTCGGATTGCCAGATGAGAATGATGTGGCCATGCTCACCTCCGGCTTGTTCTTGATATTCTTAGCACGCTGAGCATACTCGAGCGTGTTCAAGGTCTCTTCCAAACAGAGAGCGACAGGAGAGACGGTGGCAATAATGCAAGTCTTCGTCCGCCCTCCTAGAGAGTCACGAAGCAACCTCGTGAGCTTGCTGTCCCTGCATCAAGCCACACAGCTTTCAGTACCTGTCTCATAATGAGGAACCATAACATTGACCGATTACAGTTATAAGGTATACCTGTAAGGAATGTGACCTGTGTGGTCAACAAGGGCTGTGATGACTCGTCCCAAGGTCAGAAGGCTCTTGTTGATCTCACCAGCTTCTCGTGCACGCCCCTGGAAAGAAACATTCAAGAAATTAGTACGCTGAAATCAGCCATCCTTAAGGTCTCACGCATCAGTACTCACGTCTTTGGCGCCAGATCGTCCTATGCACTCCGAACCAGCAAGGTCGACCAGGTTCAACTTCCCGCACTTGACCAGCTCCACACCCTCTGGAGTCGACTCCCTGACGTGAATAGTGATCGTGAATATGGAATGGGAGCGGCTGCACACGAAGTATACAAAGCACAGTACATACATATTGGATCAGATAGTTACAAAACAAGGAAAGCCCAAGCATGACGACGTGGTGCGAACGGACCTCGATTGCTTGTTTAGCATCGTCTCTGCAGTCCGTCTCTTGGCGGAACCCCTCTCAAGCAGCGTGAAGATGTCCGACGAGTTGTTGACAACCTCTTCTTCAAGTCCACGCACGATCACTCCTCCCTTCCCATCTTCCATCAAGGCGAGTGCCTTCTTTGGTTCCGCAGACAGCAGGATGTCATCTGGGGCCAGAAGATCTGTAATCTCTTCGTTGTAGAGCTCCAGGTAAGTGACTTTGATGCTGTACTCGGCCCCTTGACTGTCAAGCTTGTCAAAGATATGCTTAATGGACCTTGGGATGACTCCTGCTCCTTCTGGAAGTTGGCCATTCTCCTGCAAAAACAAACAGGCACGGTGTCAGTAAGGCAAACGAAAACAGGACCACAAATCTGGGCGCGATGTCACACTCACTCCGGCTCGGGTGACATCTCCTTGCATAGTATAGGTCTTCCCGGTCCCAGTCTGGCCGTAAGCGAAGATCGTGCAATTGAAGCCTTCCAAGACCTCGTCCACGATAGGTGCGATCGCAAGATTATACAGGTGATTTTGCTTCGACGTCGGTCCGAATACCTGCGATTATTAGCACATCCATCAAACCGTCAGCGAACACGACCTCCATCCTCTGTCATCCTGAGGATACATAATTGGCCACGCTATTGGTTTAGAGCTTACTCTATCGAAGTTAAACGGCTTGTCGCTTGACTTCCCCGCGACGTTATGGGTGACCATGACTTCTTTGCGGGATTCATTACACTTGACCACCTGTTGTGCTCGCAATCGAACATCTTCTGATGATATTGGCCTGCTCAAGAACGCGGCGACGAAGAGTTACAGTTCAAGTTCTATCGCTAGCTCAAAACAAGTACAACTGAGAATTTAGTACCTGCATCGCAATAAAACTTGGACATTAACTCCTTTGTCACTCTTGGACGCCATTACGTCCAATCTGGATCAAGTCGTGCCTAGTCCTAAACCGAGGCGGCAATGAATCTTGGAAGAAGGAACCGCCAAGCTATGCTCGACCTAAAGTACAATCCTGAGGACTATCAGATTCACTAGCAGTCAGAAAGGTTGCTGAGAGAAAGCTAGACCGGTATCCGTAACTCGACTTCCTGATGTGTCTGCTGAGGGACGGCTCGGGTCACTCATTCATCAGCAGGGACAACCAGAAGATCCTGTTGGACTATGAGGGTTCGTCTTTGCCCAGACCAGAAATGAACTTCGGGAGTTGCAGAAGTCTGTCCTTGTTGTGTCAGACCTCGGGATTGCCGCCTGAGTCTGAGAGTGCTTGTCAGTATTCAAATTTCTGGCGCGAAACCACAAAGTTCACTGTTAAAGGATCTCGATGCAAGGGGCGACACTGAACTTCGCGCATCGCTTGTGAGCCTCGAAGGGCCAGCTAAAATGAAAAAAACCTTACATCTCTTATCAAAATAGAAATAGAAAGCCAAACATAAAGCAGCAGAATCATGAAATCGAGTCTTAGTAACGAAACGGCAGCTGACTTAAGACCACAGTGCACATCCAAGTGCCTACAAGTCATGATCTACCATAACCTTGTTCAGTCCAGTACCGCCACTTATTCTTGCATGCTGACTACTGCAGCAGTGCACGGATGATGTGCTTTACATTAAGACGGCGCAGGTCAGTGTATGTCTGACCGCAGCCGACAAAAATGATAGGCGCACCCGACACATACACCATGGACAGGGCAGCACCGACCTGCTCACAAACAAACAGCAAGGGATTCATAAGCAATCTATTTGCTGATACCAATAAAAAACATGGCCATGGCCCACGACCCCAATATTCATACAGATTCATGGAACTTATCCAAGGTGACATACGATTAAGATTGGCAAAATCACCTCACCACTGTTGAGGCAAAACAAAAATTCGCTTCCGATAGTGTCTCACCTCACCTTCGTATGTATAGTGTCTAACCTTAAAACCAATGGCATCTCACATTATCATCAATGCCATCTCACCTTAACGCCAATTTTGTCTCACCTTATCATCAATGGTGTCAAACTTGGTGAGCAGAATGCCGTCAATGGCATGGGGAGTGGGGGCAGACGAGAGGTCAGCAAGGCGCTGGTTGAACTTGGTCAGCTGATCCACAGCATCATTGCCCACCAGCGCCTCCCCCACAAACAGAACCTGTTTCCATGGAATCGTGGCATGGGGAAGTGGGGGCACAGGAGAGGTCAGCCACAGCATCGTTGCCCACCAGCGCCTCCCCCACAACAAACAGAACCTGGTGACGCCCACGGGTCAATCACACAGGTTGACCCATTAGCACCATGCAATGGAAAGATGTGAGTCTAGTTTTGAGGCACCTCAAAACTAGACTCGTATCACGCGGGTCAATGACACAGGTTGACCCATTAGCATCGTGCAATGGAAAGATGTGACAGGCACCCAAAAAAAACAACCCCACATGAGAGCTTAAACAGCAAAACGGCAATCCGATGGTCAAATTTGGGCAGTAAGCTAGGGTTAATCTGAGCCGAAGCCATACCCACCAGGTCAGGCTCGTTAATGTTGATTAGTTTGGAGAGCGCGCGCATGAGCGGCTCGTTGTCCTGCATGCGGCCCGCCGTGTCGACCAGCACCGCATCCATCTTGGTGCGCGTCGCCTCCCGGATTGCCTCCTTCGCCACTGCTGCTGGGTCCTTCTCGTACCCGCGCTCAAACAGGGGGATCTGGTAAGTAAGAAAGGGTGAGGGAGGGAGGGAGAGTAGGGAGAGAGAATAAGCCTCCCGGATCGCCTCCTTCGCCACCGCTGCCAGGTCCTTCTCATACCCGGGGATCAAACAGGGGGATCTGGAGGGAGAGGGTTGGAGGAAGGAGGGGGGTAGAAGGTAGGGGAGAAAGGCTGACTCAAAATACTCCCTCACTGCCTCCTTCACCACAGTTGCCAGGTCCTAACCGTAGACGCCAGGCAAGTTTGCTGGACGCCAGGCAAGTTTGCTGGACGCCAGGCAAGTTTGCTGGACGCCAGGCAAGTTTGCTGGACGCCAGGCAAGTTTGCTGGACGCCAGGCAAGTTAGCTGGACGCCAGGCAAGTTGGCTGGATCTGAGCGCCCACCCAAGAGCATAGAAGCACGCATCTGAGCGCACAGAAGCGCCCACCCGAGAGCATAGAAGCACGCATCTGAGCGCACAGAAGCGCCCACCCGAGAGCATAGAAGCACGCATCTGAGCGCACAGAAGCGCCCACCCGAGAGCATAGAAGCACGCATCTGAGCGCACAGAAGCGCCCACCCGAGAGCATAGAAGCACGCATCTGAGCGCACAGAAGCGCCCACCCGAGAGCATAGAAGCACGCATCTGAGCGCACAGAAGCGCCCACCCGAGAGCATAGAAGCACGCATCTGAGCGCACAGAAGCGCCCACCCGAGAGCATAGAAGCACGCATCTGAGCGCACAGAAGCGCCCACCCGAGAGCATAGAAGCACGCATCTGAGCGCACAGAACGAAGAAAGACGCACACAAACACCGAGAGCATAGAACACGCATCTGAGCGCACAGAAGCGCCCACCCGAGAGCATAGAAGCACGCATCTGAGCGCACAGAAGCGCCCACCCGAGAGCATAGAAGCACGCATCTGAGCGCACAGAAGCGCCCACCCGAGAGCATAGAAGCACGCATCTGAGCGCACAGAAGCGCCCACCCGAGAGCATAGAAGCACGCATCTGAGCGCACAGAAGCGCCACCCGAGAGCATAGAAGCACGCATCTGAGCGCACAGAAGCGCCCACCCGAGAGCATAGAAGCACGCATCTGAGCGCACAGAAGCGCCCACCCGAGAGCATAGAAGCACGCATCTGAGCGCACAGAAGCGCCCACCCGAGAGCATAGAAGCACGCATCTGAGCGCACAGAAGCGCCCACCCGAGAGCATAGAAGCACGCATCTGAGCGCACAGAAGCGCCCACCCGAGAGCATAGAAGCACGCATCTGAGCGCACAGAAGCGCCCACCCGAGAGCATAGAAGCACGCATCTGAGCGCACAGAAGCGCCCCCCACCCCCCCCCGAGAGCATAGAAGCACGCATCTGAGCGCACAGAAGCGCCCACCCGAGAGCATAGAAGCACGCATCTGAGCGCACAGAAGCGCCCACCCGAGAGCATAGAAGCACGCATCTGAGCGCACAGAAGCGCCCACCCGAGAGCATAGAAGCACGCATCTGAGCGCACAGAAGCGCCCACCCGAGAGCATAGAAGCACGCATCTGAGCGCACAGAAGCGCCCACCCGAGAGCATAAGGGCACACACCTGCAGCCTCCTGGCGTGCGTCCTAAGCTGCTCCACGGCCCCGGTGCGGAAGGTGTCGCACGCCGCCACAATGACCTTGATGTCGTGCTGGGACAGCCAGCCAGTGCAGGCAGGCAGGCAGGCATGCATGCACCCTACACCTGTACATGACAAACCCTTAAGAGCACGCACCTGCAGACGCCTGGCATGGGTCCTGAGCTGCTCAACAGCGCCCGCGCGGAAGGTATCGCACGCCGCCACCATGACCTTGATGTCGTGCTGGGACAGCCAGTACGCCACCTTGGCTAGATTGGTCGACTTGCCCACCCCATTCACCCCAACGAACACCACCACGTAGGGACGATTCGCCTCCTTGGCAGCCTGGTACAGTACGGGTGGAGAGGAAAGGATGCAGTTTACTTGTATCCCAGGCAAGGCTAGGTAGAGAACGAGAGGGGCGCTTGCCCACTTTACTGGTATCCCAAGACAACATCATGTAGCGAACAATGGCATGCAAGAAACGAGATCTAAGGGGGTGACTGTTGTGCAAGGGATAAAAGGGGGTGCTCACCTGCACGTCCCGGAGAATGTCAATGGAGCGCTTGGGGGTGAGGATGCGCGTGAGAGCCTCCTCCATGGCAGCCTGCAGGCACGGGCATGGAGGAAGGGAGGGGGGCGATTGAAGGGAGGGGGGCGATGGGAGGGAGGGGGAGGAACAAACGGGCAGGGGATGGCAGACGGGAAAAGGAATGGCAACGCAGGTGAGAGCGCCTCATCGATGGAGCGCTTGGGAGTGAGGATGCGCGTGAGAGCCTCCTCCATGGCAGCCTGTTCTCATGATGGGTGGGATGGAGGGAGACAGTAGAGGGAAGGGAGCAACGCAGGCTAATCACATTGCGGTGCGTGGGAGTGAGTGAAAATGCGAAGGACAGCCTCATCCATGACAGCCTCATCCATGACAGCCTCATCCATGACAGCCTGCCCTGCAGGCACCCATTGTTGCGAAATACTCCCCCTCACCTGAACAGTGGACGAGATGCGGGTGAAGGTCACCTGCTTGCTGCTACTCATTCAGATTTAAGAAAACATGCATGGTACCCCCTCACGGTAACCCCTCACCTGGTAACCATTATCCCTTGCTATCCCCTCTCTCACCTGAACAGTGGAGGAGATGCGGGTGAAGGACGCCTGTTTGCTGCTAGTCAATAAAATACACGCGACAAATTGCATGGTAAACCCTCACCTGGTAACCCTCCCTTATTAACCCCTCACCTGAACAGTGGAGGAGATGCGGGTGAAGGACATTTTCCCCTCACCTGGTAACCCTCCCTTATTAACCCCTCACCTGAACAGTGGAGGAGATGCGGGTGAAGGACGCCTGTTTGCTGCTAGTCAATAAAATACACGCGACAAATTGCATGGTAACCCCTCACCTGGTAACCCTCCCTTATTAACCCCTCACCTGAACAGTGGACGAGATGCGGGTGAAGGACGCCTGCTTGCTGCCCACCAGGCTGGTCGCCACAGAGCGACACAGCTTCTCAGCTATCTCCTCCGCCTGATCGGGCAGCGCAAAAAAGAAAAAAAAACGAAAACAGGGAGGAGTTGGACTCAAGGAAACACAAACGGACTCTAGGAATGGCAAAAGAGGTTGGCAGTAGGTGACGGCGAAAGGTGTGACAGGAGGGGATGGCAGGAGGGGGTGACAGGAGGGGGCGACAGGAGGGGGCGACAGGAGGGGGCGACAGGAGGGGGCGACAGGAGGGGGCGACAGGAGGGGGCGACAGGAGGGGGCGACAGGAGGGGGCGACAGGAGGGGGCGACAGGAGGGGGCGACAGGAGGGGGCGACAGGAGGGGGCGACAGGAGGGGGCGACAGGAGGGGGCGACAGGAGGGGATGGCAGGAGGGGGCGACAGGAGGGGGCGACAGGAGGGGGCGACAGGAGGGAGCGACAGGAGGGGGCGACAGGAGGGGGCGACAGGAGGGGGCGACAGGAGGGGGCGACAGGAGGGGGCGACAGGAGGGGGCGACAGGAGGGGGCGACAGGAGGGGGCGACAGGAGGGGGCGACAGGAGGGGGCGACAGGAGGGGGCGACAGGAGGGGGGCGACAGGAGGGGGCGACAGGAGGGGGCGACAGGAGGGGGCGACAGGAGGGGGCGACAGGAGGGGGCGACAGGAGGGGGCGACAGGAGGGGGCGACAGGAGGGGGCGACAGGAGGGGGCGACAGGAGGGGGCGACAGGAGGGGATGGCAGGAGGGGGCGACAGGAGGGGGCGACAGGAGGGGGCGACAGGAGGGAGCGACAGGAGGGGGCGACAGGAGGGGGCGACAGGAGGGGGCGACAGGAGGGAGCGACAGGAGGGGGCGACAGGAGGGGGCGACAGGAGGGGGCGACAGGAGGGGGTGGCAGGAGGGGGCGACAGGAGGGGGCGACAGGAGGGGGCGACAGGAGGGGGCGACAGGAGGGAGCGACAGGAGGGGGCGACAGGAGGGGGCGACAGGAGGGGGCGACAGGAGGGGGCGACAGGAGGGGGCGACAGGAGGGGGCGACAGGAGGGGGCGACAGGAGGGGGCGACAGGAGGGGGTGGCAGGAGGGGATGGCAGGAGGGGATGGCAGCACCCGATAGCTTACCACGTTCTTGGCCATGAGGCGGTCCTTGAGCACCTTGAGCGACGGCTCTATGTCCTTCAGCTCCAGGGACGCCTTGCCCACCACGCTGACAGGGGAACACAGCAAGACGGGGGACAACGATTGAGGCCGCGGCAAACATGGGTGCATGCAGCGAATGGGATAATGCCAGCTCAATGGTGTGGACTCGATGGTATGTCCCCACAGCAGCAGGGACGCCTTGCCCAACATGCTGGCAGGGGAACATAGAACGACCGGGGACAAATTTTGGGGCCTCCGCAAACATGGGAGGATGCAGCAAATGGGATAATGCCAGCTCAATGGTGTGGTGTGGACTCAATGTTATGTCCCACCACAGCAACAGGGACGCCTTGCCCAGCACTCCAGCAGTTAAAGGAGTCAATTTCTGAGACGCCTAAAAAGTGGACTCCTCAATGGTGTGGACTCCTCAATGGTGTGGACTCCTCAATTGTATGTCCCCCCATAGCAGCACGGATGCTTTGCACCCAACTCAACCGCAGAACCCCCAAGCCCACTCTTGCTGAAACCCCCTTGATCCCGGCACCTCTCCTCGTACCTGTGGAACACAGACGCCAGCCAGACGATCTTCTTCCCCTCGATCCTACGTTTTAAAAACGTCTCATTCCCCCACCCCCACTACTTCCCTCGTATAATTATGAGGCGCCTCAAAAGAACCCCCCCCCCTCCCCCCCCCCCCGTCTTCCGTACCTCTGGAAAACAGACGCCAGCCAGCCGGTCTTCTTCCCCTCGCTGCCATCATCCCCGCGTCCCACACGCCTGCGAGACCCCTTCCCCTTCCCCTCCGCTTCCTCCTCCTCATCCTCAGTCTCCTCCTCCCATTCCGCCTCCTCCTCCTCCTCGAGCTCCTCCTCTCTATCCATCATGCTCTTCCCTACCTTCTTAACATCAACCACCTCCACGTCAGTATCATGGTCGGAAGATTCCGAGAAGTCCTGCCGCTCCAGAGCCGGACCTTCGTTATCCCACTTCCGCATCTGCTTCTTCGGCTTCTTCGTCTCGCCTTCCGACGCGTTTCCGTCACCTTTTCCGTCAGCTTTCCCGCCTTTCCCGGGCTTGAGCGGGAAGTCGAAAAATCCGTTACCCGGTTTTTTCGCCGGAGCCTGCTTGCTGCGGTTGGCCCGGTTACGAAGCTTCGAAACGTCAAACGCGCCGGAGGATGCGACGGCAGAGCTGCTACCGGGACGGCTAGCCGGCTGCTCTGCCTCGCTGTTTGCCGCTCCGTCCTCGTCGCCCGTCTCGTCGCTCCCGCTGCCTCCGTCGTTATCCTTCGCGAGTCCTCCCTTCCGCTGCTTGGCCCCTGCTCCCTTCCCTTTACCCGCTCCTGCGACCTTGTGCATGTCTTTGCCCTTCTTCGTCTCGCCGAAATTGGTAACCTGCTTCGGTCGCTTCAGCTCGTTCGCATGCTGCTCGGCTTCGCGAAGCAGCTGTTTAAAAACGTCGTCAAAATCCGGATAGGCCGTCTTCTTCGGATCATAATGACCGTCAGCAAACTCATCCCTGACGGCCGTCAGCAAATCGTCCACATACAGCAGCTGCAGGATCCGCTGGTACACCGCGACGAAAACCAGCCCTAACTCGTTATGGAAGGACCACTTTAACGTATAAGCCGACTGATCCTTGGCGTTATACTGAAATGTTTTCTCGCCGGATCGCTCCTGGAGTAGGCAGTTCTGGATGAGCGCGTCGATCGGCGAGCCCTTCATGGCGGTCATCTGGAACGTCCAGAGGACCAGCCCGCCTCGCGTGAAGATAGAGAAATGGTCCAACATGGCGACGGCTGCTGCTCCTGCTCGCGATGCGACTCCTGATCACGGTCACAGAACAAGCTATAAAACCTTACCAGAGCTACTCCTAATCTGGGAAATGACTGTCCGAATTGTGGGGATCCACAATCAGAGCCTTCGAAGTCTGGACTCCAGACTCTGGAGTCCAAACCAAACCAAACCACACCGAATCTGGGAGAAAGCACAAAAGTCGGTGGAGACTGACGGAGCGAACTGAATCCCGATGACCCTAACGGTGGAACTGACGGAGATCGGGGAGGTGTGCGGCTGGTGGGGTTGTTTGAGGATTGTCGAAGGGTTACCATGCCATGCGAGATTCGCCCCGTCTCAAGTGACTGTACTAAACTAACACTTAACCATAGAATTCTGGTATGACTCCTCTTTATAGGAATAACAATGATGAAGTTTTAACAACTATGGCATTCCACAATCGGATATATACACGCCATCCGCGAATACAATAACAATGGCTAAAACAATAAACCGCACACTATACACACACGTCTGTGCTGTGCCGTGATTTCAAGCACACCTTGAAGAACCCCATAAAACAAGGGCAGCGAAAGCAAACGCAGCCCTACTGACAGCACCTGCAAAATAATGCTTCATCAATCCTCTTCACTGCTTTCGGCTGGGAGTAGGGGCAGCCCCACTGCCCGTCCAAACACAAAGGTCTTTAGCAGGGGTGGCACCTGCACTTGTGCGAGCCAGGTGCTCAGAGTATCGCCCTCCACTGTCTCGTTCTCTGGTTCATACGAGTGTGTAAATGAAGCATGGGATTATGGGGGGAGAGCATGTGATCATGGGAAAAGATGCATGACATTCTGGGAGAAGGCACATTGCAGGCAAACGAGAACAACAAAACTGTTTCGGGAAAGCCTCACGCACGACCATTCACCAGGCAATCTCACCTTGCAGCATCCTTCCCAGGTCTTTCAGCAGGCCTCTGTTGCACACGAGCACTACCCGAGCCACCTCCAGAGCCGCCTGCTGGAGCTGCTGCACCTCATCCTGCGCCTGTTCAGACAACCTTTTCTGAGACATCTCAAACCCACATTCTCACCTTGCAGCGTCCTTCCCAGGTCTTCCAACAGTCCTCTATTGCACACCAGCACTGCTCGAGACACCTCCAAAGCCGCCTGCAGCAGCTGCTGCACCTCATCCTGCACCTGGTCTACTGACCCCACTCAAAGTCAACCCACCCACACTGCTTCACACCAATAGCATTCTCAATCTCACCTTGCAGCGTCCTTCCCAGGTCTTCCAGCAGCCCTCTGTTGCACACCAGTACTGCTCGAGCCACCTCCAGAGCCGCCTGCAGCAGCTGCTGCACCTCATCCTGCACCTGGTCCGACAGCCTCCCCTGGTCCTTGCCTCCCCAGGAAAACCCTCCCCCTCCGTCCAGCCCCCCTCCTGCTAGGGTGCCTACTGACATAGGCCCCACGGTCCCACTCAGACCGTATTCTGCGACAGCCTTGTAGGCTACGTCTGTAGCGCGGCGGATGTCGTCCACCGCTCCTGTAGAGATTCTCCCGCCGAAGCAGACATCTTCTGCCGCCCGGCCGCCGAGAAGGACGGCGAGCTGGCCGCGCAGCTCGTCCACAAAGACTAGAAGACGCTCCTCGCCATCCGCTGGGGGCGGCATGTATGCGAATCCCAAGGCGCCGCCCGATCTGGGGACGATGGAGATTTTCTGGACTACCCGCTGGTCAGGTAAAACTTTTGCAATGGCTGCCCCCAGCAGCGCATGGCCTGCTTCGTGCCGCGCCACCACGGCTTTTTCTGCCCGACCAAGAGCTGACCGTTTTTTCTCAATTCCCTGTAGGAAAAGGCAGAAAAAAATGAACACATATTTAGAATGTTTAATAAAAACTTAATCAGACCTACATCATGATCACACATCATGGTCACACATTTTGATTACACACCATAATAGTCACACTCACCGCAAGAGCCCGTTCGACAGCGTTGTCAAAATCCTGCCTGGTGACCTCGTCTTGATCCCTCCGTGCTGCCAAGAGTGCCGCCTCATTCACCAGATTGGCCAGATCGGCACTGGAAGGAGAAGGGGAAAATGGGACAGATAGTACGGAGTTATGCAGGAGCCTTTTCGGACGTGTGGGGGAGAACGCTCGGGAGTAGGTGGGGAGCTAGGGGGAGGCATCATGAGGGCTGCATGATCTCAGGAGTGGAGTATGCTGCAACTCAGTCACTCTCTCCTTTCCCGCGGCAGAATAGCACGGCCACGTAAGCAGTGTGTAATGAGCCTATTTTTGAGCAGACTCAAAAATAGACTCACTCATTTTCCGCTGCAGAAAAGCACGGCCACGTACGCAGTGTGTAATGAGCCTATTTTGAGCCAACTCAAAAATAGACTCACTCCTTTTCCGCTGCAGAATAGCACGGCCACGTACGCAGTGTGTAATGGGCCTATTTTTTAGCCGACTCAAAGACTCACTCCTTTTCCGCTGCAGAATGGCACGGCCACGTACGCAGTGCGTAATGAGCCTATTTTTGAGCCGACTCAAAAGTAGACTCACTCCTTTTCCACTGCATAATAGCACTGCCACGTAAGCAGCGCCAATCAACCCGCGATCCAGTGGCGGCAACGGCAACCTCTTAGATGCTCACATTGATGCTCGAAGGAAAGTTCTCACACTGTGTAAGTAACCCATATTACCACAGCAGACCATCTCGAAACATCTCAAACCATCATAAAACGTCTCAAAACGTCTCAAAACGTCTCAAAACGTCTCACGACAACTCACCCTGTGAATCCAGTGGTAGCAACGGCAATCTCTTGGATGTTCACATCGTTACTAAGAGGCAGCTCCTTCCAAGCTGCAACCCTGTCCTCACGTCAACCCATATCAAGCCATCCTTGAACAACTCACCCGGTGAATCCAGTGGTAGCAACGGCAATCTCTTGGATGTTCACATTGTTACTCAGCGGCAGCTCCTTCTGCTCTATGTGCACTGTCAGTATGGCCTCCCGCCCCTTGCGGTCAGGGGGCTCCACCTGTGGAAAATACAGAAGCAATGAGGCGTATTCGCAGGGAACACATGCGTGTTTATGAGGGTGCCGCAGCTCCTTCTGCCCCACGTGCATTGTCAGTATGGCCTCCCGCCCCTTGCAGTCAGGGGGCTCCACCTGTGCAAGCGAGCCATGAGTACGCAAGGAAAAACACGCTTGTCTATGTGTGGGTGTCGCCTCAAGAGTGGGAGCATTTTGAGACGCCTCAGAAGCACAGGCACAGAAGCACCACTCTTCTCACCTTCTCAAATGACATCAAAAGCTTGCCCCTCCCAGCTTCTCACCGCAACGATTCTGTCAAAGCGGCCCGGTCGGCGGAGGGCCGGGTCAATGACGTCCGCTCTGTTGGTGGCGGCCAGGACGATCACTGCCGTGCTGCTGTCAAACCCGTCCATCTCCTGCCGGTAGAATAAAGGGGGAACCCGGGGGGGAGGAGGGGTTAGAAGAGGGGGGGTTGCAGAGGGGGGCTGCTGCCAGGACGATCACTGCCGAGCTGCTGTGTAAGCCATCCATCTCCTGCGGTGTGCGGGACGGAGTGCAGGGTGGGAGGGAGCACCGTGTGGCCGAATGCGGCATGTGGAAGGCAACGCCGTTTGCTCTGTTTACGGCTGCTGCTGCTGACGTGCTGCTCTCATAGCATCCTCTGTCGCAGTACTATTGAAGTGAGACGTAAAAGAACATGAGTTACCCCTGATGCCAGGATTCAGTTACTCCTGAAGGTCAAGAAAAGGTCGTCTCAGCAGCCGCACATATCAACTCAGTCGGCAGCTGGTTGAGCGTGTGCTCCCTCTCGTCATTGCCCACACTGCACATGCATGCATGTGGCACACCCACATGTGGGACATCCACACGTGGCACACCCATGCGTGGCACACCTACCCGCACGTGGTCAAATATACACCTAAACCCTAAGCTCAACTTACCGTCAAGAGTTGGTTGAGTGTTTGCTCCCTTTCGTCATTGCCCACACTGCGCATGCGGCCGTCTCGCACCTTGGCCACTGCGTCGATCTGTGACAGTGGGGGAGCGAAATTTGAACCCAAGGGAAAGGTTGAAAGAAAGAGAGGGAGGGGGAGGAGAGGGGGGGGGGGGGTCAGAGGTCAATACACCACGCATGCGGCCATCTCGCACTTTGGCCAGTGCATCGATCTGTGACAGTGGGGGAGGGGAAAGGGGGGGGGGGATGAGGTTGAAAGGATGAGAAGGGAAGGGAAGGGCTGGGAAGGGAGGGTTAGTCGGCGGACGTTCATACGTACACTGCACATGCGGTCGCATCAGTAAACATCAAGCTTTACCGTAAGCAAATCCGTCTCTGTAGACTCGTTAGAGCCATGCTATGAGCCTATGAGCCTATGAGCCTATGAGCCTATGAGCCTATGAGCCTATGAGCCTATGAGCCCACCTCATCTATGAACGCAATCAAGGGTGAGTCCTCTTCTGGCTGCGCAAACAGCTCCCTCATTCGCCACCACGCCCCCAAGCCCACTCACCCCACGACTCCGGCTTTGGACTAGAGTAGCTCACTTCGTCTATGAACACACTGGCCCACTCAACCCACGTCTCTGCTTTTGGAATTTTTTTTTTCTCACATCGTCTATTCATAGCTCAACTCGTCCATGAACACAAAGGAAGGCAAGTGCTTCTAAAGACTCGCCTCAACTGTGCACAGCGTGTACAGTGAGCTCCCCTACGAGCTCGCCTTGTCTCCTCAAAACCCTCCTAGTGCATTCGAGCTCACCTCGTCTATGAACACAACGGAGGAAGAGTCCTTCTTCGCCTGGGCAAAGAGAGCTCTCACTCGCAACACCCCCAAGCCCCCTCACCCCATGTGTCTCGTGGAGAAAAGTCTCTCATCTAGCCCATTTGAGCCCACCTCATCTATAAACACAATTGAGGGAGAGTTCTTCTTCGTCTGGACGAACAGCTCCCTCACTCGCTCTGCTCAAGTACCCCTGAAGTCTCTGCCTTGAAAAGAGCCCCTCACCTCACTTCACACCTCGTTGTAAACCTCACCTCGTCTATTAACACGATGGATGGCGAGTCCTTGTTCGCCTGGGCGAACAGCTCCCTCACCTTGAGAACACACTCAAGAACTATTAGACTCACTCACACTCACTTCACCTCCATAAGCTCCTCAGAGCTCACCTCGTCTATGAACACAATGGATGGCGAGTCCTTCTTCGCCTGGGCAAACAGCTCCCTCACTCGCGACGCCCCCAGGCCCACATAGAGCTCCACAAACTCGCTACCGCTGCAGCTTATAAAGGGTACGTCCGCCTCCCCTGCCACCGCCTTGGCCAGCATTGTCTTTCCCGTACCTGGCGGCCCAACCTGAGAGGCAGGCTCGGCGAGCAGGGGAGGAGGGGAATGGAAATTGTGAATGTATGAGTGTAAAACTAGGACTCTAAACCGCATATCAACACGCACTTAGGAGCAGAAAACTAAGTGGCAACTCACCAACAAATAGGAAAAATCGCCCAACAAGCAGCACACTCACCAGAAGCACTCCCCGCGGGGGGCGGGCTCCTAGCCGAGTGAAGCGCTCGGGCGTGCGAAGGTACTCCTGGGATGAGGAGGAGAGGAAAGACGCAGACACGCAGACACGCAAGGTACTCCGTGGATAAGGAGGAGAGGAGAGACACAGACAAGGGAACGAGGTCTTTTGAGGCGCCTCAAAAAAGCTGACACGGGAACGAGGAGAGGAACTCGCCCGTGGATAAGGAGGAAGGAAGAGAGGGTGGCAGGCAGGGGCACTCCTGGGACAAGGGGGAGAGGAGACCAAAAGACAAGGGAACGAGGAGAGGAACTCGCCCGTGGATAAGGAGGAAGGAAGAGAGGGTGGCAGGCAGGGGCACTCCTGGGACAAGGGGGAGAGGAGACCAAAAGACAAGGGAACGAGGAGAGGAATTCGCCCGTGAATGAAAGAGACGGAAGAGGGGGTCGCAGGCGGGGGCACTCGTGAGGCACACAATCAAGGAGAGACGCGCACCAAGAGAGATGGTGGACGAGATGGAATGGGAGACACACAGGGGGGAGGAGGGACGCACACACCACACCACAGAAACGCATCACACTCCTCCCCACACTCCCCACACTCCCCACACTCCCCACACTCTCACCACTATCTCCTCCAACTCCTCCTTCGCCTCGTCCACCCCTGCCCAACATACACAACTCCCCCACACTCCTCACACGCCCACACACTCCTCACACGCCCACACACTCCTCACACGCCCACACACCCCTCACACCCCCCCACACTCCTCACACCTCCCACATTCCCCACACGCACACACACTACCCACACGCACACACACTCCTCACACGCACACACACTCCTCACACGCCCACACACTCCTCACACGCCCCCACACTCCTCACACCCCCCCACACTCCCCACACTCCTCACACGTCCACACACTCCTCACACGCCCACACACTCCTCACACGCCCACACACCCCTCACACCCCCCCACACTCCTCACACCTCCCCACACTCCTCACACCCCCCCACACTCCCCACACTCCTCACACGTCCACACACTACCCACACGCACACACACTCCTCACACCCCCACACACTCTCTACACCCCCACACACTTCTCACATCCCCACACACTGCTTCTCACTCACCACTATTTCCTCCAATTCCTCCTTCGCCTCATCCACCCCTGCCACGTCAGCAAACAGCACGGGCGGCGCCTTGCCCTTCTGACTGCGTCCCTTGCCCCCAAACTTCTGCCATGCCACGTGGACAGATGCACGGACAGAGTTTGGATGACATGCAACGTGGATGGACGGATGGATGGACGAAGTTTGGATGGACGGTGGAGATTGGGGTATGCATGGATGTATGGAATCTGGATGGACGGACGAAGGGAATCCACCCTATAGCAGAGTGCACCTGCCAAGCCACCCTATAGCAGAGTGCACCTGCCAAGCCACCCTATAGCAGAGTGCACCTGGCATGCCACCCTATAGCAGAGTGCACCTGGCATGCCACCCTACAGCAGAGTGCACCTGGCATGCCACCCTATAGCAGAGTGCACCTGGCATGCCACCCTATAGCAGAGTGCACCTGCCATGCCACCCTATAGCAGAATGCAATGTGGGAATCGCCTCATACGCGAAATCAACCACTTGCCCAGCTGGCTTGTCTGCGAATGCACTCACCTGGGGAAGCTTCATCCGCAGGCACGAAAACACCACTGCAGCTATGCCCTGCCAGCCTACAACAGAGTGGCCTGAGAGGATCGCCCCTGAGAGGATCGCCCCACTTGCGCTTTGACCCCCCCGCCATCGCCTCGTCTGCGAATGCACTCACGCTCACCTGGGGAAGCTTCATTTGCAGGCGCGAGAGCACCACGGCACGGCAGCCATGCCCTGCCAGCTCATAGCAGAGTGGAGTGGACTGCGAGAATCGGCCCACTTGCACTTTGACCCATCTGCAGATCGTCTCGTCTGCGAATCCGCTCACCTGGGGGAGCTTCATCTGCAGGCGCGAGAGCACCACTGCCGCTATGCCCGCGTATAGAAGAGTGGACTGCGGGAGAAAGGCAGGCAGGGGCGGATAAATGGGAGAGGAAAGAAAGCATGCGAGGGGGAAAGGAGAGAAGCATATTCTGTTACAAGCTGCACGCTCCAAGCTCTGCTCTAATTTGCCCTCATGCGGATACCGTCCTCATCAAGAACCCACTTCCTCGTGAACCCTCTTCCTTCCACCAGACAATAACTGACACAGGTTAATGAGTCGATTTTTGAGTCGACTCAAAAATTGACTCATTACACACAAAAACTGACACGGGTTATCTGTCCCTACCCTAGTACACGCGCCCTCACTCACCCCACACACATCCTCACCGAGATGGTGTTGGCGGGCTCGGATGACGCCTTATGTAATGAGTCTACTTTTTAGTCGACTTGAAAATAGACTCATTACACACAGATGGTGTTGGCGGGCCCGGATGACGCCTTATCCGGAGCTCCTTACAAGTCGACTCAAATGCACCCTTAGACCACAGGCCTTCACCCCACGAAACCTCACCCCACAGAACCTCACCGCACAGAACCTCAACCTACAGAACCTCACCGCACAGAACCTCACTCTACAGCCCCTCACCGAGATGGTGTTGACGAGCTTGAACGACGCCTTATCCGGAGCTCCGTGTAAGAAGACTCAAAAGCACACTCCCTCACAGCACATGCCCTCACCGCACAGAAACTCAACCCACAGCCCCTCACCGAGATGGTATTCACGAGTTTGAACGACGCCTTATCCGGAGCTCCGAACTCCACGTTTCGTGACATCAGCTCGGCGTAAGGGACCGCCACGTCAGCAGGCTTCACTGTAGACAGCTGCACCTGGACAGGAGGCATCTTCCCCACCTTCTTCCCGGCAGCTTCCCCCGCCTCCTTCCACTTGCTCTCGGCCATTCTTTCCACCTGGCGAATCATGGGTTGTAACTCAGTCGCCTTCTGATTTCGCCCGAACTCCGGACGTCGCAGGACGAATGACACCTTGTCGCCGTCTACAGTAATCGACACGATATTGTCCTTCTTCACGTGGTACAGGAACTCCGAAAACGGCACAGTGATGGAGAAGGAAATCTTCGTCGTTTCCTGCTGCTCCTGCTGCTGCTTCAGCAGCAACTCCCGCTGCTTCCGGTCCTTCGAATCTTTCACCCCAGCAGCAGCAGCAGCAGCACCAGCGCCAGCACCAGATGCCGCCTCGTCAGATACCAGGGTATTCGCCGGTGACCCCCACTTTTCCAGGGTTACAACGACGGTCTTCGGCAGTAACCCGAAGCGACGAGCGGCGCGTTTGACGACAAGCGGATGCGAGCTAAGAATCCGAGCGGAGAGCATGAGAACCACCATGTTCATCACCAGAAAAGTCACAAACTTCAGATCTGGGAGGATCCCGAGGAAGAGCTTCCACCACCACGGAGAGCTATCGTCGCTTCCTCGCCTGCCGTCGCCTCGCCGCGACGGCTGCTGCGACGGCTGCGACTGCTGCGACCCGCGCCGACCGTCTTTCCCCGTCCCTTTTCTTCCCTCCGACGCTGTCGTGTCCTTCTTCGACCCGCTAGAGCTTCGGTTTTCTCCCTGAATTTGGGACAGCTGCTGCTGCGGCTTCGGCTGTTTCGGATCCTGCTGCTGCTGCTGCTGACGTAAGCTGTTGGCCTCGGAGCTCGGTGTTCCCCCGGAAGTTACGCCGGAAGATTCGCCGTCGGAAGCGCTGGCGTTTCCTACGGAGCTGGATTGTACAAGAATCACCCGAGAAGCCGGAATATCTGCGGAATTCGCGGAAAACGAACCGCATGACGCGGAAACAGGCTCCGGGGAAGCATCAGGGGTGGCGGCGTCGCTGCTTCTATCCGCGCTGCAGTGAATTCTAAGAACCCCGCGTAGTGTCGCCTCCACTCCGCGGGTCGAGGCGCATCGGGGGAAGGGACGAGTCGCTCTCGCGCAGGCTAACCGCTTGTGAAGATCGGAAAATAAATCCGAGGCTTGTCTACTATGCACACGCGGCGGCACGCACATCCCGGTGCTTAGCAAGCTCGTCATACTAGCTCGGGTCGCGAGGTAATTAGGTATGAAGAAAAGCAGGGAGCAGCCGTAAAAGCAGCAACAACGCCACCAACCCTAAACGGAGGAGATGCAAGCATCAGCCACCTTGCAAGCCGTGGTGTCAGGAGGAATGACAGCTAGGGTGGCTGCGCGGAGACATGACATGAGCACACCGAGCACGGATAAAGACAGCGTGTGACTCGATGTGTCGGCGGCATGAAAGGTCTAGGAGAACCAGTCTCTTGGTGGGGGAATAGTGTGGGTGCAGTGTGTACGTGCACTGATATGAAAAATGTTTTCTCTTTGGACGTGCGGTGTCGTGTGGTGCGGTCAGGTGTGGTGCGATGTGGTGCGTGCGGGAGTTCATTGTCGCTGTAACGGGGGTGAATCTGACCCCGATTTGGGGGACAGGAGCCGTCTGACAGCCGCACATTCTGTTGGCGTCATTGAGCCTAGGGATTGGTGCATTTGGGGGATTGGTGGTGTTGAGTGCTTCCCCTTCCACAAGTTTGATTGGACGAGATTGGCAACTACGGGTAACTTTCGGGTCAAACCTACACTTATTAGGGCAGCTCAAAGAATGTTGGCGCTTTATTTCACTGTACCCATCCTCAGACACCAAGGGTCTGCATCAACTTCACGCCACGTCACAACAGCACGCTTTTAGCGCAACCCTCCAACATCAAGGGAGTGGTCGTTAGAACCCGTAAAATCCACGTGTGGAAGCCTTCGTGGCACGGCGAACCAACCAAGTTGCTCCGTCGCTCACTCCTTGGGACACCAAATCAATAAAATTGATTAACAATCCTAATACAGGACACCAGCTAATTGTTCTCCTATCTCAAGATTCAAACCCCCCTCTCAGCGTCTTCTAGATGAGCCGCGCGACTTGGAACGGGTTGTGGTCTGCAAGGGAAGAAGAAAATATGGAACGATAATTGTAGAGAATCAACCCCAAACACTTATTGATGCAGCAGCAGCATGCACTAAAATGTTCATGATGTATGAGCTCACCGTTTGACTTGTGTTGCCAAAACCGAATGGCATCGGGGCGGCAGGCTGGAGAGTGGGAGTGGCAGGAGCACCTGTTGACAAAAACGGGGTACGAAATTTGCCAAGAGTTTCAAAAGCGGACCACACAAGCCAATAAACCCATGAAGGAGAAAATCCCAAACAGGCACTAACAAAGCACAAACGAGCCCCGAAATCCAGCCATCGGTCGGTAAGTACATACCAAACAAGCCGCCAGCTGCAGGCGCGGCACCCCCAGCAGGAGCACCAAACAGTGACGTGGTAGGGGTAGTGGCAGCAGCCCCAAAAGGAGATGCTGCGGGTGACCCAGCAGCAGCACCGAAGGGCGAAGCCGAAGGAGTCCCAAAGGGAGACGCTCCTGCACCTGCTGCCCCAAACAGACCCCCAGTTGCCGCCCCCGCGGGCGAACCAAACAGAGACGGGGTAGCGGCAGCAGCACCAGGCAAGCCAGGGAAACCTGCTGCTGCTGATGGTGTCGCTCCAAAGGCAGAAGTAGCGGCACCAAAGGGAGCAGTACCGCCGAAGGCAGAGGCGCCGAAGAGAGAGGAGCCGGGGGACGAGCCTGCTCCTGCAGGGGTTGGCGTGCCAAAGAGGGATGTGGTGCTGGTGGCGGGAGTGGCAAAGGAGAGAGCGGGGGACGAAGCAGCAGCAGCAGCGCCGAAGAGGGAGGGAGTGGAGGAGCCAAAGAGCGACGTGCCAGGGGTGCTGCCTGCAGCCCCGGAGGCAGGAGTACCGAAAAGAGAGAGGCCGGGAGTGGAGGTGGCGGTAGCAGAGGAGGGGTTGCCGAAGAGTGATGGGGTGGCGGATGTGGAAGGGGGGAGGAGTCCGGCAGGGCTTGGGAGGAACGGGGAGGCGCCAGGAGTGGTGGTTCCCGGGAGGAGAGAGAGCGGAGAGGACAGAATCCCACTGCCTGCTGCTGCTGCAGTAGCAGTGGCACCAGCAGTAGCGCCAGAAGTGCCAGCGGCAGCAGCAGCAGCAGGCCCCAAAAGGGATGGCTTCTTGCTGGCAGCAGCAGCAGCTTCAACCCTGTCTGCCTCTGCAAACGGGTTGCTGCGATCGCCCCTCCTGCGCCGCTCAGCCAGGAAAGCTGTCCGTGCTGCGTCCACCCGCTCATGTACTCGCTCCACCTGAGCCGCCACGTGGATAAAGAAATCATGCAGGTTCTTTATAATCACCGGTAATGCCTCGACCGCTGCTGCTGCCGCTGCCGCTGCTGCTCGGGAGTATCCGGCACCGAGCCGGGTGCTGTCCCCTAGGGCGGTTTCGACCACCCCCTGCAGCTCGGCCAGCTTGTGGCGGTACTCGGTGAGTTTGACCTCGAAGCGCGCGACTGTGTCGATGAGGAAAGGAGACGGGAGCGAGGGGATTCCACGGTAGATGTCGGGGTGAGATGGGGCTGATGGGGGGGGGGGGAGGGAAGGGGAAGCGATGAGGGGAGAATGTGCCAATGAGGAAAGGCGAGGGGAGGGGAGGGGAGAGAGGGGATTCCGCGGTAGATGTCGGGGTGAGATGGGGCTGATGGGGGGAACGGGTGCGGGGGGGGGGGGGGGGTTGCGGAGGGGAGGGGGTGATAGGGAAGATTTCGACCACCCCCTGGAGCTCAGCTAGCTTGTGGCGGTACTCCGTGAGTTTGACCTCGAATCGAGCGACTGTGCCAATGAGGAGCAGCGAGGGCAGGGAGAAGGAGCACACTGCCAGGTCGCTGTGGTGCAGCAGGTACTGTATGAGACGTCTCTAGGGGACCGCTGCTATGGTGCTCTGGGTTACGCACCTGGTGGCAATGGGTCGATGCCGGGGAGGTGAGGGAATCTGGAGCGCAGGAGGGAGAAGGAGCGCACTGCCAGGTCGCTGTGGTGCAGCAGGTGCTGCGCCGTGTGCAGCATGTGGTGCAGGGAGGCTCGCTCCGTGTCTACTCTTGATGCCACGTGCGACAGGCTCTGGAGAGAGGTGGGCAGGAGGGAGAATGAAGAGGAGGGGCGACAAAGGGGAGAGGAGAAGAGGAAGAGGCAAGAAGGTGTGTGTCGGGCCACAGGAAAGAGGGTCGCTGTGGTGCAGCAGGTGCTGCGCCGTGTGCAGCATGTGGTGCAGGGATGCCCTCTCTGTGACCACCCATCATGCCACGTGCGACAGGCTCTGGAGGGAAAGGGAAAAACGGAGCGAGGGAGAAGTGGGAGAGAAGTGGCACAAGTGCCGCACACACTTGTGCCTGTCATCCCAGATCAGGCATCCACATGTGAGCCATTCACACCAGCCACCACCCTGGTTGACTCTGTCACTCGAACGCATTGCCCATCCGTGTCAGCCACGCGCATCCCATGTCAGCCGCTCATGCCAACCACACATGCCAACCGCACTTAACCGCTTCTCACCTGGCTGACTCTGGCTGCCTGTCGCTCAAACGCATTGTCCGCCAATTGTGACACATCCTGCAGTCGACTGGATTGCCCCAGCCTCTGGCTCTCGGCTCGAAGCTCCAACACCTTGCTCCTGTGGAATTAGGGAAGAAGTGACGGATGGCAAACGGCACACGTTGAGTGCATACAACTGCCGAGCCTCTGGCCCTCGGCTCGAAGCTCCAACACCTTGCTCCTGTGGCTTGAAGGCGAGAAGGGCAGAAGAAGAGGATATCGAATGACTCGCATATAGCGCACATGGCACATGACAGTAACAGACTCTGGCTCTCAGCTCGGAGCTCCGACACCTTGCTCCTGTGGGCAAAGGGGAGAGGAGAACGGTAGCAGCAAATGTTACACAGCACGCATAAAACGCACGTGGCAGTCATAGCCTCTGGCTTTCGGCTCGGAGCTGCAACACCTCGCTATATTCAGGCACCGCTATAGTCAGGCATCGCTTTAGTTACTAAAGAAATAACCACTCTATGTGCGTCAGAATCTTCTGGCTGTCCGGGTGTAGCTCGCTGAACTTGGTGTCGACGGCCTCGCTAGAGTCACGCTCGCTACAGTCATCAGGATGTACTCACTCTATGTGCGTCAGGATCTTCTGGCTGTCCGGGTGAAGCTCGCTGAACTTAGTGTCGAACCCCGCCGGTTGCGGACCCCCTCGACTGGGATCGTTATTCGTCAGCAGATGCGCTTGACCCTGCTGAATGGCCAGAGTCAACTGCTGCTCCTGCTGCTGCTGCTGCTGCTGCTGCTGCTGCTGTTGTTGTTGCTGTTGTTGTTGCTGCTGCTGCTGTTGCTGCTGCTGTTGTAGGGTTGACGGGGTGCTTGTTGCGGGTGTGCTTAAAGCGGAGGTTTGGGTCCCTAAAGCGGCCGGCGTGGAAGGCTTGAAACCCCCAAACAGCGACATTTCGCCCTGTTAATGAATTAATCCGCGAGTAAGGAAAGAATCGGAGCAATTAGCAAATGTCAAGGCCAACTAGACGTTCCGCTCAAGGTAGTTCCAGCTCGACGTTCCGGCCAACTCCGGCCAACTAGACGTCCCGCTCGTGATTTTTTAGTCGACTCAAAAATCACCTTCGGCCAACAAGCCGTTCCGCTCTAGGTAGTTCTAGCGACTAGGAACGACGAACCCGTGAGACGGGTGTATCTAGTACCGACCAATCGCATGATTGAATTGTTGTAAGCCGCAGAGGATTCATGACCGTATCAGAGGCTTCAGTAAGCCGCAGAGGCCAAGATTTAAGACTACTGGATCCGTTGGATCCGCGATTCGGATCGGCTCCCTAATTAAGACGGCTACTTGCATGGCACAGGAAGCGGCTTTCAGAAATGAGATCAGGTTACCTGAAGATCAGGAATGGTGTCGTCTGATCAGGAATGGTTTTTCTGGCCGATCCTGATTCCTGAATCCTGATAGCAGCAGGCAGCCTGTCAATCAACTATTTCTAGGGATTATCTCAGGCCAATTCGCTAGCAACGAAACAGAAAACGGTTACTTTGTGATCGTTCGTCGCCCGGAGCGAAAATCGTTTTCCGATCAATCTCGGCAGTCCCCATGAGCCGTTCGCATGGCCTCAATTTTCAGGATTCGTTTCGAAAATCTTTCGTCAGGAAATATGTATCCAGTTTCGTTGAAGCTGGGTCTCGTTTCGCCCTTCGCCACTTCTTTCCTCATCCTTCCCTTCCCTCCTTTTGCCTCAGCACCTAATATGGTTACCCGACCGCCATAGTCGCTTCTAGCTCACACCACCTTGGCATCAAATTTCAACCAGTGGTCGGTGGATCGCGAACGCAATGCACGCGAGCGGCTAACAATCGCTTGCAGAACCGTCATTGGGATCAGACGACGGGCCTCTTCCACTTTCGAGTCGACTCAAAAGCAGACGACGGGCATGTGCCAGCTCGAAACCGATTGCTGCATGCGAGCGGCTCTAGTGTCGACTTTTGAGCCGCCCCAAATCAGTCCGTAGAAAGAGTGTTTAGAACATACCAAGAGCTTACCAATCCCTGAAGACCTTTTCGCGTGGCTTACTTGCTCTGAAGTGTTTTTACTCTAGTGGCTCATAGTCCTCGTGCCACTATGTCCCGGCTATTCAAGGTACAATCACTTCTAAGTGTTGCCTGTACATAGTGCGTTCCCGAAGTGTTTTTCACGTCGTTCTCCATTTCCTAGCTTACTGGCTCACTCAGCAGCGCGTACGATTACAGCGTCTGAACGCCGTCGCCGCTGGTTCGTGTGGATAGGGTCAAGTAAAAAGAACGGATAGGATCCGCTCGGTCCTGCATCCTGCGGTCGAGCATATGCGCATGATCCGGGAATTCCGCTTCCTCCTCTCCCCTTCCTCCCCCCCCCCCCCCTCTCTTCCCCCACTCCGCTTTTCCCCCTCGGTTTCCTCCCCACTCCGCTCCCCCCTTCCAATTCCCCCTGACCTCACCCCCTGCGCACCGATGCCAACAGAAAGAGCAGATCTCGGCGTATCGCGACCGTCGATTCCGCGGCACGCAGGAGGAGTTCGAGCAGGCGCTCCGGATGTCTACCACGGTTTACGTGGGTAACTTGTCGTTTTACACCACGGAGGAGCAGATCTACGAGGTTTTCTCCAAGGCGGGCGAGATCCGACGCATTGTAATGGGACTCGATAAGAACACAATGACGCCCTGCGGCTTCTGCTTCGTTGCGTGAGTGGCGCTGCTGCTTGAGACGTCTTTAAACGAGGGTCAAGTCTTAAGACTACTATCAGGTCTCCTGCTCCTCCTTCACCCCCCCACTTCCCCCTACACCTACACCTCCTGTTTCCCTCCCCCCTGCCAACAAAACCCCCACCCCCCGTCCCGCCCCGACCACCCCCACTCTCCACCTCCCCTCCCCCCCCCCTCTCCACCTCCCCCCCCCCCCTCTCCACCTCCCCCCTCTCCCCCCCCCCTCTCCCCCCCTTCCCCCCCCCCCCACTTCCCCTCCCTCCCTTCTTCCCTTTCGCCCCATGGCCATGCCTGCTTCCTCCGTTGCTGGTCGGTCTCTTTTGTCGTTTTGTGGTGCATGTACTATGTGAGGGTGGACGCGGAGGATGCAGTGAAGTACGTGAGCGGGACCACAGTGGACGACCGGCCAATCAGAGTGGACTCAAAACAGCCTCCTCCTTTTGTCGTTTTGTGGTGCAGGTATTACGTGAGGGAGGACGCGGAGGATGCTGTGAAGTACGTGAGCGGGACCATAGTGGACGACCGGCCAATCAGAGTGGACTTCGACTGGGGCTTCGAGGACGGGCGGCAGTGGGGGCGAGGGAGGAGCGGAGGGCAAGTGCGGGATGAATACCGCACCGACTATGACCCAGATATGTGGCTCCCTCACCTTTTATATAGGGTTGTAGGTACCCCATCCAGGTAAGACGGACCTTGCAATTCAGAGTGGACTTCGACTGGGGCGACGAGGACGGGCGGCGGTGGGGGCGAGGGAGGAGCGGAGGGCAAGTCAGGGTCGAATACCGCACCGACTACGACCCAGATATGTGGCTCTGGTTTCTCTTCTTGTAGCTTCGTATGCGTGCAAGGTATCGGCCATCCAGCAGTACTGCACACCCTTCTTCTTCATGCTGGGGTGGGGGGGGCAGTCTGGTCTGTGCATGCCCATGATCATTTCCTCCCCATTTTTGAGGCGCCTCAAAAATAGACTCCTCACGCATGGTCTGTGCATGCCAATGATAATTTCCTCCCCATTTTTGAGGCGCCTCAAAAAAAGTTTCTCCTCTTGTAGCTTCGTATGCGTGCAAGGTGTCGGCCATCCAGCAGTACGGCGCACCCTTCTTCTTCATGCTGGGAAGGGGGGGGCAGTCTGGTCTTTGCATGCCCATGATCATTTTTGAGGCGCCTCAAAAATAGACTCCTCACGCATGGTCTGTTTTTGAGTCGACTCAAAAAGGAGGCGCCTCAGAAATAGGCTCCTCACGCATGGTCTGTGCATGCCCATGATCATTTTCTCCCCATTTTCCTCCCTCCCTCTTATCCTTACACGTCGAGGCAGCTATTTTTGAGGTGCCTCTAAAATATTTTCCTCCCCATTTTTCTCCCTCCCTCTTATCCTTACACGTCGAGGCGGCTACGGCAAGCTAGTGCAGAAGGAGATCTCGGCCATCCAGCAGTACGGCGCGCCACTCTTCATGCCGGGAGGAGGCAGCCCGGGGGGCATGCCCATGGGGGTGCCGTCCATGGGGCACTCGCCCTCTGTTCCGCGACAGCCCATGAGCCACCGCATGGCACAGCGTCTTGGCACCCAGCAAGGACCCCGTGAGTGACGTTAAGTTAAATCATTTTCTCATTGCACTCGCCTCGCCACGCCATGCATCGCCTGCCCATGGGGGTGCCGCCCATGGGGCACTCGCCCTCCGTACCAAGACAGCCCAGGAGCCACCCCATGGCACAGCGGCTGGGGAGCCAGGGAAACCAGCAGGGACTGAGTGAGTGCTTGAAACACCACCACCATGCACCGCGCAGCACCTCATGGCACAGCGACCGGGGAACCAGCCAGGGCCAAGTGAGTGGTAGAAGCATGGTTGAGCCACAATGCAAATGGGTGCGGCCCTCTCCAATTCCCCTCTCACTCTGTATTTCCTTTCCCTGCCTATCCTATCCCCCTCCCTTCATCTCTCTCCTCCCCCTCCCTTCATCTCTCTCCTCCCCCTCCCTTCATCTCTCTCCTCCCCCTCTCCCCTCATCTCTCTCCTCCCCCGCTCCCCTCATCTCTCTCCTCCCCCTCTCCCCTCATCTCTCTCCTCCCCCGCTCCCCTCATCTCTCTCCTCCCCCGCTCCCCTCATCTCTCTTCTCCCCCTCTCCCCTCATCTCTCTCCCACCCCTCCCTCCCAGGGCGAGCCCAGCGCTACTCAAGGGACGACAAGCAGCGCGGCGGCTACAGAGACGGCGGAAGTGGGGGAGGTGGTGGTCCTGCCCGCAAGAGGGGGAGGGACGACGACGAGCCGATGCAAGAGGCAGGAAGGGAGGAAGGCGGAGACAGGCGGGGGGGAGGGAGGGACGGAGGGGGGCGTGGGCGATATGAGGAGAGAAGAGGGGAGGGAGGGGAGGGGAGGGGCGGAAGGGAAGGAGGGGGAGGAGGGAGGGGAGGAGGGGGAGGGGGAGAGGGCGGGGCAGAAGGGGCTGCTGACGACCAAAAGGTAAATGCTCTTGTCCCTCTTGACCACTATTTTCGCCCATCATTCTTGCCTTTTCCTGCTCATCCCCTATTTAAGCCTGTCGTTCTCCTCCTGCCTGTTGAAGTCTATGGTTCACTTCAATACTGCCCACCACCACGGTTCATGCTCAAAATTGAAACCACCACACAATCTGCTGTAGAGTCGACTCAAAAGCAGCATGCTCAATATTGGAACAACGACACAATCTTGAGCCCCCGGTTCTGTGGTGTGCAGAAGAATCCGCGATTCAGAGAGAGGGGGGATGATTCGGATGAGGAGGGCGACAAGGCATGAGGCATGAGTCTCGGGATGAGGAGGGGGAGGGGGATGAGGAGGGGGACAAGGCATGAGGAGAGTCTATTTTTTATGAGGCGCCTCAAAGATAGATTCGGATGAGGAGGGGGACAAGGCACGAGTCTCGGGATGTTTTTGTTTTTAGCCGCCTCAAAACTAAAATTCAGAGAGAGGGGGGATGATTCGGATGAGGAGCGAGACAAGGCACGAGTCTACAAGGAACTCGGGTGTGTGGTGTGGATGCCAGTGTGTTGGAGGCACGTGTGGTTGGCTTTATGTGGCCTTCAAAACCCCCTGGATGTTACGTAAAGCCGTTGGCTGTATGGAAATCCCCTGGATTGTACTGAAATTCCTTGAATACTGCTGCTGAAGTCTCATGGATATTTATGACGAGCGTAGCCCAATGCCTTTACTTGAAGAGCACCCCTTCGATTGCAGCCAGAGCCACTGCCACACCATCCTGCACAGGAACGCAATGAGCACAAGCAGTTTGAAGAGTCCTGCTGTATGCACAAAGGTTACCTAAGAGTTACCCCAAGAGTAACCCAAACCAAACAGACGCACCTCTTTCCCTATCTCTTGTGATAGCGCCTGGGCCCTCATCCCCGTATCCAGTGCGGCAGCAAGGTGGCTCTAGAGTTGACTTCATCACAGGCAACGCACCTCTTTCTCTATCTCTTGTGACAGCGCCTGGGCCCGCTCCCTCATGCCCGCATCCCGTGCGGCAGCAAAGCAACTGACGACTGTAGCTAGAGGGGCAGCCGCAGCAGCTGGGGCTGGCAGATGGACAGACCAAAGGGTGAAGAGCAGCGTTTCAAACAAACCAGACCAGACCAGAGAAAAGCAGAATGCAGTGCTTACACCAGCCCAGAGGGAATCAACCCCAGCCCCTCGTTGCAATCACCTGTCGGCAGTTTAATCGATTCAAGAGGCATGAGGTCGGACGGGCGGAGAGGGGGAGGGGCGACCCCAAGGTAGGAGAGTCGCTCGGCCCAGTAGTGCTGGTCTAGAATGAAAGGGCAGAGCACCTGCGGTACGCCTGCTCTGAGTGCCGCTGCTGTGGTTCCGCTGGTGGTTTGGTGCGGGGATAGAGGGACACATAGGGATGGACGGGTAGGGATGTGAGCAGCAGTGCTGGTCTAGAATGAAAGGGCAGAGCACCTGCTTTTGAGTCGACTCAAAAGGAGGCACGCCTGCTCGCAGTGCCACCGCTGAGGTGCCACTGGTGCGGTCACACAGGGAGGAAGACGGAGACACACGGGTAAACAGGCACAGAATGCACAGAAGGGAAGAAACAGAGGAGAGCAGTAGTGCTGGTCTAGGATGACAGGGGCACGCCTGCTCCTGAGGCACGCCTGCTCTGAGCGCTGCTGCTGTGGTGCCGCTGGTGGGGTGGCGTGGGGGCAGGAGGACACGTACAAGAGAGGGGTGCAAGAGAGGGGTACACGTGGTGCAGCACGAAGCAGCAGTGGGTAAGAGCCACTCGTGACTGACAGACAGCAGATTTGATCAGAGGGGAGCAATAGGCAGTCGCCCGTACCCCCCTTCCCCCCGTGACGCCTACCTGCCCTCATGGTGAGGATCGAACGCAGTAGGCACTAACCCCATACCCCACCCCCCACAAACCATCTTTCCCCCCATGCCACCGGCCTGCCAGCATGGTGCAGCAGGAAGCAGCAGCGCGAGAAGAGCCACTCGTGGCTGACAGATTAGACCCCCCTCCACCAGTCATCCACCCCCTCCACCCTCCCCCTCTCCCCCTCCCCATGCCGCCCACCTGCCCGCATGGTGCAGCACGAAGCAGCAGCGCGGGAAGAGCCACTCGTGGCTGACAGGGCTGGAAAAGGGGGTTGAAAAGGGTGGGAGGGTGGAGGGGGGGACGGGGACGAGCAAGGGGGTTGGTTGGGAGACGAATTAGGGGTGGGGGGGAAGGGAAGGGGGGGAGGGGGGGAGACCACTCGTGAAGGATAGGGCTGGAGAAAGGGAGATTGATTGAGGACGGTGGGAGGGTGGATGGGGACGAGCAAGGGGGCTGGTTGGGAGACGAATTGGGGGGGAAGAGCCACTCGTGAGTCGTGACGACCGAGGAGGAGAGAAAATGATTTTGCAGGGTGTTTTTGCATGGGCGCCCAGGAGCAAGACAGTGACTCTTGGGCGAGTCGAAAAAGAGCCATTTCACGTAGAGAGAGAGCAGAGCAGAGCAGCATCAGTGCACGTAGTTACCGCAGTTGTGTTTGATCGTGGTGTCTCACACAGCCGACTAGCATAACGAACAGAACACACACACGTGGCGCGTGACGCTCGCAAACCAGGGAGGTCCTTTTAATTTACCCCCGAAGGACAAGCACTCTCCCACATGTGAGGAGCCTCGGTGCTGACGTGGCAGAAAAGGCAGGAGACAAGAGTGGTGATGGCAGAATCGACGGTTGTGGTGTTAGATCCGGTGGTGGTCTTTGGGATGGTGTTTTGGACAAGGGCAACCCTTCTTTGTCAACCGAGACTGTTCCTCCTCTGCTCCTCTTTATCGAATCTGGCCCTCCCTGCCGACACTCCTCCTCCTTCCACGTTGCAACAACTGCCTCCTCCAATGCGCTGTCGCCACTTGTCACGAGCACGGCTCGCAGATTGAGAGCCGTGGTTGCAGCAGTGATGGTGGCAAGCAGAGATGCGGGATTGGGAAGTAGCCCCATGCTGGAGTGAGGGACAGAGAAGAGGGCAGGGGGGAGGAGAAAGGGAGGGGGAGAGAAAGAGAGGATGGAGGAAGGCGGGTTGGAGCACATAACCCCTCTCACCCCCCTCGGTCTCACCCCCCTTGGTCTCACCCCCCTTGGTCTCAGCCCCCTTGGTCTCACCCACCTTCCCATGGCGCTGAATCCCACATAGAACACATCGCTCCGGGGGTGACGTGGGTCACGAGCGTTGGGAGGGTGGAGGAATCGTAGGAGGAGCTGCAGTGCAAGGGGGGCAGAGGGCGGTGGAGAGCGAGGTGCGCATGAGAAAGGGCACACTGTCTCACCCACCATCCCATGGCACTGAATCCCACATAGAGCACATCGCTCCGGGGGTGACGTGGGCCACGAGCGTTGGGAGGGTGGTGGAGGAATCGTCGGAGTAGCTGCAAGGGGAGCAGAGGGCGGTGGAGAGAGAGGTGCGTGTGAGAAAAGGCACACTAAAGAAAGGACAGCAAACGGAAAACGCCTTACTTGCTCTTCAATATTGTCACAGGCAGTGCAGCTCCTCCATAAAACATCCCTTTCTGACTGTCCTCTTCCTGCTGCTTCCGCTGTTGCTTCCTCTGTTGCTTCCTCTGTTGCTTCCTCTGTTGCTTCCTCTGTTGCTTCCTCTGCCTCTGTTGCTGCTTCTGCTTCTGCTGCTCCTGGTGCTGAAGCAGGAGCATGAGGAGGGGAGAGTGGCTCTGCAGCATGCTGGTGCGGAGGGAACCAAAAGCCGCAGACTTTGATAGATGAAGGCCAATATGCTGTGGGGAAGCGAGGCGCGGGGGAGGAGGGGGGGGGGAGAGGGTGGGGGGGGAAGGGGGGAGGGGGAGAGGATTGGTGTGGAGGGAACCAGAATCCGCAGACTTTGATTTATGGAGGCCAATATGGTGTGGGGTGGGGGGGGAGGGGGAGGAGATGACGGAAAACGGCATATACAAAAGAAAACTCGTAGAAATCGGAAAACTTGTGGATTGTATTTTTGCTTTTGAGTCGACTCAAAAGCAGACGACGGAAAACGGCATATACAAAAGAAGGAGAACTCGTAGAAACCGGACATCTTCTTGGATTTGGTTAATTTTTTTTCCCGGGAAAGCATGCTGGCATGGCATGCATACTCACATGGGCATTCAACAACAGCAGGGCTGAAGCCATACCTGATGAGAAGGGTGCACCAGACAGGGATGGTAGGATACAATGGGGGCATACACACACCATGAGATTTTGCAGAGCGTTTTTGAGAATTCTCAAAAACACTCTGGGAGCACCAGATGGGAATGGTGGGATACAATGGGGGCATACATAGACCATGGGAGAGAGAGTGTGTATGTGAAGGGGCGTGCGAGAGGAAGTGCGTACAAGAGTTTGTGTGCATGTGAGAGAGTGAGAGCGCGAACATACAGTAAGGGTGTGGGCGGGGGCCAATCACGGATCGGCTCTTCTGTCACAGGATCCTGCACAAGATCCCCCACTCACACACACAAAAAAAGGGCATAACAGAAGCTAGTTTTTTTTAGGCGGCATAAGTCGTGGCGTTCGTGCCATCTCGGTGGTCTCATGTGGGCAGGACCAAGGCCACTAACCAACTGACGCGTACTCCTATTAAAGAAAATCATACATAGTCTTTCAAAACGAATCACAGACACAAGATATTGTCTGTCGCCTACAGGTTGCACAAGGACGGATGGCAGACAAACCAGGAAAGCGCACGGCGGAAGGCACAGAGAAGCTTCCCTCCACCGCGCCCACCGATAACAGGGGAAGAGCAGAGGCCACATCCACTCCTGCACCTCGGACCACGAGAGCTGGGGTAGGGGAGGAGACGGGGGAGGGAGGGGGGGTAGGGGGGGGGGACGGGGGGGGGGGGGGGGAAGAGGGGGAAGAAAAGGAAGGTACTAGGAGGATGCACGTGGAATATCAGAGCATTTTCATGGTTAAAAACGTGAAAGGAAGAGCCGAGGCCACATCCACTCAAGCACATCCAGCAACGAGAGCTGAGGGGAGGGGGAGGGAAGGGGGAAGGAGAGATATGCCAATGCTTCACATGATTGGAAGGGGAAAGGAGAAGCAGAGGTTACATCATCATAGCCCACCTCGTGAAAAGTGCTTCCACTTCTTAGCCCTGGGAAGCATTGGGGTGGAGTTGGTTTTTGAGAGCTCTTGAGAACCAAGTCAACATTCTTGAGGAGCAGAAAGAATCTCGGAAGCGCACCTTGTGCTTTTGAGGCGCCTCAAACGAGGTGCAGAATGAATCTCGGAAGCGCACCTCGTGTGGGCCGAGAGCGTGCTTCAACCGGTGGAAAATAGACCGATGACGGCGAGCAAAGTGAGAGGAGAACTGGTGGGGAGGTCTGTAAAGTTAAGGGATGGTAAGTGGGTGGCACGAAATTGAATGGACAGGAGAAAGAGACCAAGAATGGGTACTTGTTGTTAGTCACATATGAAGCAAGCGGCGGGGAGGGGAGGTGGGGGTTGGGGGGGATGGGGGTGGCAAGGAGACGAAGAGAAGGCAAGGCAGCAGTTAGAAAGAATCAAGCAGAGGAGAGAAGATTGGAGAAATTGCAGGCAAGGCATGGCATAGAACCAGCTTTTTTAGAATTCTAAAAAAACTCAATCAGGCACTAGAGTAAAGAAAAAAGTGACCTGGCTTACTGATGCTAGAGTTGTCTGAGTTGGAACACGGACCGGTAAGGAATGACGTAGGGTGCAGCAGCCATACACTTGACTCCAAAGTGCTCGGCTATGTGCCATGCCTCCTGTAGGAATCAAGGGCGAGGAATAAGGGGAGGGAACGAGGGGCAGGCGACTTTTGAGTCGACTCAAAAGTCACCTTGCACTGGACTCCAAAGTGCTGCGCTATGTGCCATGCTTCCTGTAGGAATCAACGGCGAGGAATAAGGCAGGGAACGAGGGCAGGGAACGAGGGCAGGGAACGAGGGCAGGGAACGAGGGCAGGACACGAGGGCAGAGAACGACGGCAGAATTAGCTTTTGAGTCGACTCAAAATACAAGGGGAACAGGACATGAGAGAATTGTGGGGAGCAAATGGTAAGGAGCCTTGCCATCGATGAGGCAAGGCTGGTGGGGAGCAAATGGTAAGGAGCCTTGCCATCGATGAGGCAAGGCTGGTGGGGAGCAAATGGTAAGGAGCCTTGCCATCGATGAGGCAAGGCTGGTGGGGAGCAAATGGTAAGGAGCCTTGCCATCGATGAGGCAAGGCTGGTGGGGAGCAAATGGTAAGGAGCCTTGCCATCGATGAGGCAAGGCTGGTGGGGAGCAAATGGTAAGGAGCCTTGCCATCGATGAGGCAAGGCTGGTGGGGAGCAAATGGTAAGGAGCCTTGCCATCGATGAGGCAAGGCTGGTGGGGAGCAAATGGTAAGGAGCCTTGCCATCGATGAGGCAAGGCTGGTGGGGAGCAAATGGTAAGGAGCCTTGCCATCGATGAGGCAAGGCTGGTGGGGAGCAAATGGTAAGGAGCCTTGCCATCGATGAGGCAAGGCTGGTGGGGAGCAAATGGTAAGGAGCCTTGCCATCGATGAGGCAAGGCTGGTGGGGGCACGGGTGGTGGGGGCACGGGTGGTGGGAGCACGCGTGGTGGGAGCACGCGTGGTGGGAGCACGCGTGGTGGGAGCACGCATGGTGGGAGCACGCGTGGTGGGGGCACGGGTGGTGGGGGCACGCGTGGTGGGAGCACGTGTGGTGGGAGCACGCATGGTGGGAGCACGCGTGGTGGGAGCACGGGTGGTGGGAGCACGTTACCAGCGCAAAGAGGTTGAAGACTATGAGCCTCTGTGTCTCTTGCAGCTCGCCATCCCTGCTGCTGGTTCTTCCTTTCCTTTCCCCCCCCTCACTCGATTCCTCCAAGCACTGCTGGATGGCTTCAAAGCACTCTCTGCGATGCCGTGCCTCCTCCTCCTCTCCCCATCCCCCCTCTTCTTCATCCGTTTTATCCTCCGCTTCGTTCCCCTCTTCATTTACTTCACTCAGAATCATGCTCCTCTTTCTCCTCTTTCCTCGGGTCCTCTCTCCCGTCTCTTCTGCTTTCCCCGTCCCTCTTCCCCCGCCCTCCTCCCTCTGTTCCCTCTCTGGTCTAGCATCTCTCCCCTTCTGCTCCTCTCGTTTCTTGAACGCAGGGGACGACACCCCCACAAACCCCACACCATGTGCCGCTAGGCTCGGCCCGAGGCTGCGCTGCAGGCACGGCGAAGGACAATCACGACGGGAAGCGGGTTGGAAAGGGGCGCATGCAGGAGAGTGCAGAACAGCAGCGCAGAAAAGAGAGATTGTTTCCAGCCAGCAGTGCAGAACATAAGGCGCCTCAAATATAGACTCTACTTGAGCAGCTGAGGGTTCAAGAAAACTACACTCTTCTCCAAGGAAAGGCATACCTGGTGCTCTTGATGGGTCACAAACCAAACCGCAATAGACGCTTCTCTGTCCCCATCTCCCCTCCCCTCTTCCCCCCTCGACCCTCCGCCCTTTCCCCCCTCTTCCCCACCCTCTTCCCCTGCAACCCTTTTCGTCCGGCTTCCCCCTTCCCCTACTCCCTTCCTCACGTCTCTCCATGTTTCCGCCCCCCCTTCCCCCTCTCCTCCCCCGCTCCTTCCACTTCTTCCCCTTCCCCGTTCTTCTCCCCCCACCGCCGTGTTTCCCTTCGTTTCCGCTCCCCCCTGCTGTGATCTGCTCTCTGCAGCGAGCGCTGATGCTAGCACCTAGACGGGAGGGGGCAAGTATGGGGGAAGATGGTGGGGTGTGAAAGGGGCGAAGGGGGCGGAGGGGGGCGGGGGGTTGGGGGGGAAGGGGGGAGGAGAGGGGGGGTGAAAAGGGGGGCAGGGAGTGGGTAAGTGACAAAAAATGGAGAACGGAGAGTTGAGTGCCTAAACACAGAACAGGCGAGGCGCTTATTTTTTAGGCGCCTCAAAGATAGACTCCTCACGAGTGGGTAAGTGACCAAAATGGAGATCGGAGTGTTGAGTGCCTAACCACAGAACAGGCGAGAGGCGCTTGACGAGCCGGACGGAAGGGAACCTTCTATTCACGGAACTTTCTCCATGCGGCTGCACGTGTCCCCGCGCGCCAAACTTCTACTTCTGCAAGGAACTACTATTCTCGACTAAGAGCAAGACGACGAGACTTACTGCAAGCGGCTGCACGTCCCCCCGCGTCCCAAACGCGACGAACACCACAGTCGCGCTGGCGGCTGAACGGCGACGCTGCTGCTGCTGATGACGATGCTCCATCGCGTTATAAACAGGCCCGATACGCGGTCAAGGTTACCAGCGCCACCCTCGTCGACGCTACAGTCGCGATAGGAGCTACATTACGGCAACACCCGTTACGTCACCTCGACGATCCGGTACGTCTGTAGCGCAGTAGAGTCAGTTACGCCGGCGCGAATACGTCGCACGCAAATCTCTTGACGGCAGCGACCAGTCAGCGACGAGGGAACCGGCGTGTGGCCTTCTAGGCTTGACAGATCGCTTCCTCGGCTGTCCGATTGTTTTGCGATGGAACGGTGGAACCCTCGATGAACCTATCGCATCTGCCCGCCAACAGCTACTCCCGTCACGTAAGCGCCAAAAGTCAGCACGCCCAGGCCAGACACCCCCGCACGACAGCTGAAACCAAGCGCACACGGATGAAACTGGAGAGGCTTTCCCACGGGAAAAGATGTCAATGGAGGCAACGTGGAGATGCGGGGTATCGATCCCCGTACCTCTCGCATGCTAAGCGAGCGCTCTACCATCTGAGCTACATCCCCGATGGCGGCTGAATTGCTTGTTAAATTCCGACAGCTGTATCTTTCGACAGCTGTATCTCCTCTGCACCTAATTATAATGCTACCCCTTTCCATTCTGGAAAATATCCACTAAAAGCTGCCGTCCATTAAGGGTGCCAACCTGCACAGCAGATTGTGGAGCAGGGAGAGAGAGTACCGACGAGAACCCAGCATTGGTGAATAACACGAGTTATGCGCTGCATCGGGACCAAGGTGCAAGAATACGGTAATCGTACTACGCGAGCAGATTCGCACGTTGGTCCAACCAGGAGGATCACATAAACATGAGATATCCAAGACAGCATCCCTTGTTACACACGGACCTCAGATCCCCAAAAGCAGCAGGATTGGGAGGTGGGCCCTTGCGTCTAGGCGCCCGCACACAGATGCCTACACACTATTCTCACTCACAACAATCACGTTGCACCTTCCAAACTAAGGCAAACCTTGTCAAGAAGGGACCTCATATCCCCCAAAGCAGGTGGGCCCTTGCGTCTAAGCGCCAACACACAGACGCCTACACACTGTTCTCAATCACATTGCACCTCCCAAACACGCCATACCTTGTCAAGCAGGGACCTCATATCCCCCAAAGCAGCAGGATCGGGAGGGGGTCCATTCCATCTAAATGCCTGCACAGGCCTGCACGGGGGCTCACACGCACTGCTCCAACTCACGGCCACATTGCACCCTTCAAACACGGCATACCTTGTCAAGCAGGGACCTCATATCCCTCAACGCAGCAGGACTAGGAGGTGGGCCTTTGCGTCTGAATGCCTGCGTCTGGGACCCCTCCAGTTCCTTCTTCAGCTCCTCCTGCCACAGAGGAGAAAAAACAGGGAAAAAAAAAAAAAAAAAAAAAAAAAAAAAAAAAAAAAAAAAAAAAAAACGGAAACGAAAAAAAGAGAAAACCAGAGGACACTGGAAGACGAGCGGCCTAAGAAGCAGAAAAAAACACCGTCGGTACCTCACTTTCATTTCTTCCTGCACCACGTGATGTGACTTTTGAGTCGACTCAAAAGTCACCTCGACTCAAAAGTCACCTCGTGATGTGTCTATTTTTGAGGCGCCTCAAAAATAGACTCCTCGTTTCTTCCTGCACCACATGATGTGGCAGCAGGTGCTGGGAGGGGAAAGGAAGCAGAGAGTTTACCTTCGGTTTTCTAAGGCCACCCTGACGACGAAAGTTTTGTGTGTGCTATAGAAGCCTTGGAGGACAAGCCATATACACAGCGTGCAACCGAGAAAGGCCAAATACAAATCAAGAAGAGAAGAGGGTGATGTAGAGGCCCACCTGTGCACTTGCATACTGCGTGTGAATCACTGCAGCCCCTCCCACCATCTCCTCGTGGGCCGCCTCTCCAATAGCGGAAAGCAGAGCCTGTTAGTAAGGGGGACGTGCACGTAGCACGTCGCAGTCTTTTTACCGGGCAGAAATTATATAAAAAAGCTCGGTCGATACCGCAAAATGTTGCTGCCCCAGCAACACTGGCTCGGTCGATCTTGTTTACTCGAAATCATTATTAACAGCCTCGATGCTTGCATTGCAGCCTTACTGTTTCCCGCAGCATGTGTGCCATGAGCCAACTGTCCGCCCCACATGCCTCAGTCGCCCCCACTGCGGCTGCACTCATCCCCTCACATGCAGACGCCCACCGGTAGAAAGAAGGGAGAGGGGAGGCGAGTGAGGAGAGGGCTGGAGGGAGGGTGCTGGTGGTTGACGCTGCTGCAGCTGCTGCGGCTGATATTGCTGCTGCTGCTGCGGATGTTGATGGTGCTGATGTAGTTTCTTCTGCTGCTGCCATAGAAGCTGCTATGGCGAGAGCCGCACTGCGAGGCACAGACATTGGGAAGGCGCAAAAAAAGGGTAGTAGTGCCGATCAGAGCAAATCAGGAAACTGAGATCTAAATACAAGAACGATAGGCACATGTGTATTTAGATCTACATGTAGGCGCCCAACACCCTGCAGCATATGGAGGAAGGATGCCTCCACTCCAGTTCCCTGCATATGCTCCTCGAAATCTGCGTACTGGCAATTGGCGACAAGGGTGAAGTGAAGGGACACATACCTTTCAACATCCGCCCCTTGCTCCTCTTTCTCCGCTTCCTCCTCCTGCTCCACTTGCTTCTCTTGCTGCTCTTGCTGCTCTGACCCACATGATCCATGCAGAGTGAAAGTGACATGCGGCAGCAGCAGGCTGACATAAGGCACATGCCGGCAGGCAGCACATATCCCATCATCATTGACCTCCTCCCAACCCCCGTCAATCCCCTGATCCAGTCCTCTGTGCTCCTCCGTTACCCTGTCATCTCCCTCCTCCGGACCTCCGTGCTCTTCCATGCTCCCTCCTTCCTCCTCACACCTCTCGTCCCTTCCTCCACCCTCATTATCCTCTCCTTCACTATCCTCTTCTTCCTCCCTCTCATCTGCTTCTTTCTCCTCCTTATCACCCCCCTCCTCTTCCTCCTCATCCCCCTCTTCTTCCTCCTCCTCTTCCATTACTATTTCCTCCATCTCCTCTTCCTCTCCTCCCTCCTCTTCCTTCCCCCCTTCCTCCCCCTCCTCTCTCTCCTCCCTCTCTCCGCTCCCCACCTCCCCTCTCCTTGCCTCGTTGGTGGGAGCCTGAGTGCAGATCGCATGCCTGTCCCTACTCGGGGGTGTCTCAGAGCCCGCTTTGGTGGGGAACTGAGTGCATATGGCATGCCTATCCCTGCTCGGAGGTGTCTCAGAGCTGGCTTTGGTCGGGAACTGAGTGCAGATCACATGCCTCTCCTTCCACTCCTTACTCCCCTCGTCACTCCCCACACCCACAGCTTTTTGGGAAACCTCCAGATGCTTACTCCCCTCGTCACTCCCCACACCAACAGCAAGTTGAGACGCCTCAAAACGCTTGCTGCCCTCGTCACGCCTAATACCAACAGCCTTCTGCGACGCGTCCAAAGCCCTACTCCCCTCGTCACTCCCCACACCCGCAGCACCACTCGTCCCACACCCACCCACCCTCTCGTCCTCGCCCTCCCTCTCCTCGTCTCCCTCCCTCTCCCCATCTCCCTCCCTCTCCTCATCTCCCTCCCTCTCCTCCTCACCCTCTCTTCCTTCCCCAGGCCCCTCCACCAGCACAACATCACTGTCATCCTCCTCCTCCAACCCTCTCCCTCTCTCCCCTCCCTCCTCTCCCTCCTCTCCCTCATCCCTACCCTCCTCCCTACCTTCATCCCTACCCTCCTCCTCCTCCCTAACCCCTTCACCATCCGCCCCATCCCATGCTCTCCTGCTCTGTCTATCCCTTCTCGCCCCTGTCCCTCCCTTGCTCCCCGCCGTCCCATACTTCAACCCAGAATCGCCTGATGCCACAACACCACCTACTTTTCCCTTCATACCTACTTTTCCCTTCATACCTACTTTTCCCTTCATGTTCCCTGTTACCTGAACCCTTCCCCCCCTCGCTATCCCTACACCCTTTCCTGTTTTACGTGCTCCCTTTCCCACTCCCTTCCTCTCTCCCTCTCCCCTCCTCCCTACCTCTCCTCTTGCTCCTCTCCTCTTTGTTCCCTCTTTTCCTCCTCTCCTCTCCCCCCCCCTCCTTCCGATCTGCTCTGCCCTTTCCTCTCCGTCTTTGCACTCAGCCCCTCCCAAACCAACCTCCCTCCCGCCCAGCTCGTGATCACACTCTAAAGTTGCAGCATCCCCCTTTCCCCCCTCCTTCGCTTCCTACTGCTTCCCCTGTCCCCCTCCCCGTACTCCCGAAAAAGCTTTCTCTTCAAACCGCCATCAGAATTTATATGGCTCTTGGTACTGTAGCACCTGTTACCATCACTGTTACCATGTTGGTTACTTTCAGGCCGCTTGTTGTAAAGCCCTTCCCGCTGATGATACGTGGAGCACGGCAATACTCGAGTGCCTCTGATGAGCTGGCGGACGGCAGCAGCGTCCAATAGGAAGACGCCATTTGCTCCAAAGTCGAGCACAGTCCTGACACGGCGGGAGGACACGGTTGGTGTTAGCTTAAGGATAAAAAGAGACACGTAGAGGCAGAAACAGGCATATAGCCACACAACCACAGACTTACAAGTCTTACACACAGAATCCCCCCCCCACCCCCCCCTCCCCCCCTCCTCCACCCACCCGCCCCTGCCCCCTTCCTTCAACCCCCACCCTCTGCCCTCGCACACACACGTACGTGCACTCCACATGCATCCGAATGGCTGCTTACGACATGCCTCTCTGACGTCACCTGAGGCGCGTGGTTGGTGCTGGCGGTGGCGCTGGTGCTGGCACTGCTGCTGCTGCTGGCGCTGCTGCTGCCGGTACTGCAGGCGTTGGATCTGGTGACGCCAGGGCGGGCAGGATCAGGCAGCCCACGCGGACAGCCTGATACAGGGGAGGACAGGATCGGATTACCAGACAGTCTCGGTGATTTTTGTGTCGACTGCAAAAATCACCGGTACTGCAGGGCGTTGGATTCGGTGATGTCAGGGCAGGCAGGATCAGGCAGCCCACGCGGACAGCCTGATACAGGGGAGGACAGGATCGGGTTACCAGACAGTCTCTCATTGTACAGAAGTCTCTGATCGTACAGATACGATGAGAGACACAGGGATAGGGTGAAATACAGATTGGAGTAGGACAGGACGAAGCAGATCAAGCATGACATGTGGTGCAATGGCCTCAAATGACTTAAAATAGATCCTGTCAGGAGCAGACACCCAGCCTGCATGCCTCTCACTCAAACTGTTACACTCACACCGTTACACTCACGAAAAGCGTGGCGTTAGGGTTTCGCTGGTCCATGGCGAACTCGAGGTGAATGGCGTCGGGAGCAAGCAGACCCAGCATAGCATCATTCCGACGCTTTTCATGAACAGGTGTCCGTTGAGCCGACTCGAAACAGCCTAAACGCGAATCGTGCTGCGAAAGCACTCCTATGGTCGGCGATCCGTACTGTTCCGACGCACTGACATGGAAGCTTCCGTAGCCGTTATATACCCAGCTAGGCTCGGGAGCGGGAAGGTCTTTAGGATTAGTTGGCTCGTCGACCGAACCAGCAGGTCCGGTGTTAGGCCCGTAAGCGTTCAGCGGGGTGCCAGAGAATATGTCGGGATTGTTGACGAGGCTGCGGCTTAGAGAATCATGTGGTTTGAGCCATGGCTGGGCCTTGAGCCACGCGAAACGATCCATGCCCTAATAAATACCAGCGCATAAGTACAAGCGCGTCAGATAACAATGAAACGGAGAAAAGGATACGGGAGGTGATGGTATAAGCTATGAGGTTCACGAATTCACGATAGAATTCCTCTCGAACGCGCAGGAGCAGAGAAGTTGCGAAAGCTCTGACTAACAACGCGCGATTCGCTCGGGCGGATTTCACGGATGAGATGCGAGCTCTGACAAACCCCATGTTTCCAATTTGTCAGGAGTCGCCTCGCCAGTTTCAAGGTTCAACAACTTCCTGGGATGAGTTCCAGGGAGCACCGAGCTGGGTTCGGCAGCTTCAAGGTGACGACAAGGATGATTTCAGGGTTCTGAAAAGCACAATTCTCATTATTTATCTCTAGGTCTACAAAACAAATCTACATTTATAAAAATCCCCATTTATTTATGTATTGCTTACATATACCACTCGAAGCACCTTAATCATTAACGTAGAACGTTGCGGTACCACAATTAACATATTGAACTATTGCACACTGAAAGATTCCTCCATGCATCATACAATGTGGCACCAATGCAAGCTTGATATTCTTGAATAGGACCTTAGGGACTAGTCCAATGGCCCTCGCATTCATTGGAACTGCCTTCAATAATGATATGGTTCTCACAACAGCAGCTGTTTCCATCAATAATGCAGTGACTGCTTCTATTATTCTTAGTTACAGCCTACCAGGACACGAGATGCGCCCTAACAATATTGACGGCTCTAAGTCTCCTATGCACCTAGCATAGCCTAGAAAAGGCGGATGTACGATGAGATGAAAGAAATCAAAGCACTTTAACGCACTGGATGGAATGGGACAGGGCAACCCCAAGCTCTACCATCCCTCAAGCAGCCGGCCTGAGAAGGCTATCCACACCGTGCACCTTGATAAAGTTGCCGTTGAACAGGTCAGGCTTCGTTACTCGCACCCACGACAGAGGACCGGAGTTAGGCCGGCCGAAGCCCACCTCGTTGCCGGCAGGCGGGAGAAGCTTGTTAATAGCGCCGCTCGCCTTATTCCCGAGCTTCTCAAAAAAGTTTGTCTCGAGGAGGTCCTTGTTCTTGACCACCCAGTCCTTCGCCGCGGGGCTGACGGCCTTGCGCTCTACCGGCCGGTTCTTGTAGAGAGAGCGCAGCTGCGAGCCCTTGGACAGGTTCGTGAGCTGCTCGAAGGAGAAGCGCCCGTGGATGATGTTGTAACGGGCGAACTTGGTAACCAGACCAGGGTTGAAGAGCGCGCGAAGGCCGATCTTCTTGAGGGCGGAGTCGGTGGGGACGAACACGGTGGTGTTCTCCACTAGAGCCAATTTATCCCTGGGGAAGTTGCCTGGGAAGGGGCTCGCATAGCAGTGGGGGAGAGCAGAGGAGGGAAGACGGGAGGGAGAGCAGGCGGAAGAGGGGTAACATAAGGACAGGCTCCTGCTGTGGACTCGCCGGCCGATCAGGTTTTCGGAGAAGACTGGAGCGGGAAGAGTTGGGTGGAAAATTTAGACCAGGGAGGCAGAGGCAGAAGTAGCCCAGGCATAGGAAGTGTCGGAAGGGTGAGCCAAGCTCGAGGCGTAAAGAAGGAAGGAACTCGTGCGTAAGAAGTGCGTAACAAGTGCGTCAGAAGTGCTTGAACTAGGGCGTACTAAGGGTCGAGAAAACTTGAGCTGGAAGGCTGTAGCCTTTTTGGCTGGCGAGGATGCTCGCCACTTGCTTCAGCTCCTCGCGAAACGTCGTCGCCCGCGACAACCCAGGCGACGCGCTGGGCAACGAGCCAGGCGTCGGCCGAGGAGCGAACTGAGCTGCGGCTGCTGAGGCGACGAGGAGTGAGGCCGCGAGGAGCGCTAGAGCAAGTCTGGACGCCATGGCTGATCACTGGAGACAGGAACAAGAAACTGGCTCAAATGCTTCTGAGTAGGAAGGAAGAATTCGGACGAGCTGTTGTTCAAATGCTACTGAATAGGCTTTGTGAGTTGGTGAAAGCAAGCGAGGTAGACAAGCGAGAGCCTGTTATCAACTGAGAGAACTCGAGGACTCGAGGGCAATTTGATGAGCTGAGTTGGAGCAAGTGGGGTTTATGTAGCCGAGAAAGCCAGGCGTCGAAGGAAATTGCGCAAGGCGCGGGGGGTGTGAGCGAGAGGGAGTTAGCAGCGACCTGCCTAATTTGCTGTTGGTTTGGGGTCGCACATGGGGGTGTAGTGTAGGCGATTACTGTTTGCCCAGGGCGATTCCTCACGCGACGCAGATGCCCTCAGTTAGTATTGTCGCCGCCAACAGCTTTCGCAAAGCGCAAGCTGCAAAATCGGTTAGTTGAACCTGGATGGAAGTGTGCGGGAAGCGTGGACCCTGGGTTTTGGCGTCGCACATCGCACACCCTGGGTTTCTGTCTCAGTTATCGCCGGAGGTGTCGCAAGGAGGGGGTGAAGAGGCAATCCACGTCTGATCGGATGATGCGACAGAATGACCCTGGTTTGAGCGACATTTTACAGGCAAGGGAGGGTGGCATTTCGCTCATACAGGCACAGATTGCAGCTACTCGTCGGAGCGCTGCAATGTGGCGAGTCGCATCCAGGGTAGAGATTGGGTCAGCAAGTCGCACTCGCTATAGCAGCACACCATCGTCAGAAGCACATCTTTTGCAACATCTCGACGAAGAAAAGGACAAATTCTGTTCTCCACGAATTTGTGTAACGGTACAAAAGTCGTGTGTCAATGATACTAGTTAGGTACAAAACTGTCATACTTCGAATCTCCCACTATTATCATTTGATTTAATCCATGGTTTTTGTACGCAAATTTCTTGAACATGGGTTAAACATTAATAAATCTTGACGTTACGATGGGCGTTAATATCCCAACCTGTAGATGATATTTTGATGTGAATGAAGAGGCTCTATGTCAGCCTTACGTGAAAAATGCGTTTTACTATATGTTGATGCCATGTGTGTTTATGTGATCAAGAAGCTATGTCTGAAGTTTCTAACTATACATAATTATGCTTATAACAAACTGCAATTGCTTGTATGCTGTTGTGTCCAACAGTCATTTTCTGGCAGCTGAGACAGCTCCAGACAGCGCGCCCCTGTCAGCCAAACCCATTCGCTTGCGAGTTATTTGCGAAGCTCGTCAATATGATTTGCGCGAACAGGAACCCGCGTTTTCCGTGTGTCCCCGCCCACCAACACACACGCTGATGCCCAACCAGCACGATACACGAGAGTTGAGACAGCTACCAGGAGTTCAGTCAAAGTTGAACGGAACGGAACTGACAGAATGAATCTGATGGAACTGAAGTAAGAACGCCACTGCCTCGGATTCATCTGCTAATGCCTTGGACTTGTCGTGCTGTGCACCAATCTGCAACGAAATAGTACGGCACGGCTTTTGATCTAGTTCATCGTGCGCCGTCCTATCAACGGAATCACCACTCGATTAGTCAAGTCTACCAGTTCAAGATCGTTACCGCAGCTTTTGAGAGTAGCCTAGCCTGATGGAGCCCAGCCTCGTTAATGTCTGCATCACTCTCGTTTTTCTCGTCGTCACTGCTCTACCAGTAGCGCGTACAGATTCCTTAGCCAAGTCACCAACCAGTTACGAAGCGTCGGTTCCAGCCGCAGTTGACCCGTCATGGCCGCGAATTCTCACGTTCGAGATAGTCAAATCGTTTCCTCACGACACGTCAGCTTTCACGGAGGTCCGACGTCAGCTTCCTTAGCCCTGTGCCGTCGTCGGCGTTGAGCCTTCACCTTGATTTCTGCGTTCGCCTAACTTCAGCTCCAACCTCAATCGTGCCTCACCTTATAGTCGTATCTTAAAGCCAGGGACCCAAGTTTACCAAATCTAAAACAGTTGGTTGGGATTAAAACTACTGATTGGCCGGCGAGCTGTATGCACAGTGTAATCGCCTGCGAGTGTTGCAATTCACGCACCCTCACGACACAAAACCTGGTTTTTTCCAACCAACTGTAAAACACTTGCCCCAGGTTCTAGAAACTTGGGTACCTGGCTTGTCGCGGGGAAAGCGGCGGCGAAAGCGAACGTGATCTCTCTGCTCTCGAGCATCAATCCCATAGGCTGTTCTCCCTCTCTGGCACGCCGTCTTTACGCCAGGCCTTGTGTACCTGCGCCATAACGCAAGCGGGGGAAGAGGCATCGGGGATTACGAACACCATTGCCTCTCCTCTTTGACAAACAAACACAAATCCCATCTGCTTTCCCTCTCCTGCGCATCCCGTCTACACCAGGGCCTTGTGTACAATCCGTGTGTAATGAGTCGATTTTTGAGTCGACTCAAAAATCGACTCATTACACCAGGGCCTTGTGTACCTGAGCCATCACGCAAGCGTCAGCAGAAGCACCGGGGAAAACGAGCACTAATCCCTCTATTCCTCAACAATCAAACACCGAACCCATCACCTGCTTTCCCTCTCCTGCACATCCCGTCTTCGCCAGGGCCTTGTGTACCTGAGCCATAACGCTAGCGGGGGCAGAAGCACCGGGGAAGGAATCTTCTATGAGTCTACAGGGATGCGTGGACAGGTATCCCCGCTTTAGAATGGCCGCAGTACGAGCATAACGCGAAGGTTCTCTGATCCCAGAGGTTGCTGTGGAGATAAAATCACAAGTGCCCGTCAACTTGGGCTATCCATGGGTTGAGCAAGCGTACTACCCTTGTTCTTTCTCCTGGCCCTAATCAACCATGATAGAAGTAAATAAATGTTATCACTGTGATATCATCACCCACTCTCTGTCTTTGCTCCCTCACTCTCGTTGACTATTGTGCTGGATTTTGCTCCCTCTGCTTTTCCCCTCACAGGAGGCGGATATAGCCTCTGAAGATCCTCCACATATGCAACTCTCTGCCTCTGTCTCTGCCTCTCCCTCGCCTTCTTCCCCTATTGTGTGTTCCTTGACCGCTTCCCCTCTCCGCCCCCCCCTCCTGCCTGCAGTCAACCGTGAGAGAAGTTGACGTAGCCACTGGGAAGGTATGGTATAATAGAAGGTAGGAATCTAGTATGAAACCATACTTTGAGAGACCATTCTCAGGGTGTAATGAGTCGATTTTTGAGTCGACTCAAAAATCGACTCATTACACAAGGTATGGTATAGTAGATAGAAGGTAGGAATCTAATATGAAACCATACTTTGAGAGATCATTCTCAGGGGCCAACTTTTTGCTGTCCACCCTGTCCGTCTATGCAAGAATTCGAATGCTTCTATGTCCCCTTTTTGAGGCGCCTCAAAAATAGACTCCTAATGCTTCTATGTCCCCGATCATGCAGGTTCTTAAGAAAGTGGCTCAGAGCCCCCAAGTGTTTAGTGAAGGACTCACACTCGTCAACAACAACAGGTGTGCGAGGCGGGCGGTTACCTCCTGGCCCTTATTCGTGGCGTTACTCGGTTGCTTTCGTGGCCCTTATTCGTGGCTAGTTTTGAGGCGCCTAAAAACTAGTTACCTCATGGCCCTTGTTCGTGGCATTACTCGGTTGTTTTCCTGCAGAATGCGCGTTTCCAGCAGTATTATTCGCTGACATAGAACGTAATGATTCGCTGATATCGTGGATGATTCTCGTGCGTGGATGATTCTCGTGCGTGGATGACTCGCGTGCGTGGATGACTCTCGTGCATGGATGACTCTCGTTCATGGATGATTCTCGTGCGTGGATGATTCTCATGCGTGGATGATTCTCGTGCGTGGATGATTCCTCGTGCGTGGATGATTCCTCGTGCGTGGATAATTCCTCGTGCGTGGATGATTCCTCGTGCGTGGATGATTCCTCGTGCGTGGATGATTCCTCGTGCGTGGATGATTCCTCGTGCGTGGATGATTCCTCGTGCGTGGATGATTCCTCGTGTGTATCTGGGTCTGAAGCGCCGGTGCTACGCATGTCTGTCTGTTCCCTGTGCCCCTAGGCTGTTTCAGTTGGCGTGGCAGGTGCAAACGGGGACAATCTACAGCCGCCAAACCCTTCAGAAGATAGGTGAGGGAGATAGGGAGGTAGAGAGAGCAAGGAGTATATGGGGGGAGATGGAGTGAGACAGGGGCTGCTGTAGCTGGCGTGGCAGGTGCGAACGTGGACAATATACAGCCACAAAACCCTTCAGAAGATAGGTGAGGGAGCGAGACAGAAAGAGGGGGAGTGGATGGGGGGGGTGGCGATGGCGTGAGGCAAGGCCTGTTTCAGCTGGCATGGCAGGTGCGAACAGGGACAAGCCCCTGCAAAACCCTTCAGTAGAGGAGAGGGAGCGAGATAGAAAGAGGTGGGTGGTGGGAGATGGCGTGAGACAAGACAAGGGCTACTGCAGCTGGCGTGGCAGGTGCGAACGGGGAGCCGCATAACGCTCCAAAAGACAGGTGAGAGAGCGAGACAGAAAGAGGGGGAGTGGATAGTGGGGAAGGCTTTTGAGGCGCCTCAAAAGACTTTTGAGGTGCCTCAAAAGACAGGTGAGAGAGCGAGACAGAAAGAGGGGGAGTGGGGAAGGCGTGAGACAAGGCCTGCTAGTGTTGGCGTGGCAGGTGAAAACGGGGCTAAACCACAGCTGCAGAACGCTCCAAATGACAGGTGAGATAGAGAGGGAGGGAAAGCGAATGAAGAGTACATGTAGGCACTCCCTGCCCCACTCTGTCTCGCTCCCACTCTGTCTCTCAGGTTTTGGATGCTGCCTCGCTCACCGTCCTCCTCCCGTCCCTCTATCTCATGCCTCCTTTCCCCACCAACCCCATGCGGCTTCTTCCGCCATCAGATGACTGACAGATGGGGTTTTTGTCAACGTACAACCGATCTCCTTCCCTGCCTTCCTCCTCTCCTCCCCGGCACTTCCCACCTGTTTACACCTCTTTTTTACAGGCGAAAACTGCCTGGAAAACTGCCTGGAAAACTGCCTGGAAAACTGCCTGGAAAACTGCCTGGAAAACTGCCTGGAAAACTGCCTGGAAAACTGCCTGGAAAACTGCCTGGAAAACTGCCTGGAAAACTGCCTGGAAAACTGCCTGGAAAACTGCCTGGAAAACTGCCGATCTCTTTTTTACGCCCTTTTTCCAGGCAGTTTTCGCCATCAGATGACCGACGGGTGGGGCCTGTCAACGTACAACCGATCGCTGCTGGTGGGGAGTGATGGCACATCGTACATCTACTTCATCAGCGCTTCGACTTTCAAGAGTACGTCCATAGCAGGCTTTTCATCCACTGTCAACGTCACATCGTCAACGTCACATCGTCAACGTCACATCGTCAACGTCACATCGTTCATAGAGATGTACTGTTCATAGCAGTACTGTTTCTGTCTCGATGTGTTGAGAGAACTCAGTGGAACAAGTTTCAAGAGTAGGTCACATGTGTAAAGGCTATCCTCACTAGGGCAGGTAGATTCATTTAAACCAAACTCTGCTGGGGGGCTCTGATGGCACATCCTTCATTCATTTCAACGGTGCAGCTATCTTCAAGTTCAAGAGTAGGTTACCCATGCTGCTGTGTAGCATTATGGTTGCTGTTTACCCATGCTTCTCTCCTTTCTCCCTATGTTGCAGCATAAATGGTTTTCCTTAGAAGTTCTCACAGTCCCACTCATGCCTCTCTGTCTTCTCCTACCCGCTGTCGCAGAGCTGCACAATGTGCAGGTGACGGATGGCAGCTTGCACACGCCCCATTTGAACCCACTTCAACCTCTCTATATCTCTCTCTGTTGCCCACCGCAGCGCTGCACAAAGTGCAAGTGACTGACAGCGGCACTCCCATTGCTTGGATCAACGAGCTGGAAGTGAGGGGCAACCGCATCTATGCGAACGTGTGGCAGGTGAGGGGGGGGGGGATGAGGGCATGCATGCATGGGGGTGGTTTAGGGGTGCCGGCACGCCCTTCGCTTGGATCAACGAGCTGGAAGTGAGGGGCCACCTCATTTATGTCAACGTGTGGCAGGTGAGGGGGGAGGGGAGAGAGGGGGAGGGGGGGGGATGAGGGGAGGGGGCAGGTGAGATGGAAGTGAGAGGGGGGGCGCATCTACGCCAATGTGTGGCAGGTGAGGGGGGGGGTCGCATGCATGCATGCATGGTGGTGGTGGATAGGACTGTGAATGGGGCGGGTTCAAGCGTGGCAGCACTCCCATCGCTTGGATCAATGAGCTGGAAGTGAGGGGTGGGCGCATCTACCCCAACGTGTGGCAGGTGAGGGGGGAGGTGAGAGTGGGGAGGGGAGTGGGGGGAGGGGAGTAGGGGGAGGGGAGTGGGGGAAGGGGAGTGGGGGGAGAGAATATGGATGGAGCAGCTGTTGGGGAGTGGCTGCCTCATTGCTTGTGGATGCATCTGTGCCAAAGTGTGGCATGTGAGAAAGGGGGGGGGGGGAGGGGGAGGATGCATGCAAGGTGGAATATGGCATCAGGGGCAGGTCCCAGAAAGATTGGACGGATGGATATACATTGCCTTCCCAACAACATGGAAGCATCTTTTGCCTCCCTTTCGCCCTCACCTCACCCACATTCTGCTGGATACGTGTCGCCCTTTCTCCTGTCTCACCTTCCGAGACTGACTGTGTGGCTGTGGTCGATCTGGTGCCAGGGCGAGTGGCAGCATGCATGGGCGCATTGCCCTCTCAACATAAGCGTACCTCCCCCCACCGAACCCCCCCCCTTTGTCCCGTCCTCCCAGACTGACTGCGTGGGGAGTCTTTTTTTGAGGCGCCTCAAAAACCGAACCCCCCCCCCCCTGTGCCCCGTCCTCCCAGACTGACTGCGTGGCCGTGATCGATCCGGTGTCAGGGCGAGTGGCAGCATGGATGGACCTGCAGCGACTGAGGTGAGTGGTTGGGGGCGTCAGTGCATGCAATGAGAGCATCTGTTTCTGGCACCACCAGCCGATGTGCTGAATGGGATCGCGCATGTGTATTTTGAGCCGGCTCAAAATACGAGGGGCAGCATGGATGGACGTGCAGCGGCTGAGGTGAGGGGATGGGGGCGTCAGTGCATGCATTAGGATGCCGTGTTTCTCTCGGCAACAGTTGTGCGTGGATGGATTGAACGGCATTAGGGCGAGTGGCAGCATGGTTGGACATGCAGCGGCTGAGGTGAGGGCTTGCTTGGGAGCGTCAGTGCATGCCTTGAGAGCATCTGCTTCTGGCACCAGCTGATGTGCTGATTGGGACCACGCATGTGATGGATGTATCTGTGCCTCTCCCCCTACTCCCTCTCCCCTCCTCTCCCATATTTTAACGTGTCAGAGGTCTAGCAGCAGCCAGGGTTAAGCCCAGGCAGGAGTTTGATGTGCTGAATGGCATCGCATGGGATGCGCAGCAGAGACGGCTATTCGGTAAGACTCCACTCCGTATGCCCTTGCTTACACCCTCACGCTACCCCTTTTTGCCCCTCCTCTGTGCTCCTCCCCAGTCCCCCTCATCGTCCAATTTTTATATTTCCCAACGTTTCCAGACGTCACTCTTGACCCTGATTTTCCCCTTTCGCCTCTGTGCCCATCCCATATCATCCCTCGCCATATCATGGTTATCCCCTGTGGCATGTTATCGCAGTGACAGGCAAATACTGGCCGTTGGTATTTCAGATTGCACCCAAGATGCGTCCAGCATCAGGATCTCGTGCTGCTGACCTGGCGGCCATTAGAGAGCATTGCCATCCGCAGGTGTATAGGAGATGAGAGGTGCCAGTGCCACCGTACGTGCTTATCTAATTTGTTTTGAGACGTCTCAAAACGAATCTTCTATCCGCAGGTGCATAGGAGATGAGAGGTGCCACCACCATACGTGCTTATTTAACCTTGAAACATGTGGACACTCATATTTTTTAATAATCAATCGCATACTGTAAGTCACCGGGCATGCCTTGTATGGGCAATACGGTAGGTTTGAATAAGGAATGCTAGGTGTTGCTTGCACATGTACTTTATGTGTCACTTGCAAATAGGTCCACTAGAAAGATATTGCTTCAATGCATGAGGATCATTGTGGCAGCCGCAATTACCACTTTTTGGTGCTTTACGTCACGTGTATTGTTGGGATGCGAAGTCACAGTAAATGTTACACAGTTTGAATTGAAGTGCAGTGACGCATAATTAGGAGCAAATCCAGTTAGACTGACTTATGTCGGAGCGGGAAAGTGCAATGAATTCGTTCGAGCTCCATCCATGGCGGTTTCCTCACCGACACGTCAGTCAGTCCGAATTTGATTACGACAAGGCAGACATTTTCCTCCCCCTTGAGGACTGCGTGATTCTTCCCAGCACAGGCACCGTTCCTGTTAGGTGGAGCTTGTTCTTTATAGACGGAGCATCCTTTTTGGTGCAGCATTCTCTCTTATATGTACATCGATGCATCTTCCCTGGTAGACGAAGTGATTTTTCAGTCGGCGCAAAAGACTCCACGTTACAAATTGGCGCATCTTCCTTGGTAGACGAGGCATTCGTCAGCATTCGTCAGCATTCGTCAGCATTCGTCAGCATTCGTCGTAACACCCGAATCTGCCATACGTTTTATCTCACTTCTGTCGATGCGTTTCGCGTGAGCGACCTCCTTCTTCCTTTGCTGATCCGACGGCCAGATGGGCTCGCTGCTATCGCGGCTGCTCGCCAGCCGTCCGATGGCCGGCGCTGGCCCCACGATGGTGGTGAAGGATCTCGTCCTGATTGGCGGAGGCCACAGGTGCATGCTCCACGAAGCTTCTTGGCGTCGTCTTTCCACCTCTCCTCCCTCTCACGTGCGCTAGTCGTTGGCCCATGCAGAGGAAGCACCTAAGAGCAAGGCTTTCTCGGCTCTCCCTCCCTTCCTGCTCTCTCGCCTCCGTCCCCTCCCTTTCCCCTCCTCCCCTCCCCCCCTCCCCTCCTTCCCCCACCCTGCATGTTCGCACCCAGCCACGTCATCGTGCTGAAGAGCTTCGCCATGAAGCCGATGCCAGGTGTCAGGCTCACATTGGTCACTCGTGACGTGCACACGCCCTACAGCGGCATGCTGCCAGGCTTCGTTGCGGGTGAGACCCCCATAGCTCTAATCTCCCTCTTCTCTCATCCTAAGCTTTCATGCTAATGAGACCCCTTCATCGCTGGTGGGACCCCTTCATCGCTGGTGAGACTTCCTCACCAGTCACGTTTTCCCTCCCCCCCCCTCTCTCCCTCCCCCCCACAGGCCACTACACATACGACGACTGTCACATTGACTTGCGCCCCTTGGCTGAGCTCACCAACGCGCGGCTGCTGCACTGCTGTGCGTCAGGCCTCGATTTGGTCAACCGCTCCGTGACACTCGCAGACGGGCGCCCCCCCATCCGCTATGACGTGCTCTCCATTGATATTGGAATCACGCCCCTGGTAAGCTGTCAAAGTGCTTGCGGTCGCGTCTGCTGCACTGCTGTGCGTCGGGCCTTGACCTGGCCAACCGCTCTATGACACTCGCCGACGGCAGGCCCCCCATCCGTTATGACGTGCTCTCCATCGATATTGGCATCACGCCCCTGGTACGCTGTGTAGTCTGTAGTCTGGCCTGTAGTCCAAGTGAACACCACTTAGGTGCCATAGATCTTTATGTGCCAGCAACTGTGAAAAACGCTGACGTGAGAAGTTGTAGTAGAGGTTGCTTGAAAAATGGATGGTAACCGGTTTCGGCTTGAGAGCCTTCTTCAGACCACAAAGAAAATGAGCAAGCCAGCTAGCTTAACTACCAACGACTCCTCTGCACGGTCTCGACGATGGCAAAGGGAAAGAAAGATAAACAAACAGTACACAACCTACTGTAGTCTAACACTTATGAGCAGAAATTAGAAATTTCCCAGCTCTGTAGTCTGTAGTCTGGCCTGTAGTCGGCAGTCAAGTCCGTAGTCCGTAGTCTGCACTCTGTAGTCTGTAGTCTGTAGTCTGTAGTCTGCACTCTGTAGTCTGTAGTCTGTAGTTTGTAATCTGTACTCTGTAGTCTGTAGTCTGTATTCTATAGTCTGTAGTCTTTAGTCTGAAGTCTGGTCTGTAGTCTGTTGTCTGTAGTCTGTAGTCTGTAGTCTGGTCTATAGTCTGTAGTCTGGTCTACAGTCTGTTGTCTGAAGTCTGTAATCTGCAGTCTGTAGTCTGTAGTCTATAGTCTGTAGTCTGGTCTATAGTCTGTAGTCTGTAGTCTGTAGTCTGTATTCTGTAACCTGTAGTCTGTAGTCTGTAGTCTGTATTCTGTATTCTGTAGACTGTAGTCTGTATTCTGTAGTCTGTAGTCTGGTCTGTAGTCTGTACCCTGTACTCTGTAGTCTGGTCGTTTCTGTAGTCTGTAGTCCGTAGTCTGTAGTCTGTATTCTGCAGTCTGTAGTCTGTATTCTGTATTCTGTATTCTGTAGTCTGTAGTCTGTAGTCTGTAGTCTGTAGTCTGTAGTCTGTAGTCTATAGTCTGTAGCCCGTAGTCCGGTCTGTAGTCTGGAGTCTGTAGTCTGGCTGCTGTGGAGCCCATTTCCCATACAGCCATCCCCCTTCCTCCTCTCCCTCTTGGGAGAGCAGCAGTCAGTTGGAGGCGCAAGAGTGCAGAAGTCAATGGAGGGCACACGAGTGCTGCTGACCCTCCCACTGAAGCCCATCGACCGCTGCACTTCCTCTCTTGTGCCCCCTGTGCCTGTTTCCCAAACGCACTGTGCCCTCACTCCCCACTCCGTGCGCCTCTCCCCCTTCCGCCTCTTGTGCGAGCAGCAGTCAGTTGAAGGCAGGCAATGGAGCGCACAAGAGTGCTGTTCCCTTGTGCCCGCTGTGCTTGTTGCCCAAACGCACTGTGCCCTTTTGAGTCGACTCAAAAGTCATCCTGTTCCCTTGTGCGCGCTGTGCTTGTTGCCCAGACGCACTGTGCCGTCACTTCCCACTCCGTGCGCGCAGCAGGCAATGGAAACACTTCCTCCTGCCCTCCCTGTCCATGCCCTCATTCCCCACACGAGTGCTGCTGCCCCTCCCTTTTGTGCCTCATCCTCCTTCCCTGCACAAAAGGGAGTGTCAGCAGCACTTCCTTCTTGTGCATCCTGTGCTTCTTTCCCAAACGCACTTCGCCATCACTCCCAACGCCATGCGAGGAGCAATCAGTGGAAGGTGCAAGGGATTTGACCCTTCCTGTGTGCAGCCCATCGATTCCTTCACCCCCAACCCGCCCCAACCCATGCTCCTTGACTCCCCACTGCGCCCCACACCGCCCCCCCCCCAATGCCATGCGAGCAGCAATTAGTGGAGGGCGCAAAGGAGCTGAATTTTCCAGTGTGAAGCCCATCGATTCCTTCACCCCCAACCCGCCCCAACCCATGCTCCTTGACTCCCCACTGCGCCCCACACCGCCCCCCCCCCCAACGCCGTGCGAGCAGCAGTCAGTGGAAGGTGCAAGGGAGCTGACCCTTCCTGTGTGAAGCCCATCGATTCCTTCACCCCCAACCCGCCCCAACCCATGCTCCTTGACTCCCCACTGCGCCCCACACCGCCCCCCCCCCCAACGCCGTGCAAGCAGCAGTCAGTGGAAGGTGCAAGGGAGCTGACCCTTCCTGTGTGAAGCCCATCGATTCCTTCACCCCCAACCCGCCCCAACCCATGCTCCTTGACTCCCCACTGCGCCCCACATCGCCCCCCCCCCCAACGCCGTGCGAGCAGCAGTCAGTGGAGGGCGCAAGGGAGCTGACTTTTCCTGTGAAGCCCATCGACTCGTTCACCAAGCGGTGGGATGCTCTCAGGTCTCGAATCCTCTCCCTCGCGCCTGTGAGTTGCACTGTGGGGGTGTGTGCTGTGAGTTGCACCGTGGGGGTGTGTGCCGTGCGTTGCACGGTGGTATGTATGACTCGTACTTCTGAGGCGCCTCTAAACTAGACTCCTATCGCGTGGGAGTGTGTGCTGTGCATGCGATATGTATGACTCGTATCTCAGGTAAGTAATTTTGTTGTCGACTAAAAAATCACCTGTGCATGCGATATGTATGACTCGTATCTCAGGCAAGTAGCAGTAGCCTCGCGGTTAACCTTGTGACTGGAGGAGGAGTGGATTCAAAACGGAGTAGCGTATGCTCTTCTTCCCTTTCCCCCTTCTTGAGAATTCTCAAAAATCACCTACAACATGAGGGGTGGATTCTTACGGAGTAGCGTATGCTCTTCTTCCCTTTCCTCCTTGCTTGTGTTCCTGTCCCCAACCCCACCCCTAGTCAGGGCTCCAGTGTCCGTGTGGTGGCAGTGGGAGGGGGAGCGGGGGGAGTGGAGCTACTTCTGGCCATGCAGCATCGACTGCAACAGGACTGCCTGGTAACCAGCGACTGGTAACCAGCTATCGGCAACCAGCTAGCGGTAACCAGGTAGTGGTAACCAGCAAGTGGTAACCAGCTATTGGTAACCGTTTACTGGTAACCGGCTGCTGATACCAGGCTACATCCTGATTCCTGATCCATCGTTTAATTTAATCTCAGCAGATGTGTGCGCACTCTGTTTCTTCCCTGCAGTTACCTGGGATTCTTGAGGCGCCTCAAAAGTTAATCTCAGCAGATGTGTGCGCACTCTGTTGCCCGGGATTCCTGATTTCTGATCCCTGCAGTTACCCGGGATTCCCTGCAGGAAACACTCTATTGTATGTGAGGCAGTGGTAACTAGTCTTAGTTCTTCATTGGCTGACTCGGAGAATGTAGCCGTCTCAAGGGTAATCCCGGGGATTCCTGTTGTGCTTGTCCGCAGAAGAGCCATGTGGACGCTTCTTTTGTTCTTGTAACGAGGGGGGAACTCCTGCCAACCCACAATGCTCGCGTGCGATCCATTCTCAGGCGGATTTTGCGGGAGAGAGGTCAGTCAGAGGAGTGGATGAGTGGGGGGGGGTTGATGAGTACATGAGCAAGGGGGTGTGAATGAGAGGAGTGAACATGTATGGTGTTCATTACCATGCACCAAAGCAAGGCAACAATTTGTCAGCATGTTTACGTGGCTCACAACCCTCCTTCCACGCACGCTATCCACCCCATCCGTGACTGTTAGTCGACTCAAGGAGCACCTACCGCCACCTACCCCACCCGTGACTGTTAGTCGACTCAAGGAGCACCTACCGCCACCTACCCCACCCGTGACTGTTAGTCGACTCAAGGAGCACCTACCGCCACCTACCCCACCCGTGACTGTTAGTCGACTCAAGGAGCACCTACCGCCACCTACCCCACCCGTGACTGTTAGTCGACTCAAGGAGCACCTACCGCCACCTACCCCACCCGTGACTGTTAGTCGACTCAAGGAGCACCTACCGCCACCTACCCCACCCGTGACTGTTAGTCGACTCAAGGAGCACCTACCGCCACCTACCCCACCCATGACTGTTTGTCGACTCAAGGAGCACCTACCGCCACCTACCCCATCCGTCTCCTTACATGAGTAGGTGATTGATGCCGCAGTGGCCGCGGTGTTTTGTTTTTTAGAATTCTGAAAAACAAAACACATCCTAGTTGACTCAAGGATCACCTACCACTACCTACCCTATCCGTCTCCTTAGGTGTGCAGGTGATTGATGCCGCAGTGGTAGCGGTGAGGAGAAGGCGAGGGGAGGGGGGCAGGGTCCAAGGGAGCCCGGAGGGGGTGGTTAGCAGCCGAAGCAGCAACTGGGAGAGTGGAGTGGAAGGGGGTCCGCCCCTTGAAGGAAGCGGGTTCACTCAAGAATGGTTGGTTCAAGAGGCACATGGCGTTGTAGTGCACGGGGGGGTGCTCGTTCTGGAAGGGGGAGAGGAGGTGGAGTTCGACGAGTGTGTGTGGTGCACGCAGGTGCGTGTGTGTGTGTGTGTGTGTGTGTGTGCATGTGTGTGTGTGTGTGTGCGCGTGCGCGTGTGTGTGTGTGTGTTTGGGACAGGCTGAGCAGTGGACGGCAGCAGTGTATTTGTCCAAGTGGGGGGCATACTCGATTCTTTTTGAGGCGCCTAAAAAAAAAAGACACTCGATTCCTTCCATCAGCCACAGGGGGCGTGTTCGCATCCATCTTCCCCCATCATCTCCTTTCCCGTGCATCCATCTTCCCCCATCATCTCCTTTCCCGTGCATCCATCTTCCCCCATCTCACTTCCTCCATTGCTCTATTCTATCCATCCACCTAACACCACATCTCAGGGGGGGTCCATCAGCCACAAGGGGGTGTTTCAAGCGGGAGGCATTCACTCCTGCTTTTGAGTCGACTCAAAAGCAGATTCATATGATTCGAGGACACACTCGAGTCCATCAGCCACAAGGGGGTGTTTCAAGCGGGAGGCATTCACTCCTGTCTCTGCCTCCGATTTATCCACCCACCCATCCACTAACTCCCAGGGCGGAGCAGCCTCGTGGCTCTCCCAGACAGGCCTAGCGCTTGACAATGCGGGGTTTATCAGAGTGGGCGACACCCTAGAGTCTATCAGCCACAAGGGCGTGTTTGCAGTGGGGGACATCCACTCGTCCGACATCTACCCAAGGCCCAAGGCGGGCGTGTTTGCAGTCAGGCAGGGGATGCCCTTAGCTGAGAATCTCAGGAGGGCGCTGATGGAGCACCCACTGAAGCCATTCAAGCCGCAGAGCACGTTCCTCAGCCTTATAAGGTGCGTTGAGTGGCTTGCCTTGGCTCAGGGTAGGTAGGCGTGCTTGCAGCAGCAGGGGACATCCAGGCTTCTGAGGTCTACCCAAGGCCCAAGGCGGGCGTGTTTGCGGTGCGCCAAGGCATGCCCTTAGCTTACGGACAACTTAAGAAGAACGTTGTTGGATCAACCATTTAAGCCCTTCGAGCCACAGAGCACGTTCCTAAGGCTCATCAGGTGCATTCAATTGACCTCAAGAGAGACGTGTTAACAGGGGGCATCCATCCACTCCTCTCACTTTTGCAGGGTGTGTTTTAGAATTCACCCACTGCTGCCCTTCTACTGATCAAAGGCTCACTCTATCACTCAGTCTCTCCTTAGCCATCCCATCCCTCCCCATTCCCCCTCGCAGTACCGGCGACAAGTATGCAGTCTTCTCTCGGGGCTCTCTGGCATTCGAAGACGGGCTCATGTGGACTCTCAAGGTGAGCGAGCGCTCTGCTACAAGCTTCATTTATACAAAGAAACGATCTTCAAGTTGGTAAATCCTGTGCCATCCTAAAACCGTCTGCCCTCCTTAAACCCTGTGCCCTCCATCCCGTTTTCGTTCCCCCCCCTCCCCACTCCTTTCAGACCGTGCTTTCACGTGCCAGTTCAGCCAGCTGCCCTCCCCACCGTCCCGCACTCCCCACCCACCCCCCATCCTCCCCTCCCCATCCCCCCCTCCTGAACCCAGTCTTTTCCTCATCTTCTCTCTCCCCCCCCTCCCCCTCAGGACCGCATCGACTGTGCTTTCTTATGCCAGTTCAGCCTGCTGCTCGCCATGCCATCCCCCCTCCTTCCCATCCTCCCTTCCTGAGCCCAGTTTTCTTCCCATCCTCCCCCCCCACTTCCTCCTCCCCCCCCTATTCACCTCCCCCTCAGGACCGCATCGACCGTGCTTTCATGCGCCAGTTCAGCCAGCTGCCCGCCATGCCCTCCCCCCCTGCCCCCACCATCCCTGTGGCACACACGGCTGGGCCCGAGGCCTTGCTGGCACTGAAGAGCTTGCCCATGCGGTGTGGGGGGTGCGGCTCCAAGGTGAGGCATTGCCAGCCCTTTGAGGCAATCTCACCACGCTCGTCTCACCCCACCCTTCCATACCCTTTCTTTCTCAAAAGTCTCTTTTCTCCTCACCCCCAACCAACTTACCCCCAACCAACGTACCCCAACCAACCCCCCTCCGCGTCTTCTCATCCCTTCTCGTTCATGTTCTGACTCAACTCGCCGCCCTCTCCTCCCTATAAATCCCTCCCCGTTATCATGTATCAACATCCCCACCCCACCCCTTGTTCTTATCTCCCTGTCCCTCCCCTCCGGTCGGATCATCCCTTCTCTCCCGCGTTCTCACTCGCCTCTCCTCCCTTCCTCCCCCCATCCCCCCTTCAGGTGGGCTCCTCCCGTCTCGCCCGTGTTCTCACTCGCCTCGCCTCTCCCCAGCCGCCCACCCACCCACCTCATGTCCACGATTCCCCCCATCCCCCTCCCCCCATCACCCTCCCCCCATCCCCCTCCCCCCATCCCCCTCCCCCCATCCCCCTCCCTTCTGCCCCTCCCTCCCCGTCCTCCCTTCAGGTGGGCTCCTCCCTTCTCGCCCGTGTCCTCTCTCGCCTCGCCGCCCTCCCCAGCCGCCCACCTGGCCGACCTGAGATTCTCCTGGGGCTGGATTCACCTGACGACGGTGCTGTGATGGAAATACCACCTGACAGAATGGGCGGCAATCAGGTGTGCATCTGGAGATTCTCCTGGGGCTGGATTCACCTGGCCGACCTGAGATTCTCCTGGGCTGGAAGCACTTGGCCGACCTGAGATTCTCCTGGAAGCACCTGACGACGGTGCTGTGATGGAAACACCACCTGAAAGGGCCAGTGGCAGTCAGGTATGCCTTTTCAGGTGCTCGTGATCAGGTTTGAAGATGTTTCAAAATTCACCTGACAATTCACCTGAAGGTGCTGTCTCCGTGCCCTGACAAGTCATGCACATGAGGATGAGGCCCACATCTTTCTTTGCAACCATCCTCTTTCCGTTTTCCTCACCCCCAAGCAGAGGCAAGTCGTAGTGCAAACAGTCAACCTCTTCCGCTCCTTCTTCGCCGATCCTCACACCTTTGCCCGCATTGCTGCTCACCATGCCCCCATAACCCATGTGCTTCCCCTCTCATCCCGCCCCTCTTTTGAGTCGACTCAAAAGTCTCGATGCCCCCACAACCCATGTGCTTCCCCTCTCATCCCGCCCCTCTTTTGAGTCGACTCAAAAGTCTCGATGCCCCCACAAGCCATGTGCTTCCCCTCTCTCATTCCGCCCCTCTTCGTTCTCCCCATCTCCAACCAGAAACCAGTCATAGTGCAAACAGTCGATTTCTTCCGCTCCTTCCTCGCCGACCCCTACACCTTCGGCCGCATCGCTGCTCTCCATGCGCTGAGCGACTGCTTCGCGATGGGGGCTGACCCTGTCTCGGCGCTCGCTATAGTCACACTTCCATTTGGGACAGAGGAGAAGGTATGGCAGATTTATGACTCACCCCCTTTATTGTCGCTCCCTTCAATCACATCGCTTCTCGTCCTGCTCTGAGCGACTGCTTTGCCATGAGTGCGAATTTCGTTTCGGCGCTCGCTATAGTCACACTGCCCTTTGGGACAGAGGAGAAGGTAAGTGAGATGACGGTTGTAGGCATGCACACCCCTTGAGATGCCACACTCCCTTTATGGTCACACCCGTTCGCGTTTCTGCTCGCCATGCGCTTGGTCACTGCTTTCCCGTGGGTTCTGGCCCTGTTTCAGCGCTCACTATAGTCACACCGCCGTTTCTGACAGTGCCGATTTCCAGCTCAAAGCAGGGGGGCCATGGGCCATGGTGTTTAATAGGTCAACTGACCCCTCTCTCCTCTTTCCCCCATCATCTTGTCCGCCTTCTCCCCTTCCTCCGCTTCCTCCCTCCCCCCCTCCCCCCATAACAACCCCCCATACCCCCCCCACCCCCACCCCCTCCTGCACCCCTGTGCAAGTGGAGGAGGAGATCTTACAGCTGCTTTTGAGTCAGACTCAATGGCAGCAGCCATGGTATTTCCTGAAGATAAGATTACGCCCCCTCTTCCCCCCATTTTCCCATGCTCTTCTCCCCTTCTCGGCCTCCCTTCCCCTCTCCACCCCCCCTCTTTTCCACTCTTCCTCCTCCTCTCCCCTCATCAGGTAGAGGAGGGGCTCTTCCATCTCATGGCAGGGGCCGTGGTTATTTTTAACAGCTGAAAATTATGCCCCCGCTTCCTCCCCTTCCCCTCCCCTCCCCCATCCCCTCTCCCCGCCCCTCCCTCCTCCCCTCATCAGGTGGAGGAGGAGCTCTTCCAGCTCATGGCAGGGGCCATCCGCGAATTGGACGCTGCCACGTGTCAGCTGGTGGGAGGGCACACGGTGGAGGGGCCTGAGCTGTCGCTGGGGTTTGCTGTCACGGGATTGGCGGAGAAGGACAGGCTGTTGAGAAAGGTATTGGGGTTTGTTAGAGAGGGTTGACGTTGATGGGGTTAAAGTTGAGGGCCTGATGTGTTGCTGGGCTTGGCTATCATGGGGTTTTTGAGGCGCCTAAAAAATCTGTCATGGGGCCTGGCTGCGAAGGACAGGCTATTGAGAAAGGTATTGGGATGTGCCCCAGGGATTGAGAAAGGTATTGATGCTGCTGGGGTTGAAGTGACGGGGCCTGAGCTATCGCTGGGGTTTGCTGTCACGGGATTGGCTGACAGAGACAGGCTGCTGAGAAAGGTATTGAGGTTTGTTAGCGATGGTTGATCTCGCAGGGGTGGATGGAGATGGAGAGGCTTGAGTCGTTGCTGGGGCTTGCTGCCATGGGGTTGGTCGGCAGGGACAGGCTACTGAGAAAGGTAATACTGGGAATATGGTTTTGAGGCGCCTCAAAACTGGTCTTTTGACGGTTTGACGGTTTGGAGAATGTACAAAGAAAGGGACGGAAGGCATGTGTCGTTCCGTTCCGTGTATTCGTACCCATCCTCACCTCGTGCAGCCTGCGTTGTCGTAGCCGTTTCTTCCAAAGTGCTTCTCACCGCTTTGTTAAGTGGCACTTTGCGACAGGGTGAGAGGACAAGTAGCCATTAACGGCACTCTTCGCTGCAGCCCACCCTAACACCCTAACACCCGAACACCCTAACACCCTAGCGCCCGAACACCCTAACCCTAACGCTTTATGGCTACAAGTGCGACAGGGTGTGAGGACAAGGGGCATGACACGGGTGCTGTGCGCCATCATGGCTGCTGTCTAATGAGGACAAGGGACATGACACTGTGCCATCATGCCTGCTGTCGCGTACCTTGTTCTCACCAATGTGACACGGGTCACCGTGATTTTCTCGTTCTATCTCTCAACCCGTCCGCATGGTTGAACCAACCTTAGTCTGCGACCCATCTGGTAGCATGCAAGTGTGCTGTGCAGGCAGGCATGCATGTGGGCGACAGCATCATTCTCACCTCACCAAGCCCATTGGCAGGCGTCTGGCCTTCGCGAGACATGGGCCTTTTGATGCGACCCCATACATCCCACCCCCATGCATCCCACCCCCATACATCCCACCCCCATGCATCCCACCCCCATACATCCCACCCCCATGCATCCCACCCCCATGCATCCCACCCCCATGCATCCCACCCCCATACATCCCACCCCCATGCATCCCACCCCCATACATCCCACCCCCATGCATCCCACCCCCATGCATCCCACCCCCATACATTCCACCCCCATACATCCGACCCCCATACATCCCCCATCCCCACATATCCCATCCCCATGCGTGCATGCAGGCAGGCATGTGCGTCGGCGACAGCATCATTCTCACCAAGCCCATCGGCACAGGGGTCATTTTTGCAGCCAACATGAGGAGCAAGGCAAAGGTGGGATGGATCATGGGCACAGTACCGCTCTTAGTTCGGCTCAAACGCAGACCTTTGAGTCGACTCAAAAGGTGGGTGGGATGGCCATAGTTCCTGTCCTCGCCTAAAGGTTAATTACCCAACAGGTTGTGCGTAGATTAATCCTTTTCCCAGCAGCCTTTTCCTGAACCCAATAAGCCTCCGTCTCCCTGGTTCCTTTATAATCGGAGGCTCGTAACTTGACTTGTCTGCCTGTTCCGTCTTCCACGCCCCGCAGGGACGGTGGGTTGACGGGGCCATTGGCAGCATGCTGGTCTCTAATCAGGTGATTATGGTGTAGGGAAAATGCATTTCTTAATCAAGTGATTGTAGTGAATGGAAGAGTGAAAGGAAGTAATCAGTTGGTTACAAAAGGAATTGTGCAAGTGGCAATATGCAGGTCTCTAACCAGTTTTTCTTCGACAGTTTTACTTGTGAGGTACACCGGCAGTATTATTTCGTAGTGGACATATTTTGTACAAGGCGAATTCATTTGAGGACATAAGCCATTCCATTGTCTTTATTTCTCTCATCATGTCTCCTGCCTCATTTTCTCACATCGTGTCTCCTACCTCCCTCCCTTCCCAAGCATTTACCATCAGCAAGCAAGGCATTGCAACGCTCAACCCATCCACTGTTGCTGCCATCATCCCACAACCCATCCACTGTTGCTTCCATCATTACACAACCCATCTCCCCCCTTCCCCTTCCACCCTTCTCATCTAAACCCCCTTGTGCGCCCCCCTCCCCTTCCCCCCCCCAACCTTCCAAATCCCCCCGTTGGTTCTCGTCCCATTGCAAACGACACCAGAAAGCCGCAGCCATTGCATTGCAACACGAGGCCACTGCTGCTACAGATGTCACCGGCTTTGGTCTGATTGGTGTGTCTACTCAATTGAATTAATCAGCATGGAATTGCATAATTCTCACCAGTTAGGTGTGTGTCTGCCATGAGGTGACTTTTGAGTCGACTCAAAAGTCACCTCGGCTTGATTGGTGTGTCTATTCGGTTCACTTGATCAGCATTTAATTCCATAATTCTCACCAGTTAGGTGCGTGTGTGCCATGCCATCGGATGCCATGGTATGTCATGCAGTGCCATGTGCAGTGCAAATATTCAGCATGTTAGTCTTGTGTCGCATGACAGGACACTAGTTTTGAGGCGCCGCAAAGTCGGATGCCATGGAATGTCATGTGGTGCCATGTGCAGTGCATATATTCAGCATGTTGATCTTGTGTCACATGCCCATGCCACAGGCCATCTGGTGGAGATGACAAATGCCTCACGTGTTACTGTCTCCATCGACCCATCTACAGTACCCATTCTGGTAACCACCCGTGCATCCTGGTAGCACAGCTGCAGTTCTTGTTCATTCTTGTGGCTGCCACAAGAACGGGGTATAACCAGGCTCTTGTGGTAACCTGGTTACATGCTCTTGTGGTAATACCGTATGCTCTGGTCCTTCACAAGAGCCCGATTATGCTTCCTCTCTTCCAAATTCTGCCCTCAATCCCACCCCTTCCTCCTCCCCCCCCTGTTTCCCCCCCCCTAAGGATGGTGCACTTGAGTGCACCCAAGGGGGCATTTTCAGCTCGCTCCAAGACTCGAATTTGCGCCTGCGACGAGCCATCAGCAATTATGAGGAGGTGAGGCGGAATGGGAATCGGTTGTGAGGAATGAGAAGGTGTGATGAGGAGTGAAAGGATGTGACATGAGCGATGGGAGATCAACCGAGACACACATCCCTTCCTCCGCCCCTTCATAAGTTGAGGCATAGTGTAACTCTCTGGGTTGTCAGATCTTATTAACCCCCCCTCCTTCCCCCACACACGCACTCCATTTCTCCCCCCAACCTCGCCACTATCCACCTAAGGCCCCCTTTTCAAGGTATCCACTCCACCCATCCCCTCATGCCTTATTTTTGAACCGCGAACAGCTGGGGAGCCACTCCGTTCTTGTCAAACAGAATCATCAATCCCCACCCCTCTCCCTCCCCTCTCCCTCCCCTCTCCCTCCCCTCTCCCTCCCCTCTTCCTCCCCTCTCCCCTCTTTCCTGCCCCGTCCAACATACCCCACCCCCCCCACTTCACACATCCTTCCCCCATTCCCCCAGGCATCCACCCATCCCCTCACATCTCTTCTATTTGACCCCCAGACGGCCGGGGGACTTCTTCTCTCTGTGCCTCACGCTAGAGCCACTCAGTGCTTGCTAGCTTTGCACAGTGGGGGATACCCCGCTGCTGCTGTGATCGGTAGAGTGGTTTCCTTGACTGAGGAGGCGTGTGGAGGCCCGTCCGTTACGATTGAATGCAACCAGTAGGGAAAAAGAATTTATCCGTTCTTCGTATTATGAAAGTTTGCTTCATTTATTGGTGCCCCATACGCGCCTTCATATATTGATACCCTTGAAGATAATGCCTATCGATATCGCTTCTATTTTTAGTGAGCGTCTTACTACCACACGCTCATATGGCTGGTGGTGAAGAATTCCGAAAGAATAAGTTGCTTTGTTGCAAGTACCACGTCCACGTCCTTTATGTCAAGTTGTGAAACACTATTTGAATATCACTGTATGATATTATTGGTTCCCGAAACGTTCAACGACTCTGTAGCGGATCCCTAGCTCTCACCTGCGAATTCCACCGCGTTTGTTTGTACTCCCTCGGCATTTTCTAGGAGGCACTCACATCCACGCGCTAGTCAGTCAGGCACCGCAGCTCTAGTCTCTCGCTCACTGAACGACACTCACGCCAGGGGCCCCACGTGTCTCTCTTGAATGTCGCCTTCGCGATGGTCGTTCGCGGTAACCGAAGCCCGTACTTCCTCGCGAGCGTCGAAAATACTGCCCAAATCACGTTCCACGCGACGATTCGTTGCCTCCATCTCGTCCTAGCCTGCTCCTTCGGCTCGGATATCCGTTTCCCTGCCATGCATGCTCTCTAGACTAGAAAAACCGAAGCTCCATACGCGGCGTCCTCGGGATTCCGCTCGCGAAACGTGGTCGTTTATTTCGTCGTCGTCCATTTCGCGACGAACTACCGCATCGCAGGGACGCACCAGCAACCGTCGCCACGATGGGTGAATTCTCGTTTCGGACCTCCGCTAAACCCCTTCCGAAACCGGGTGAATTCTGGGTGATTCCTCCTGCGCTCCTCCAGCTCTCTGGGTTTGAATTCCTCCAGTCTCCGAAATCTCTTTCTAGCACACGAGATTTGGAAACCCTTCTAAACGTCAAGTTAGCAACATCTGGCGAATTGATTTGGAAGGTAGCAACAACGCACGATGCAGCGGCGGCTGCGGCCTCGGAAGCACTCGCAGGAGAAGAGGCAGAGCGAGCGACGGAACTCAACACGCAGGGGCAGGGAGGAGTGGGAGGATGAGCCGATCGAGTATGCTGATGCTGATGCTGATGCTGATGCTGATGCTGGAAATGACTTCCGTGCCTCTCAGCCCAAAGTACCTAAGCCGGTGCATTCCACGGCCCTGATGTTCGTTCATAATTCGATTCGGCAGGTGGAAACGCTTTTGAACGTGAAAGCTCTGCTGGTGCGCGAGAGGACGGATGGGGACGAGGCGAGTGGGCCGCAGGAGCGGCAAGAGGGGGGAGCGCAAGGTGATGACGAAGCAGCAGGCGATAAGGAGCAGGGAAAGGGTGAGGATGCCCCCCTGTCCCCTGCAGCAAGAATGGGGGAATTGCTGGCGAAGCGGGGGAAGAAAGAGGTCGAGACGGCGCTGCGAGAGGGTGGGGGTGTAAGCCGTGCAGCAGGAAGCGGGGAGAGGGGGCAAGAGGGAGCCGTGCTGGCGAAGCGGGAGAGGAAAGAGTTGGAGGCCGTGTGGCGAAGGAGGAGGGTGGCAGCAGCGCATGGGCCCCTGCTGAGGTCGAATCTGAATGACCTCATCTCCTGGTGGGAGAGGAAGGTCGACGGGCGGCTGGGCCCGCACGAACCCGACCCATTCCAGGGGAAGGTTGCCAAGGGGCTGGGCCTGCAGGAGCCGGACCCTTTCCAGAGGAAGGTTGCCAAGAGGCTGGCCCCGCACGAGTGCGACCCTTTCCAGAGGAAGGAGGAGGAGGAGAAGGCGGCAAAGGAGGTGCTGTTTACAACAGTGCTGGCAGTGGTGCGGCTGCTGCCGGCCTTTTCAAAGGTGCTGCTGGGTTTGGAGGGTTTGTGTGACGCTGGGTGTGAGGTGTGTGGGAGGGAGGATGTGGATCTGAATCTGGTGGAAAGGGTGGTGGGTTGCTACCCTCCTTGTGTGGAGCGTAGGGGCAAGGGCAAGGTTACGCTGCCTAGCGTGCCTCGGGTTAAGGGAGGAAAGGAGGATGGAGCTAGGTCGGATGGACCTATTGGGTTCACAGGGGGGATGGCTGGTGAATTAAGAGAGGCTGTTGGAAGAGCAGGAGGGGCAGATGGGGTGGTGGGGGAATAGTTGGGGCGGAGGGAGCAAGGGGAGGGTTGGTGGGAGCGATGTGTGGGGAGGAGGGAGCAAGGGGAGGGTTGGTGGGAGCGATGTGTGGGGAGGAGGGAGCAAGGGGTGGGTTGTTGGGAGCGATAGGTGGTGGTGGGAAAGAGGTGGCGTTACCACGAGGCGAGGTGGCAGGGGTGGCAGGAGCGGTGGGTGGGGAAGTAGAGGTAGGTGGGGAAGCGGGAGAGGAAACCGGGCTGGCAGGAGAGAAAACTGGGGTGGCAGGAGAGACAACTGGGGTGGCAGGAGAGACAAATGGGGTGGCAGGAGAGACAACTGGGGTGGCAGGAGAGACAACTGGGGTGGCAGGAGAGACAACTGGGGTGGCAGGAGAGACAACTGGGGTGGCAGGAGAGCAGAGAGAGGTAGCAGGGGTGGAAGGAGGGGTGGGTGAGGGAGGAGGCTCCTTGGGTGGGTCTCTTGGTGGGGCAGCCGGGGTGATGGGAGGGACTTTTCGCGGGGCCTCTGCTGCTGCTGCTGCTGCTGCTGCTGCTGCTGCTGCTGGTGCTGCTGCTGCTGCTGCTGCTGCTGCTGCTGCTGCTGCTGCTGCTGCTGCTGGTGCTGGTGCTGCTGCTGCTGCTGCTGCTGCTGCTGCTGCTGCTGCTGGTGGCGCTGCTGCTGGTTCTTCTGGTGGTGCTGCTGGTGGGGTGTCTGCGCAAGCAGTAGACTTGGCTGGGGCGACAGGAGAAGAAATGGCTGGGGTGACTTCTGAGTTGATCCAAATGTCATCCGGCAGGGTGTCTGGTGGGTTCTCCAGTGCGGTGTCTGGGCCTGCAGTTGACATGCCTGGAGCAGCACGAGGGACAGCTGGGCCTGCAGTTGACATGCCTGAAGCAGCACGAGGGACAGCTGGGCCTGCAGTTGACATGCCTGGAGCGGCACGAGGGACAGCTGGGCCTGCAGTTGACATGCCTGAAGCGGCACGAGGGACAGCTGGGCCTGCAGTTGACATGCCTGAAGCGGCACGAGGGACAGCTGGGCCTGCAGTTGACATGCCTGAAGCGGCACGAGGGACAGCTGGGCCTGCAGTTGACATGCCTGGAGCGGCACGAGGGACAGCTGGGCCTGCAGTTGACATGCCTGAAGCAGCACGAGGGACGGCTGGGCCAGCAGAAGAGATGGCAGGGGCGACAGGAGGGGAAGCGGCTGGGGCGACTTTAAAGTCGATGCAAAAGTCATCCGGTGGGGTGTCTCAGCCAGCAGTAGACATGCCTTGTACGGCACGAGGATTGGATGGGAGATCAGAATGGGGTGGGACGGCAGGAGGGACGGCAGGAAGGGAGATGGCTGGAGTGGTGAAGGAAGAATATATCGAGGAGAGTGGCGATGAGGGGAGGTGGGTTGGGGAAGTGGGTGATCAGATGCCACCGCGTGTGATAGGAGGTGCGACGATAGACGAGGGGGGTCGTGTGGGGGGGAGAAGATCTGCTATTGATCGCGGGACGAGGGTTGGGGCAGTTGGATTTCAGATGCCACTGCGTGCGGTGGGAGGTACGACGATAGACGAGGGGGGTCGTGTGGGGGCAAGAGGGTCGGTTATGGATGGGGGGAAGAGAAAGAGAGGCGGAGAGGAACGAGAAGGCGAGGAAAGGAGAGGAAGTGAAGTAGCAGGGGAAGGGAGAAGGAATTATGTGGGTAAGGGGATTCTACCTCAAGGGAGGGGCAGTGATGGCACGGGGGAATCTGCTAAAGGGAGGAATGGTGCTGGCACGGGGAACGTGGGGGTGAGAAGGGAGACTAGGGATACGGTGCTAGTTCCGCATACTGTGTATGTCATCTACAAGAAGAGTGAGGTTGACAAGATGCGACAGCAGCGCCAGCAGTGGGAGCAGCAGCAGCAGCGGCGACTACAGCAGAGGCAGCAGCGACAGCAGCAGCAGCAGCAGCAGCAGCAGCACGGACAGCAGAGGCAGCATCAGCAGCAAGGGCAGCAGGGGCAGGAGCAGCAGGAGCAACAACAACTGCAGCAGCAGCAGCAGCAGCAGCGACAGCAACAGCAGCAACAACTGCAGCAGCAGCAGCAGCAGCGACAGCAACAGCAGCAACAACTGCAGCAGCAGCAACAGTTGCAGCAGCAGCAACAACTGCAGCAGCAGCAGCAACAGCAGCAGCAACAACAGATGACTGAAGGCATAGAGGATGGAGGTAGAAGAGGAGGCTTGGGGCCTTCGGTAGCTGGGAGTGGCGGAGAGGTGGTGGAGGGTAGGAGGGCCATGCGTGGTACTATAGGGAGGGACAGGAGTGGTAGTGTGATAGTAGAGGAGGCTGGTGTGGGTGTTAAGGACGCTACTATGGCAATAAAGAAGAAGGCTGGTGGTGGTAGTATTGGCGGCGGTGGTGGTGGTGGCAGTATTGGTGATGGTGCTGCTGCTACTGCTGCCGCTGCTGCTGACATTATGGGTGCTGGTGCCAGTGGTGGTGGCGGCAGCAGCAGTGGTAAAGGTGGAGGAGGAGGAGAGGGAGGGAGAGGAGGGGGGGGGAGGAGGGAAGGAGGAGGGGAAGGGAGCAGCGGAGAAAAGGAGGGCTGGAGGCTGGTGAAAGGAGCAGCATGTCAGCTGGAAGAGTCAAGCAGACAGGTGGAAGGGGCAAGCAGGCATGTGGAAGGGGCAGGATGTCAGGTGGAGCTGGGTGAGAGAGGCAGCAAGGGAGGAAAAGAGCCTACAAGAGCGGAGGTGGTTGTAGAGGGGCCTTTGCACTCTGGGCTACCAGGGGAGAAGAGGGCTTTACATAGTCGCACAGACAAAGGCGGGATGCAGAAGAAGAGGCGGATTGAGGAGTGAGGAGAGGCTCTTACAGGCAGCAAGAGATCTCCCAGGTGTGTCTGTGCTACAGCTCGTTTTGAGACGACTCAAGACTTACCTACTTGGACACGGAGGGATGCAGAAGAAGAGGCGAATGGAGAAATGAAGGAGGGCCAGCAAGTGATCTCCCAGGTGGTTCTGTTGGGATTGGTTGGGATGGGATATTCAATGATTGTTGTCACGGTACGTGTACATAGTTCGACAGTTGAATGTTTGTTCAACTGAGTTCTCACTGGGAGTCGCACACTACAGCACTACAAATCTTCCTCTTGCTAGACCACTGTTGCTTTGTGCGGGTAACATTGTTTCAATGGGTACACTCGAGAGACAGACAATCACTGGCAGATGTATGGTGTGTAACACGCTCGGCATTCTACAGGCTGGAATGTACTGTACACTCTCAGGAAAACATTCGATCACTCCCATCCATGGCAAGTGTGAGTCAAGGAAGAGCAACTGTGGCAGGGGTTAAAGCTAAGGTAGGGCTAGTCCAGAGCCCAAAGGAAAGCGGTGGCCCGGGGTCAGCAGGAAGACAAGAAAAAAACCCAACCCCGAAGCAGCAGTTACAGCAGCTGCAGCAGCAGCAGCAGCAGCAGCAGCAGGAGCAGAAATGGTCGGTCAACCGTGCATGTTGTGAGGCGGGCACTCGTGTGGTTAGAACAAGCACTTGCGGTGTACAAGCGCTTGCGGTGTACAAGCGCTTGCGGTGTACAAGCACTTGCGAAGCACAAGCACTTGCGGTGTACAAGCACTAGCGATGTACAAGCACTTGCGGTGTACAAGCACTAGCGATGTACAAGCACTTGCGAAGCACAAGCACTTGTGAGGTGGTTTGAGGATTCATGGTAAGGGGGGGGTGATGGGAACTGTAGCAAAGGATCTGACAGATGCAGGGGCAGTGGAGGTAGCAACGGCAGCAGAGACAGCAGGAAGAGCAGGAAGAGCAGGAAGAGCAGGAAGAGCAGGAAGAGCAGAGGCAGCAGCCGCGGCAGGGGCGGCATGAGAAGCAGCAGAGATGAGAGAGGAGGCAGAAGGCAGGACTGGTCTAGAACCAACAGGAGGTAAGAGTGCGGCTACCGAGGGAGTGGCACAGCGGACAGACAAAGAGGGGACTCGTGACTGTGACGAGGAGTGAGCACTGGCATGAGTGACAAGTGGAGCAGTTATGGCGGCATTCTTGGCATAAGAGGGACTGTGACTTGACGAGGATCGGTGCAAGAGAGGGGCAGGGTTCACTGTGGGAGCAGGATGCAGGGACTGCCTGTTTGTGGGATGCGAGTTAGAGTTAAAGTGGGAGGTATTGGCTGGCTTTGCTGTGGACGGGTGACGAGGAGGGATGATGTGGAGCTTTGGGAATCCTCCTCCCCCTCCGCCTGTTGTTCCTGTTCCTGCTGATGTTGTTTTTACTGCTGCTGCTGTAAAACCTGCTGCTCTGCTGCCCGTTGGTGCTGGCATTCGTGCAGTCATTGACGGTACATTTGCGACTGGATGTGCTGCCACGGCAACACAATGTGCTGCTGCTGCTGCTGCGGGTGCTGGGGGTGCTGCTGCTGCTGCTGCTGCTGCTGGTGCTGCTGCTGCTGCTGCTGCTGCTGCTGGGGTTGCTGCTGCTGCTGCTGCTGCGGGTGCTGCTGCTGCTGCGACACCGGCTGGTAAGACTATGCCAGTTGTTGCTTGAACCGCCTTGCTAATGCCAGCTGGCCTCGCCCCTGTTGCTGGTGCTGGTGCGGCTGGTGTTGCTGCTGTTGCCGCTTGTGGTAGTGGGACTCTGGCTCCCTGTGCCGCTGGTGCTGCCCTTGCTGCCACTGCAGTTGCTGCTGCTCTTGCCGCTTGTGGCATTGGGGCTGCTGCTGCTGCACTTGCCGGTTGTGGTATTGGGGCCGATCTTCCTGCTGCTGCTGCTGCTGGTGCCACTGTTGCTGTTTGCGCCGTTGCCACTGCTGCTTGTGCGACATGAGATGACACATGCCATCTAATTTTGACCTTGGCGATTCCTCTGCTCTAGAGAGCAGACAGGGGGACGACAGAAGGCAGAAGGCAGGGGAGAAGGCAAGGGAGAAGGCAGGGGAGAAGGCAGGGGAGAAGGTAAGGGAGAAGGCAGGGGAGAAGGCAGGGGAGAAGGCAAGGGAGAAGGCAAGGGAGAAGGCAGGGGAGAAGGCAAAGGAGAAGGCAAGGGAGAAGGCAGGGGAGAAGGCAAGGGAGAAGGCAAGGGAGAAGGCAAGGGAGAAGGCAGGGGAGAAGGCAAGGGAGAAGGCAGGGGAGAAGGCAAGGGAGAAGGCAGGGGAGAAGGCAAGGGAGAAGGCAGGGGAGAAGGCAAGGGAGAAGGCAGGGGAGAAGGCAGGGGAGAAGGCAAGGGAGAAGGCAGGGGAGAAGGCAAGGGAGAAGGCAAGGGCCGATATGAGGAAGGAGACCAAACGGCACAAGAAAAGGAGGTAGGGAGAGATGTGAGAGGCAGGCAGAGAACAGATTCTGGAGATTGTAAGAGAGGAGGGAGCAGGAAGACGAGATGTTGGAAAGGATTATGCATCTGAGCAAAGAGATAGGGGAGACAGGTGTTGGTCGCTTCTGTTTCTGCATCAAATCACCTTATACTAGGTGACGGCAGTTCAGGTGAGGCAGCCACACCGAACTCTCGACCTGAAGCAACACCTGAAGTAGCACCTGAAGCAGCACCTGAAGCAGCACCTGAAGCAGCACCTGAAGCAGCACCTGAAGCAGCCCCCACAGCCCCCCCTGGCAGAACTCCTGCTACTCCTCCTCCCCCCACTCGCCTCCTCTTCTGTACCTCCTCCACCTCTTCCATTTGACTCTTCGAAGCCCACTTCTCCTCCGCTTCCCCATCCCCCCACTCCATCCACTCCTCCTTCCCTTCGTCCGTTTCCCCTCTCAAAACCGCTTTCAAGCCCCTTCCTCCTTCTGCGATACCCTGGCTTCCGTGGCACACTTGCTTCTTCAACCGTTTGAAAGCCACCCTTGGCTGTTCGCCTTGCGATCCCCCCTCTCCGGCTCTCCCCTTCAACTCATCCCCGTTGCTTCTCACTGCGTTCCTTCCGTCACTGCCCCCAGCACCAGCACCAGCACCAACATCAGCACCAGCACCAACACCAGCACCAACACCACAACCAGTGCCGTTGCTGCAACCACCAGCACTGCCACCAGCACCAGCAGCGCCTCCACCATCCTCCTCCTCCTCCTCCTCCTCCTCCTCCTCATCCGAATCTGACAGCAGCTCGATCACCTCTGGCTCCACCGGCTTCACAGCAGCAGCGCTCTTTCTTCCCCCAGCAGCGCTCTTTGCTGGCACACCAGCATTCTTTACAGTCACACCCCCACCCCTCCCCCTCCCTGTAGCCCCTCGCGTGACCCTCCTACTCTCCACCTCCCCAACACTCCCAGACACTGCTGCTGCATCGGCCGATGCTCTCCCTCTTGACAGAACCACTCTCAGAGCAGACCCACCAGCTGATGTTTCTCCTCTAGCCACTCTGTGCTGCTCCTGGTGTTGCTGCCCCAGCTGCTGCTGCTGCTGCTGCCCCTGCTGCTGCTGCTGCTGCTCCTTCCGCTGTCGCATCTGCTCCACCTCATGCCTCTTGTAAATCGCATACACAGTCCGCGGGACCAGCACTTTCTTCTTCCCACCCTTCCGTTTCGTTTCAACACTCTCCGACCCACCACTGGCAGCAGCAGAGTCAGCCGCACTGCCACCATCCCTCCCTTCCTTTGAAAACCCATCCGCCAGTCCCTGCCCTCCTCCCCTCCCCGCTCCTTCCTCCTCTGCTCCCATGCCTCCACATTTCCCTCCTTCCCCTCCTTTCTCCTCGTCTCTCTTCCGTTTCCCCTTATCCAAAACAGTTCCTCTTCCCCTGGCGCAACCCCCCTCTCCCAATCCATCCCCTTCCACCACACTCATCCGCATCAGGTCACTACCCTCTTCCCCAACCTCCTTCTCCCAACCCCTTACCTCCCCAATCCCACTTTCATCAATAGTTTCGTCCTTCACCACCCCACCCATTCCCCCTCCTGTCACGCCAGCTATCCCTTCTGCTAGCCCATCTGCCCCACATGCCGACCCAGCCCTGTCTCTTGCTGTTTCACTTGCTGTTTCCGCAACCCCAACAGACGCCCCACCCACCACCGCCCCTGCCTTACTCCTCCCTCCCTCTGAGCTAGCCCCAACCTCCTCTACTCCATCCTCGCGGGGAAAGCTAGGTGTAACCATGTCCCTGCCAGGCACACTAGCTGTAACCCCATTCATGTTACTAGTTACGTCCGCAGCTAAGTCCCCAGCTTCGGCCCCGGCCTCGCCCTCAGCCTCGGGCCCACATTCGGCCCCAGCTTTGACCTCCTCCACCTGGTTTCGCTCCTCGCATCCCTCTCCCCTCCTCTCCCACTCTCTCATTTCCTCCCTCCCCTTTTCTCCACCAGCCTCTCTCACTTCCTCCCCTTCTCCCCCCCTCACCCCCATTTCTCCAGCCCCCCTACTCCCCAACTCTCTCACTTCCTCCCTTCCCTCCTCTCCATCAGCCTCTCTCACTTCCTCCCTTCCCTCCTCTCCACCAGCCTCTCTCACTTCCTCCCTTCCCTCCTCTCCATCAGCCTCTCTCACATCCTCCCCTACATCCTCCCTCAACCCCCCTTCTCCAGTCCCACTCCCTCCCTCCTCCTCACCCCCAACCCCACTCGATCCCACTCTGTTTTCCTCTCCCCCTCGCTCCAACCTCCCCCCCTCCCCCTCCTCCTTCCGCTTTCCCTCCTCCTCCTTCCGCCTCTGCTCCGCCTCTCTCCTCTTCAGCGCAGCAATAATCATTCTCTCCTCCTCATCTGACTCAGAACAGCTGCCATCATCCCCGTTACCGCTCTCCATCCTTCTCCACCTGCCATCGGGGAACACCTCCACCTCCTCGTCCTCTTCACTTGTTTCTTGGAGAATCTTTTGCACTGTCAGGAGGGTGGTGAATAGAAATGTACTATGTGGTCAAAAGGGGCAAAAGTGGGGAAGATCATTGACTGCCGTCAGCTGCAGTACCGCTCTCCACCCTTCTCCACCTGCCATCAAGAAACCCCTTCACCTCTTGGAGATAGTTTTGCACTGTAAGGAGGGCGGTGGGATGCAGTGCAGTGCGGTGAATGGGGGAAGATGGGAGGGAGGTGGGGAAAAGCGAGCGGGAAGGAGGGAGGGGAGGGGGGATGGGGGAGGGGAAGCATTGTTGAGTGGCATCATTCCCATTGCCAATCTCCACCCTCCTCCACCTGCCACCTGGAAACACCTCCACCTCCTTGTCCTTCTCAGCTGCTTCTTGGAGGATGTTTTGCACTGATGTAGTTCGTGATGGATGGAGTGCGGTGCGGTGGAATGCAGGCAGTAAAATGGGTGGTACCAGAGTTCATACAGTCAGGATATTCACTGAAGCCGACAGGGAAAAACTCGGCTTCATGCGAATGTACTATGCCCATAACGATGGCAATGTCAACATCCGCATGGATGTCAATTACTCACTGAAACCGTCCAGGAAGAGCTCGGACCACAGCAGCTGTTGGTAGCAGATGGGGCAGCGCCACGCCCTCTTGACGTTCTTCGCCAGGCCCTGGTTCATCCGGAGGTAAGACGCCAGGTCGAACGTGCTCTCGTGGGAGCACTTCTTGCCCCGAACAGGCACCTGGAGAGAGATGGGGAGAGAAAGAAAAAACACCACAATTTGCTGATCTTATGGCAGAGGTGTGAAACACCACAACATAGCGAATGCAGAAGCCAAAGAGAGAAGACGAAAGAGGACACCAAAGTCCGAAGTGAGGAGGAAGGACGGAAATGAGGTGAGGAGGAAGAAGGAAATATGAAGAGGCTAAAAGGCGAGGAGCGAAACCCGGAAGCCCTACCTTGATGCGTGCGAGGGAAAGCGGGCATTTGAGGCTGAGAATGAAGGCCTCCGTCTCCACCCCTCCCTCCCTCAGCTGCGCTGCTGAGTTCCTCACCATCTGCTCCACCACCTGCTCACTCGACCGCACCTTCCTCTCACACATTGTCACCTCCTGTGAGAGAGAGCAGAGAGGGAAGACAGGAGAGCGGAGAGAGGGAAAGGAGGGTTATAAGCCACCACCCTCTCCACCCAGCACACCTCCACATCCGTCCGCTCACACACCTCACCCCCCTAAAATTCAACTCAAAAGCACGCACAGACAGACAAACACTCACCAGCTGCTTGATCCCCTTCTCCGAGCGCATCATCTTGAGCACCTCAGGCGGGTTATACGCCACCACCCGCTCCACCCAGTACAGCTCCACATCCGTCCTCTCACACACCTCACCCCCCACGTCACACATCTTCACCAGACTCCCCTGGCAATCCGGCGGGAAGGCCGGCAGCAGCCGCACCACCCCCAGCACCGTTTCAAACAGCTCTGCCTTCGCCGCCTTCTCCTCCTCCTCCTTCCCCTGGAACGGGTCGCGTTCGCGCGGGCCCAGACGCCCGTCGACCTTCTTCTCCCACCAGGAGATCAGCTCCTGCAGCTGCATCCTCAGCAGGTCCCCATGCTGCGCTGCTGCTTTCCGCCTCCGAGACTCCGCCTCCTTCTCCTCCTTCTCCCATTTCGCCACCACGTTCTCGCCTCTTGCCGCAGGGCTCAAATCCCCCCCACCCCCCCCTGCTCCTCCTCTCCAGCCGCTTCTTCCCCCCCTTCTCCCGCTCCTTCCTGCCCCTCCTTCTGCTCCCCCGCCTCTCCCTCACCATTCTCCCTGCCCTCTGCCCCATCCATCCGCTCCGTAACCATAAGGGCTTTCACTCCAAAAAGCATCTCCACCTGGCGGATGGACTCATGGATGGACCTGAGCGCTCGGTAGTGCAAGGGCTCCAGGACCTTTGGCTGGGAGACAGGGAAGGCGTCTGCAGCATCGGCACCATCGTCCCTCTCCTCGTCCTCGTCCTCCTTACGTGCTGTCTTTCTCCGCTTGCTTCGCCATAGGCTCGGGAGCGGCTGGTCTTGGAGCGAGTGTTTCTGAGGCTGCTGCTGCTGCTGCTGCAGGTGTTCCTGCTGCTGCTGCAGGGGCTGTGACAACTGCTGGTGCTGCTGCGGTTGTGATTGTGGCTGCGGTTGCTGCAGCAACAGACGTTGTTGGTGCAGATTGTTCTGCTGTTGCAACAACTGCTGCTGCTGGTGCTGAAGCTGATTGCTCTGAACAGTCAAGTGCTGCTGTTTCAGCTGCTGCAGCTGTTGCTGTGGCTGCTGCTGCTGCTGGTGGTGAACTTGCTGCGCCTGCTGCTGCCGTTGGTACTTCTGTTGCTGCTGCTGAAGACGCTGCAGATGAGATAGGGTACCATCTTGTTCCTGAATGCGCCCTTGGTGCTGCTGCAGCTGCTGTGACTGTGGCTGTGACAGTAACTGTGACTGTGACTGTGACTGTGGTTGTGGTTGCTGTAGCTGCTTCCACCACTGCTGCTGCTGCTGCTGCTGGTGCTGCTGCACAGGAGGCTGAAGCTGCTGTGCTTGCTGCGGCTGTTGCGGTTGGAGAGCTTGTAATGGGGCGAGGGACGCGACACCTTGCTTTCCTTGCTGCCTCTGCAGATGCTGCTTGAGCAGTGTTTGCTGAAGGTCTGGTGGCAGCCGAAACCAAGGATGCTTTTCCTGCTCTTGCTGCTGCTGCTGCTGCTGCTGGTGTAGTTGCTGAAGTGGCTGCTGCTGCTGCTGTTGTGGAGTATGCCTACTCTGCAGGCCTGAGATTGCTGGAGACATCGCAAGTTGCTGCTGCACATGGCGCTGCTGCGTTAACTGCTGGGGCTGCGCCTGCCGCAAGGGCTGCAGCTGTTCCAGCTGCGCCTGCTGCAGGTGCGGATGCTGCTGATGCTGCTGCTTTGGTTGTTGCTGCTGCTGTTGCCGGGAACGCGACTGCTCCAGCTGTGCCTGTTGCTGGGGCTGCACCTGCTGTTGACCCGCCTGCTGCCGCTGCGGCTGCTGCTGCTGCGGGCTCAAAACCGGCAGTTGGAGCCCCTGCTGCTGCAACGGTCTATTCCGTTGCTGTTGGGACTGGGATTGTACCAACCGCTGGGGCTGCACTACCTGTTGACCCGGCTGCTGTAGCAGCTGATTCCGTTGCTGTTGCTGCCGGGGTTGCGCCTGCTGCAGGGACTGCACTACCTGTTGACCCGGCTGTTGCTGCTGGGCTTGGGGCTGCGCCTGCAGCTGCGGCTGCACTACCTGTTGACCCGGCTGCTGTAGCAGCTGATTCCGTTGCTGTTGCTGCCGGGGTTGCGCCTGCTGCAGGGACTGCACTACCTGTTGACCCGGCTGTTGCTGCTGGGCTTGGGGCTGCGCCTGCAGCTGCGGCTGCACTACCTGTTGACCCGGCTGCTGTAGCAGCTGATTCCGTTGCTGTTGCTGCTGGGGCTGCGCCTGCCGCTGGAGCTGCACTACCTGTTGACCCGGCTGTTGCTGCTGCTGTAGCACCTGGTTCCGATGCTGTTGCTGATGTGGCAGCGCCTGTTGCTGGGGCACGGGGTGCTGCTGGGGCTGTGCTTGCTGCTTGGACAGCATTTGCTGCTGACGCTGCAGTAGCTGCTGCTGCAGCAGCCAGTTCTGCTGCTGCTGCTGCTGCTGCTGCTGCTGGTATTGCAGACCATTTAGCTGCTGGTTGGCATGCGTCTGGCCGATTTGCTGCTGGCCCTGTTGCTGTCGGCTTGGCTGCTGCTGGTTCTGCTGCCGCTGGCTCTGCTGCTGACGGCTCTGCTGCAGCAGATTCTCCTGCCAGTCCTGCTGCCAGGATGGCTGCACTGTAACTCCCTGCATATGCGGTGCTCCCTGCTGCAAGCCTGTTCCCAGGATCAGCTGAGCTCCCGGAATCTGCTGGTTCTGCGCTTGAGCCACGGGGCTTCGAGATGATAGATTCTGCCTTATCGATCCTGCTATTGTCGCGTGCGTGGCCTGATTGGTCGACTGATACGGTAAGTTTTGATGCATCAGCACTGGCTGACCGGTCCTTAGAGTCGGTAGGCTTGCAGATGCCGTTGTAAGAGGACTGATTCTCTGGGATGGTACGGTCAGGGGTACTTGCGTGGCGTGAACGATTCGCACAGGCGGTAGAGCCTGATTCCCTGCTGGATTTCCCTGAGATAACACTCCGATCTCCTGAGATCCCGCGTTTACAGGTGCCGCTGTGGTCCGAAAGGATGTAACACGGTTCAGGAAGTCGGAAGCCGAATCAGGGACGGAGTTACGAGATGGATCCATGGCACCTGCTGTCCTTGCGACGCAAAAAAAACGGAGAAACTAGCAACTATACGATCTCCCTTCAACTTAACTACGGCTTTGCCTACGAGACTTGAGACAAGGACCTACTGCTCGGTTGAGAACGACGCTCCTGTTGTGGAATGGTTGAGGTTTCTATCAAGCTTAGGTCTCGGTTAGTATAATAATCTTCCGATCTAACTAGGTGTGCACGTTCCAAAAGGCAACATGAATATGAGCAGAGCTCGAAGCTAATGCCGAAACTAGAGCTGACAAATGAATCAAACAGGGATCATAGCAAGGATCCACCGCAGCTACCAATATCTACTCGCAACCTGAAGTTTCCCGCGAGAGTGCCTAGTACTACGTGCCTACGGTGTCTCCTAAAGCGCTAAAGAGATGGTTCTCAGAAAAGACAGGATACCTGCATGATGGTGATAATGGAAAGGAATTCAGGAACTTGATTGACAAGGAGAATCCAGGTCCCCATGGTTCTGCCTGCTGTTCTGCCTGTTGTAGTGTAGTGTAAACGGACAAACTTCTATGGTCTATGATAGCCATTCCAAACCGGACAAATCTCAGCCATCCGATTCCAGGAATTACCTGACGAAGATGTTGGCGAGCAGAGCACATCAGTCTTCCGCGCAGCTCAAACCTTCCGCGAAGCTCAATCTTTCCGCGCTTTGCCTCTTCCGGACCTGATGCATTCCGGATCAAATGCATTCCGCCAGGCGCCATTTTCCCCCAAAGCCAAGCCTAGCGGAAGCGGGAGCACAACCAAACCTGAGTAGATGTGCTTGGCGATACATGCGAAGTTACAGTGACGAACAACATAATTGGCGAAAAGAGAAGTGCTACACGGGCGAGAGTGGATATTGAGTTAACATATGGTTACTGAAACCTGCATTGCGAACAGCATCGCCTAGCGAAGCAGTCAGTGCTCACTATGCCAAGCAGACTTTCGCGCGCTTGTGTTTCAGGAGGCGGGAAACTGTTTCGCTCGGAGAATGTCAGACCTGGGAGATTCTCGAGGTGAACCCGCCCCAGCGGTCCACAGCCAGGAGAGTCTCGTCCGCAGGATTCACAGAGCACGGAGAATCTCGTCCGCTGGATAAACAGAAGACAGAATTTCTTCAGGAGGAGCACACACACAGCTCAAGGCTCCACCCACACCAGGATTCACAGAAAATGAAGGTTTCTGAGGTGGTAAATTGGTACAGCCTGAGGCATTCAGACAGCAGGACAGCATAGTGCAGTGCAGGCGCCATAGATATTATTCCACCCAATGGCATATCACTTTATGTGCATGCATCCCCTAGGGAGAGAATTTCCGAAGTAGACAACTCCGAGAGACATGGCGACAGGAGTTCAGCCGTATTAGTGTGTATTCCCATTATAATGCGCACCAGATTCAGACTAGGTTTTCATACCTGTATTCCAATTTCTTCCCAGAAGCCGTTGAATCAGATTAGCCATTATGACGCATATGCTATCTAGTCTCGAAGCACTACAATCGTATCAGGTTTTAAAAAAAATATTCCACACTGAATCTCCTCATTTCTAGTCATGACGTCAGCTCCTTCTCAGGATAGTTTCGTTGTCGGACAGCGGGTAGCTCTTAAGGAGCCCGAAATGGGCAGCCGCTATGCGCCACGTGGCACCGTGCGATACGTCGGACCCGTGGACGGTTACAAAAGCGAGTGGGTCGGCGTAGAGTGGGACGATCCTTTGCGAGGGAAACATGACGGCGTGGTAACCGGGAAACGTTACTTTCAGTGTTACATGGTTCCCTCTGGGACGCCTGCCGGATCGTTTGTGCGACCGCAGAAGCTGACGGGAGGGATCACGCTTCGTGAGGCCTTGCTGGACCGTTATAGCACAAGCGGAGCAGACTATAAAGGTGCGTTTCGCGCCTTCCACGACGAGCTTCATTCCGCTTATTGAATCTCGTTGCTGAAAGACATGCTATTACTCCGAGCCGGAAATCTATCTCCCGAAATCAGCGTCCCCTTCTCACGCACCATCTACTTCTTTTTTTGCCTTATATCGATCCACCTTGCAGCGGAGCCCATCTACAGGGCTCTCGGTCGGCGAAGGGCCATGGTTATAGAGTTCGTCTCCGCTCCAGCGAATAGGGCTGCAGCAGAGGGGGTTGCAGCAGAGGGGGCTGCAGCAGAGGGAGCAGAACCTGGAAGAGGGGAAGACATAGGAGCGCTGGAAGGGCAAGAGGAGGAGAAGGGGGTTGGGAGAATGGAAGGGGAAGCGGAAGGGAAAGGGGAAGGGGAAGGGAAGAGGAATGTAGAAGGTGCGGTTACTCAGAGTGACTCAGAGGGATCCCGTGAGGGCGTACTGGGTGGAAGAGAAGGCAGGAATGAAGACAAGGGAGACCCGTCCAAGAAGAACGGAATCTGGTTGTCCCGTCTTCAAGCAGCGAACGTGTCTGATGTGCCCGTGGGGTCGATTGGAGCTGCGCGGGAGGTGGCAGCTATTGCATGTGTGTACTTGCCGCTTCCCTTCTGCTGCCCAGAATGTCTGATGTGTGGTGTCCTCCTGTATTGCATGTCTTAGGCGCTAGCTTACTCCGCCTCACATCCCTCTTCAGAAGCTATGACCCTAGTTTTGAGGCGCCTCAAAACTTGCCGCTTCCCTTCTGCTGCCCAGAATGTCTGATGTGTGGTGTCCTCCTGTATTGCATGTCTTAGGCGCTAGCTTACTCCGCCTCACATCCCTCTTCAGAAGCTATGATCCTATATCTCCTCTTGTTTTCTTCTCGTCTCTTCCCCTCCATTCCGCCCAGCTCTGACGGAGCTTGTCATGTCATACCACCTCCTGCGCGACTGGCACGAGGTGCAGGAAGTGGGGCGAGAGCTACCAGCGCTGACCGCCCTCACAGGCCCTATATATATATGTCTCCACGTCCTCTTCTCTTTTCTCTTTCCCCTCCGTTCCTCCCAACTCTGACCGAGCTTGACATATCATACCACCTTCTCTGCGATTGGCACGAGGTGCAGAGAGTGGGGCGAGGACCACCAGCTGTCACAGCAATCACATACCCTAAATATGTATCAGTTTGTCTCTTCCCCTCCCTCTCTCCCAGCCCTGACAGAGCTTGACATGTCATACCATCTCCTCTCTGACTGGCACGAGGTGCAGAGAGTGGGGCTAGAGCTACCAGCCCTCACAGCCCTTGACATCGGCCATTCCCGGATTCAGTTCCCTCCTCCTGCCTCCGAGCCATGCGCCTCTCCCTTGGCTGGGTTGAGGAAGCTTGGGCTGAACAACACACGAGTCACATGGGCCCAGGTATGTGGGGCAGGGTTGGACTTTGCTTTGCGCTTTGCACCTTGCACTTTGCGCCTTGCGCCTTGCGACTTGCGCCTTCCACCTTGCACCTTGCACGTTGCCTTCTTGCTTTGAATCCTCTGCATTCCCACCTTGCTTTGCCTCTGTATCCAGGTGGAGGAAATCTCGCGGCAGCTTCCCCTCTTGGAAACCCTGGTTCTCATACGGAACGAGATTGCCGAGCTGCAACCCATCAGTGGCAGCGATTGCCTTCAGGTGAGAAACTGTGCAAGTTTTTGTAGGATTCTAGAGAACTTGAGACCCTCGTTCTCATAAAGAACGAGATTGCCGAGCTGCTGTGACCCATCAGTGGCGGAGATTGCCTTGAGGTGAGAAAGTGTCCGTGGTTCTCGGCTAGATTCAAGGCTATTCCTGCGCCTGCTGAAAGAAAACCGTGGAGCTGCGACCACAGCACCACATTCCCTTCCCTTCCTGCTGATTCCTTCGCCGAGCCCCATCTGTGTACCTTATCACATCCCCATTCTCTCTAGCAGAACCTATCCTATCTGGACTTATCTGCGAACCGCATCGCCGACTGGGCTCAAGTCTGCTTCCTCTCCTCCCTACCTGGGCCTCTGTGATGTATGCTCATGGAGCATTCCCTTCTCCTGTTCTCCCCCTTCTCACCCCCGGCAGAGCGTACCCTACCTGGACCTATCTGACAACCGCATTACCGACTGGGCTCAAGCAAGTCTCCGCGTTCCTCCTCACCTGGGTCCATTGTCATAAAGGCTCATGAAACCCGTCCCCATTCTGTTCACTCCTGACGCCACAGAACCTTTCCTACCTGGACCTATCTGACAACCGCATCACCGACTGGGCTCAAGTCGCCTTCCTCTCGGCCTTACCCTCGTGAGTGCTGCTGATGCTGCTACTCCCACCCCTTCTCTCATGCGTGCGTGCACTCCTGCTACTGCTGCCACTGCAACCTCTACCCTCTCTTGAAGCAACAGTTGTCCTAATCGTGCCTCATCTCTCCAGGCGCCTCAAAACAAGCGAGTATTTTTTTCCCTGTGTGCCTCCTCGTCCTGGCGATCAGCCTGCAATGGCTGCTGCTCTCGGGGAACCAGATCTCAAAGATTGGAGACACTCATACCACAGCTGCATCCGAGCCTACATTTCGCCATCTCCAGCACCTCTCTCTAGGTGCGCACTGCGTTTCTGGGCTGTGTGTAGCATGTTACCTGTGGTTACCCCCCAGCTGTACTGTCTTTTTAGTAGGCATGCCAGTTTCTGGCAAGCTTTGAGCTGAGACAGATTGAGAGTCACTTCATGTGATTAAGAATGACGTTTCTTAACCTCTATCTATCTCACCAAATCCCCAATCCAGCTAACAACGGCACTTCTGACTGGTCATCAATCGATGCACTGGCCGTGACATGCCCAAACCTCAAGGTACGGCGCTTCCAAACCTCAAGGTACGGCGCTTCCAAACCTCAAGGTACGGTGATTCCAAACCTCAAGGTACGGTACGGTGCCTCTAAACCTCGTTGTACGGTGCTTCAAGCTTCAAGGTACGCTTTCGAAGCCTAAAGTATGCTGCTCCAAACCTCTCAAGGTGTGGTTCTTGAACCGTATCCCTTACCATCCCTACCGCATTGTGTGCGTGTCCCCCTACAACGTCCCTACCACTTCCTCGTCCGTCACATATCATTTTCACTTACACATCCAGTTACCAGTTCCCATATCTCGCCATCACCACTACTCCCCTTCCCTGTCCCCATGCCAGGAGCCCATCCCCCCCGGCAACTTAGATACTTCTCGGACCTCAAACCTTACTAACCCCTCCTCTTCCCCCACACCCGCATCACACCAAGTTCCAATCCCCCCACTCCCTCCCCTCCTCCCTCCACCCCTTCCCCCCACCCCCTCCCGTTCCTCCACCCTTCCCTCCACCCCTTTGTCTCTGCCAGGAGCTGGTTCTGTCTCACAAGCCCTATGTGCCTCGATTGCCTTCAGCCAATCAAAGGACAGTCCCAACTAGCGTTGCAGCCACTAGCAACGTGACACCTGGCAGCGGGACAGAGGTCAGACAGGCAGCGAATGGGAGCCTGCCACCTGGTGGGGCGGGTGCTACTGCCGCTGATGGGGAGGAGAGTGGGAGGGTGGAGAGGAGTCAATGTGGGGTGACGGAGGAGGGGAGGATGGAGCTGATTGCAAGGCTTGGGTCGATCCAGAAGCTTAATAGTACTCAGGTAAAGAGGGGTTGTTATGCTTGTGTGTAAGTGCAGGGAGGGAGCATGGAGCGCGAGGATGCAGAGGTATGGCAAATCACACACAGTCATCCGCTCCCTCCCACGTGCCACCTCTCTTTCTGTGTGCATGTTGTCTTTGTCAACAGATACTGGAACCGGAGCGCTTGGATGCAGGGCTGTGGTACATCTCCCATGTCATTCGCTCCCTCCCCCACGCCACCTCTCTTTCCGTCTGCCTGTTGTATGTTTATGTGCGTATGTCCGCTGTGTCAATAGTGATTTTTTAGTCGACTCAAAAATTGTTTACGTGCGTATGTCCGCTGTGTCAACAGATCCTAGCACGAGAGCGCATGGATGCGGAGATGTGGTACATCTCCCATGTCATCCGCTCCCTCCCCCACGCCACCTCTCTCCCTCAACTCGTAGCAGCGGGCCATCCCTCCCTCCCCGCTCTCCTGGCCAAGCACGCTCTCGACCTGCAATCAGAGCAGAGAAAGCTGCTCCCAATGGCAGCAGCGGCAGCAGCTACTAGTGCTGCTACTGGTTCTGGTGCTGGTGTCGTTGTTCCTGCTGTCAACGGTGGTGTGAGCGCTAGTCGCACCAGCACTTCTTCCTTCATAAGTAAGATCGCTCACACACGCCTCCCTGTCTTCTACATCTCCCGCTCCCCTGCCTTGTCCTTCTCATAAATCCCCGGTTCGTGTACGCCCCCCCTCCCCCTAATCCCTCCCCTCCTTCCCCCCCTCCCTCTCCACCCCTCCCCCCCCCTCCTCCCCCTCTCCCCTTCCTGCTGTTCTGTTCGTCAATGCTCTCCCTGTTCATATGTCCCTCGGATTGCAGGCATCACATTCCGGGTGATTGGTCCCGGATGTGGCAGCAGCACAGGCAAGGAAGTCACCAAGAAGCTTCCTCAGTCCACAACGGTAAGCGCTGCTCCGCACCCTGTTAATTCTATCACTTACCGGTTTCCTCTTCATCTTAACTGGATGTGGTGGGCGATTCAGGCCCTGTTCATCCAGTTTAATATCTTCTTGTGCCATAGGCCTGCTGACACTGACTAGCGTCTCAGGTTCGCCGTATCCCACCATGTTCACGTTCTTTTCCCCTCCTCCCCATCGGTTCATCTTAACTGCGATGGCTTTTTTAGAATCCGGAAAAAAAAAAAAGCCCACTTTGTTCATGTTCTTTTCCCTTCCTTTCTGTCTGTGCACCTCGACTGCTTGGTTACAGGTTTCCACTTTTTTAGGCGCCTGAAAAATAGTATCTCGCTTTGTTCATGTTCTTTCCCCCTCCTTCCCGTCTGTGCATCTTGACTGAACTGCGTGGGAGCAGGTGTCCAAGATGCGGCCCCTCATCGCTCGACTGCTGAAGCTTGATCCCTCCTCCTTCTCCCTCTTCCTTCTGCCGTCCACCCTTGAAGGCGTTCAGGTAAGGGGAAGGGGCCTGTTGTGCATCTGTAAGTGCATGGGTGCAGCAGGCGTTTAAGATGCGGCCCCTCATCTCTTGGCTGCTGAAGCTGGAACCCCTTCTTCCTCTTCCTCCTACCGTCCACCCTTGAACGCATTCAGATAATGGGCCAGGGAGTGGTGAGGGGCCAGGTGAGTTCACATCGAGTCTGTGCGTGATGTGATGGCATGTGTCCTTTTTTTGCCTTCTTTGCAGCACTCCTGCTGCAGCCCCTCCCCTCACTCCTGCTGTAGGATACCAGGCTTTTGGGAGTGTTTCTCTGTTCTAGCTTCACGGCTATCGTAATTGGTTCTTGGATACTACGGTATCCAAACCTTAAGGTTACCAAGATACGTATTTTCTTGCTCTCCTCCGTCCCACTCAACCTCACTGCAGCCTCTCCCCTCACTCCTGCTGGATGATACTGAGCCATTGGGTGTGCTGCTCCACTCTGGCACCACAGCTGCCTTGGATGCTTCCCAAGCAACCATCCTCGTTGACACCTCACTGGTGAGTTATGTATGCTGTCGGAAGTATTTGCAAACCTCCTCCTCGCTCTCTACACCTTGGTGCACGTTCTAATGTTGCTATTAACATCTTGCAATGTTTTATTTACAGGACACCAGGCAAGCATCATCGTTGTCAAAGCCTCAAGTTCTGACTCGTGAACAGCAATTGAGGGTACTATTAGGGCAATAGTATACACGTAGAAGATTGAATATAGGAAATTGTATTGCACAGGTTGGCGACCACCAGATTGGCTTAGAGCTAGCATTACTTTCGATGAGAGGAATTGATGTGGTGTAGCCGTTTGGATGAAGCGTAGTAATTTTGTTATGCTCACATTTCTCCAAAAGTGGAGCTACACCGCTGAGAGCAACTGACAGGAGTTCCCGTTAAGACCAAGCGGCTCGACCCCAAGGATTCCAGGCTTTTCCCGCCTCTTTCCGGCCTTGCGGATTGGCTGCCTGAGCCCCCTTCACCAACATCAATCGAAGCCGTTAATCTCCCCTACCGACCGATCGGATACCGTCGATTGCTGATCTCGGGATTGCACATCACCCCTTCTGCTCCCTTTCCCTCCTGTTTTGCCTCCATTTCTCTGTTCCTCCTGCTCTGCTGCCTTTCCCTCTTCTCAGCTTTCTCCTTAGCTTTCTCCGAGGTCAGACTAGATGAGCTCTTTTCAGCAGCGCGTTTCTATTGTCTCGTCTAGCACAAGAAACGTGTTACTGTTCCGCGCTTGTTCGCGCCGATCGCCTTGCACGTTCGATCCCTCCAATCTCTGGTCTCTCGAGAGGGAACTACTTGCTAGGCCATTCTTTTCGAGCAGGCTTTCTGGTTTCTCTACAACTCTTTCGTCTCTACACCGTACGTTCTTTTACTTACGAGCCGAAACATCCACGTGTCGATTTTTGTATGGACGCAATTCCGCTTAGGGCAAGTAAAATGGAAACCGGTCAAATCCCCGGTCAATGGGAATACATGAGCAAGCCCCACCCAACAAGCGACCGGCATCAATTGCGGCGCTCGCTGTTGGCTCTTTCGGCTCGCCCCACCGAATCCGCTAGCCATGCCACGTGTACGAGAGATCCATTGACTGAGCGCCGTCAACTATCTCGCGAATCGCTGCTTGCGTCCTACCATGGAGTCCTCTACCGTAGAGAGTCCCACTGTAGGATGCCTTACTGGCGTGGAGAGTCCGTGGGTCTTGCAGCGGCGTGTCGCTGCTCTTTTGCCGCGTTGGTCTCACCCGAGGTGTCTCAAATACCCCTGGTTCAGTCAGTATCACTCACGGACTCGCCGAGTTGCGAGGTGCAGCCTCTTTTTGAAAAAGAGCCGCCGCAGCAGCACCAGCAACAGCATCAGTATCACCCATCGGTGCTGCAGCGCCGAAACCGGCATCATCTGCAGCAGCACCGGCACCAGCGCCGTCATCGACGCTGTCACCAGCACCAGCGCGTGGGCTGGTCTCAGCCGAAGCACGATCAGTCTGCTGCAAGATTGGTTTCGCGGCTTTTGTTTCCGGAAGGGGGTCGCTTTCTCTAGTCCCCTCCGGCCTGGTGGTCTCTAATTCGCCTCCAGCGCCGCCTCCACCGCCGCCTCCACCGCCGTCACCGACGCTGCCGCCCTCACCAACGCGTGGGCTGGCCTCAGCAGAAGCGGGATCCATAGCGTGGAGGCCGTTACAGCTACAGACGGGCTGAAGGGACGGCGAGGATTGAAGTTTGGAAGCTTCTCACGGCTCTCCAATCCCCGTTTTGGAAGCCGTTCGCTTTCTCTTGTCATCTCTAGGCTGGTGGTCTCTAATCTGCTCTGCTCTGGTCTGGTGCGCGCTCAATTCCCCGGGCTGCGCGCTGAGATAGCAGCAACAAAGAAAAAGAGACCCGAGTGTTGCAAAGGGTGACCTGTACGCTGGAAACTGAGACTTAAGGGTCCCAGAGGGTTTATGGACTCGATTCCGGAGTTTGAGGAGGAGATTGAGATGATTGGGAGCGAGGAGGAGCGAAGGGTGGCTTTGGCCATGGGGGGAGGAGGAGGCGTGGGGAGGGACGGATCGGGGAAAGGGAAGCAGAAGATGAGTGCTGCTGATGACGCTGCGTACAGAGAAGCTTCGTATGGGTCGCAATTCGACGCTGAGTATGATGCTTCTGAGAGCAGCCCGAGCACCAACGGCTCAGATGCATCCGGAGATGCGACTGTTGGGAGGAGCAGGTACAGCAGGGGCGATCGCCACAGCAGCAACAGGAGCAGCAACAGCAGGAGCAGCAGCAGGAGGCACGGCAGGAGGGAGCAGCAGAGGAGCAGGAGGGCGGGAGAGATTTCCGAAATCCCTATCCCTGAGGTTTACGAGGAGGAAGGATTTTCGACCGAGAACAATGAGGAGATTCCTCCTGTGGGCGTGCTCCCTTCGGGCGTGTCCCCTACGGGTGTGCCGCCTGTGGATGTGGCCCCTCAGGGGAACAGTCGCATGCAGCAGAAGACGGTGTGGGAGCTTCGTTCTGGCGCCCTTCCTGCTGCTGCAGCAGCTGCAAGCGCCAGTGCGGCAAGTGCTGTTGCCGCTCGTGTTCGTGCTGCACGCGGCTTTCCTGCATCTGGTCATAATGGAGCCCGCTCAGCAACTGCTACTACTGCTGCGCCTGCTAGTGGTTCTGCTGCTGCTGGCGCTAATCCTGCTGGTGTCACCAGTGGCGCTGCTGGTGCTGCTGCTAGTGGTCCCGGTGGGAGCGACAGGCATCACACCAAGGCTGAATCAGCCGCTCGTGGTCGTGGCTCCACTAGTAGCGCTGCTCCCGCTGCTGCTGCTGCTGCTGCTGCTGCTGCTGCGACCGTCTCCCCAACCACTTCCCCCCCTGCTGCAGCAACCTCCTTGCCCTCCCCTTCCCCTCCCCTTCCTCCCTCACCCCCCTTCTCCACTCCCCTGGGTCCCCAAACCTCTCCCGTCTCCCCTACCTCCTGGTACGCCCCTCTCTCTCCAGTGCTCCCCGGCCCCCCAGATGGCGGTTCCCTGCCCCCCTCTGAAGTCAACAGCACCCCTTCCTCCTCCCCTACCGATTCCACCTTCAGTACAGTCACATCTAATAACAAGCCCGGCGCATCTTCCCCTGCTTCCTCCACCGCCTCCCCTCCCCCCGCTTCTGTGGCCTCTTCCGCCCCTGGAGGGGGGCTGTGCCCTGGGATAGACGGCGGGGTGTGCAATTTCCGCATGTCTTCTCGCACACATTTCATTCTCATGCGTTTCGTCTCCCTCTTCACTGTCGTCTCCGGCCTCGGCTATCTCTCTTGGAAAAGCTACATGGTGGGGCGAAATATCACCCAGGCCGGGCCGGCCTGCCTCCTATTCCTCTCTACCGAAATCCTCGTCTTCCTTTCCTCCTTCATGCTCGTTGTGGAGCTCTCGAAACCGGCAAAAGAGAGGAAGGCTTTAAGCATGCCGCCATCTGGACCGTTTCCCCGCGTGGCGATCCTCATCTGCTGCTGCAGCGAGAAGATAGATGTTATCCAGGACACGGTTAAAGGGGCTATGAGCCAGAATTACCCTGGGGAGAGGTACACTGTGTGGGTGTTGGACGATGGGGGGGACGATGAGCTCAAGGCGTGGGTGGAAGCTGAAGGCATGGAGGGGTGGAGTGGAGGAGGAGGGGTTGCTTCCGCTCAGCACCAGCTGCAGCCGCCACACCAGCAGCAGCAGCAGCAGCAGCAGCAGCAGCAGAGCCCGCTAGATCTGATGCAGCAGCAGCAGCAGCTGATGGTGCAGCAGCAGCAGCAGGGCCGGCGGCTGTTCTACCTCCGTCGCCCCAAGAAGAAAGGCGTGCCTCACCACTTCAAGGCCGGGAACATCAACTATGGGCTCCATTTTGCATGCGGAGAGTTTGTGGCGGTGCTCGATGCGGATATGATCCCCTCGCCGTTCTTCCTGTCGGCGCTCCTGCCACATATTGTCGGGGAGGAGAAGGGCGACGTGGCGTTTGTGCAGTGCCCGCAGTCGTTTTACAACATCGTGAAGGGCGATCCGCTGAACGACTCGTCGCAAGACTTCTACGACGTGCTTCTTCCATACAGGTGCGTGCTTGCGCGGGTGTACATGCCTGGCGTTTGTGCAGTGCCGGCAGTCGTTCGACAACATTGTGAAAGGGGACTCATCGCAAGACTTCTGCGGCGTGCTTCTGCCCTACAGGTGTGTGCTTTGCTCCTCTCTTGAGGCATGGGCATGCATGCGTGCATGCGTGCCTGTGCCATACAGCTGCCTCTTTGTGCAGTGCCCGCAGTCGTTCTCTACTATCGTGAAGGGGGACTCGCTGATTGACTCGTGAGTTTTGAGTCGACTCAAAAGGTGAGTTTTGAGTCGAATCAAAAGTCAGATCGTGAAAGGGGACCCGCTGAATGTCTCGTCGCAAAACTTTTACGACATTCTCCTTCCCTACAGGTGTGTGCTGGTGCAAGTATGCGTGTGTGTACAGGTGCGTGCATGCCTGCATGTGAGGTGCCTGCGTGTGAGGTGCCTGCGCGTGCCCACATCGTTCTATTTTGAGGTGCCTCAAAAATATTCTCTCCAATCCGCTTGCCCCTTTCCTGGTCTGCATCCTCTCTTTTCACAGACGACTTTTGAGGAGACGATGCAGACCAGACCGTGAAGTCCTTTCCTGGTCTGCATTCTCTCTTTTCACAGGGACGGCCGTGACAGTGCACAGTGTGTGGGCATGGGGCTCATCTTCCGCTCATCCCACCTGAGGCCATTAGTCTTCCACCCTCCTGACTCCCATTCTCTCTCCCCCCATCTCCCCCCCCACCCCCCTCTTTTGCTTTCTCAGAGATGGTCGTGACAGTGCACAGTGTCTGGGCACGGGAGTCAACTTCCGCTCGGCTCACCTGCATGCCATAGGCGGCTTCCACTCTCCTGACACCCCCCTCCTCTCTCCCCCCCTCTCCCTCTCCCCTCCCCCTCCCCCTCCCCTCCTCCTCCCCCTCCCTCCCTTTCCCGGCCCATTCTTTCTCAGAGATGGTCGAGACAGTGCACAGTGTGTGGGCACGGGAGTCATCTTCCGCTCGGCTCACCTGCAAGCCATAGGCGGCTTCACCGTTGGGTCGATCACGGAGGACTTCGACACGGCGATGACACTGCATGCTCGCGGATACAAGACTGCCTATGTCAACCAGGTGAGCGAAGATGCGAGCATACTGCAATGGCCATGCAGAATCCATCCACCTTCCATTCAGCTCACTTGCGAGTGATTGGTGGCTGCACTGTGGTGTCTATCAGAGAGGATTTTGACACTGCTTATGACCTTCTTTTGAGTCTGACTCAAAGTAAGTGGCTGCACTGTGGGGTCTATCAGAGAGGATTTTGACACTGCTTATGACATGACCCACACGCAAGGGGATACAAGGCTGCTTATGCCATGCAGGTGAGCTCGAAAGATGCTTCTAGACGCTTGAATGCCAGGCATGGCACGTGTTTGTCCTCCCAGCACAGAGGTTCTTAGGGCACCCTGATGCGGCTATAATATGACCCTGCGTGCTCGAGAACACCTATGTGGTTCAGGTGAGTTGAAATGAATGCATGTGGACCGAAGGAGGACATAACAATCAATTTGGGTTGTAATGTGTCGATTTTTGAGTCAACTAAAAAATCGACTCATTACACACGGATTTTTGAGTCGGCTAAAAAATCGACTCATTACACACGGATTTTTTAGTTGACTCAAGAATGCATGTGGAGGACCGAAGGACGACATGACAATCAATTTGGGTTCTTGCCATATATGTGCACATTTTATGTCTATCCCAGAGGGCTCTGGCACTGCTACGCCTCTACATGCGCGGGGATAAAAACAGTACCACTAAACATACCAGACAATCAACAACATTTATTTTCATGCTGCATATGATACCAGGGTGTGACGAGATGCACCACCTTGAAAACATGCACATGCATATCGAGATTGTCTCCGCTACAAGCAAGCATACTCTTCCTTGTTCTTCCTTCTCACTCTTCTTGTTTATAACAGAGGCTACAGGCGGGCCTCGCCCCTTGGAGTCTTGAGGGGTACATCAAGCAGCACCAGCGGTGGGCCACAGGCAGCCCGCCGATCCTAGATAGATTTCTCACTCTTTGCTTCTGCATGCGTCTCTTCTCTCTCACGTGCTTGAAACAGAGGCTACAGGCGGGCCTCGCCCCCTGGTCCCTGGAGGGTACATCAAGCAGCACTAACGGTGGGCCACAGGCAGCCATCATACGCCGACTTGCCCCCTTGCTCGCCCTTGTGTTTGTGCCCCATCTCTCTTGCTTGACTGGTACAGAGGCTACAGGCGGGCCTCGCCCCTTGGAGTCTGGAGGGCTACATCAAGCAGCACCAGCGGTGGGCCACAGGCAGCCTGCAGATACTGTTACACCGTAACCCGCTTCTGCTGCGCGCCCCCAAGTTCAGTCTCTACCGCCGCATCTCGTATTGGTATGCTGGTAAGTAGTCTCTGGCCCTTTCCCCCTGCGGTCTTGCTCCCCGCTTGTTGGTGCTGAATTATTTAATGTCACACACGCTTACACACATGCACGCAGGCACACACGCATGTAGACACGCACACACGCATGCATGCACGCACGCACGCACACACGGCGCGTGCCTGCATACATACGCACGCACAGACTCACGCACGCACGCAATAGCAGTCACATGTGCATTCACACGGCACAGAGACTTGCACGCATGTGCGTTCCACGTTCCCCACCCCACAACCTCGCACGCACTCATCTGTCTTCCTACAACCTCGCACGCACTCATCTGTCTTCCTACAACCTCGCACGCACTCATCTGTCTTCCTACAACCTCGCACGCACTCATCTGTCTTCCTACAGCCTCGCACTCACTCATCTGTCTTCCTACAACCTCGCACTCACTCATCTGTCTTCCCTCCCCGCCAGGCGTGCAGTACTACCTGAACGTGATCGTCATCATGATCCTCGTCCTACCTGTCCTCATCCTGGCCCTCGATCTCCGCATCATGCCGCCCGGCCCCATCTTCGAAACCACCCGCCTCTACATCATCCTCCTCGTCCCCTACGTCTTCGCCTCCCGCCTCCTCTGCCTCGGGCTCTTCTCCCGCCTCCCTAACGGGATGATGGTCCAGCTAAGGGGCGAGCAGGTCTGGTACTGGATGTCATTTTTCAACTGCATGGCGATCCTCCGGTTCTTTTTCCCGTTCATAAGCAAGAAGTTTGAGGCGACGGGCAGCACGAAGAAAAAGGCGCCGGCGGTGTGGGAGAGGCTGCTGACGGTGTGGTTCCATGTGGGCTTCTGCGTGGCCGGGGTTGGCGCGGTGGCGTGGCGGTTTGCCACTGTTGACTTTCATGATTGCGGAATGGTACGTATGTGAGAATACCTTGTGCCATCTGGCGTGTGGGAGAGGCTGCTGACGGTGTGGTTCCATGGGGGGTTTTGCGTGGCCGGAGTTGGCGCGGTGGAATGGCGGTTCGCCACAGTGGACTTTCATGATTGCGGAATGGTGAGTGAGAATGTCCCTCAAATCTTTAAATACGGTGTGGGAGTGGCTCATGACAGTGTGGTTCCATTCGGGGTTCTGCGTGGCTGTAGTTAGGCACGGTAGTGCGGTGGCTTTCATGATTGCGGAATGGTAGGTACGTGGAAGCTCTATCAGCATACTTGCTCTCCTCCTGGCTAGAACTATGCTGCCAATGCGTTAAGATCTGATCTCCTTCCTCATTGTACTTCCATTGCTGTTCCACCTTTGTCTCGCTCCATCCACCCTCCGCAATCCTTTCCTTCTCTCCCATTATTTGCATCCATCGCAGCTTCTGAAGGTCACCTCCTGGGCTCCCTTCATCCTGTTCTCCGTGCAAAGCATGCTCGTGCCGATAATGCATGTCCTCGTGTCCCCGACGCATCCTAAGCCGGAGGATCGAAGGAAGCTCCTTTCGTATGACGAGTATGGGGTGCCATATTTGAGGGAAGACCAGCTGCTGCCGAAACGTGACTATTGCGTCTTGCTCTTCAACATCATTCCTGCCATTTGGGCTCTGACCATAGGATTTTATTTCTACGCGGCGATCACGAATTTTAGACCTGGGTTTTGTACCAAGAGCGGGTTCTTTGGGTATGCTAGGTTTTAGTAACTTAGCATTTTGCCTTAGTAGCGCCCTTGAGCAGTTGTGATGTAGTTGTATCAATATAGGTGACCTTAGTTCTTACAGGTGACTGAAACGGGTGGTCGTGTTGCGGTGTGGACTATTTCTCACCGACCTCAGGTCCACCGATTTCAACAATCGAGTTCGTTCAAGTTCCAACAACCAACGGTTTCGATTCCTCCCTCCCCCAAGCCCAGCCAGAACAGTGCAAAGCGCGTTGGCTTGTCGGACGGGCCGACAAACCCGACGACGAAGTTGACGGAGGGCTAAACCTGGCGGAAAGCAGTAAAAAACTGTACTACAATCACAAGGCAAAGCCTTGCTTTGAAGCTCCAAAACAACCTCCAAACAGAATTTGACCGTGATAATGCAAAATCCTGTAGTATTTCATCTGCCCCTTGCTTCTGTGTTATGTTCCTCCAATCCAACCACCCCATCCCTTTTCCCAAGCTCCTGCTCCACAGGGAAAATTAGGGGCCAATTTCTAGTTCGCCCCCATAGCCTCGTGTGCCACCACCAACTACGGTCCACATGTTACGATGTCGCGGCGCAAGCTGACGCGACGAGGTAAAAATGTCGGTGCTGCTAAAAAAGCGCGTACTGTTCACGACCCGGTCTTTTCTTTACTGCTAGTGACCAGTCCACGCCCGTGCGCAGGTCTAATAACTCCATCTGCCCCGTTGAGCTCTAGTTGACTGGGAGAACTCTAGGTTCGACTGGGAAGGTGTCATCGTTCCTGTATTTGACGCGATTGTGTAAGGCACTCGACGCGGTTTTCTCTCCACCCTACTACACCCTCTCTTACGTCGCGGCCCGCGGGACTGTTAGTCAGACTCAGAGGGAAAGCACCTCGCGCGCTTTCTTAGTCGACTCACGAACAGACTCGATAGATTCGTATGCGATAAGTCGTCCCGCCAGGTGCTCGCTTCTCAGTAAGCGCGATCCTTTTGAGATTCCTGAAGACAAATTTTGCTGTGAGCGAGCCTGCGCGTTTTGAGGCGCCTTAGTTCCCGAGCCAGCGCGTATTAAAGCCCAAGCCAGCGCGTATTAAAGCCCGCGTCTCATATTTCCTGAAGGCAGCAAATGTCGGCGGCGCGTACGAGCGTCCACGAGACCGTAATGCGACGTCTCGACATAAAGGGGCTACTAACGCTCGCCTTAACTGCGTACTTCTTTTGCGCTGCGTGCCGCGCTGACACAGACTCCGCGTCGGCCACTCGTAGTACGACACGTGTAAATAACGGCGGGAGAAGGCTCGCGACGACGGCCGCGAATGGGGTAACCAGCTTGCAGCCGACGCAGGCGACATTGTGTAACTTCTCCCGCGGCGGGCAGTGGCTTTCGCGAAACAAGGCTCCCTACGGCGCCGACTGCCCCTTCCTCAAGGTACGAACGGTGTTAGCGCCCGTGCGGTGATTCTATTAGCGCCCGTGCGGTGATTCTATTAGCGCCCGTGCGGTAATATTAGTAGCGCCCGTGCGGTGATTTTATTAGCGCCCAGCGCCGTACACCTCTCGCCTTCCGCCCGGAACGCGTCCTTACAACCCCCGCTTTTCCCTCTCCCCCCACTTCCCCCCCACCCCACCCTTGCCCCCCTCCCCCCCCAATCCTCCCTACCCGACCGCCTCGCCCGTTTCGCGGCAGAATGTCGGCCCGGTGAACTGCATTATCAAGCCCAGGAGCCGACCCCAGAATTGGCTGGTAAGGAACGGGTTGGGCGCGGATTTTTGAGGCGCCTAAAAAATCGTCCCAAGAATTGGCTGGTAAGGAACGGGTTGGGCGCGGAGAGGGGTTCGGGAAAGGCGGGCGCTTAACCGCTGTGCTAATTTGCGCTCCGCCGGTGAGCTGGACTCCGGGCTAGCAAGCCCCGAAATCGACAGTGCGATGCCAACACCCCCCCCCCCCCCACCCACCACCCCCCCCCCTCTCCCCCCTCCCTCTTGTGCGACTTAGATACTGTACGTGCCAAGGAACTGCGGGAGGCCTCTCCTCTTGATCTCCAACCCAACTTCCTTTCCCGTATCCCATTCCCCCTTCCGCGTGATAGGAGTCTAGTTTTGAGGCGCCTCAAAACTTTCCCGTATCCCATTCCCCCCTCCCCTTCTCCCCCCCCACCCCACCCTGCCTTCCCCCTCTCCCTTCCCCCTTCCGTCTCCCCCAGAACTACCGTTTTCGGCCCAGGAACTGCGGGCAGCCATGGTTTTCCTTCAGCCCCCTGGCTTTCCTCGAACGAATGAGAAACAAGTGAGCGGCTTGCTTGAACGGGAAAAAAAGCAGCGGATCGCGTTTGCAGGGTGTGGCGCGCAGGGGCTCGTGTGCAAACGGTTTGTCTCTAACTTAGAGGAAAGCAAAAGCGGGAGGGGTGCCAACCCCTAAACTTGAAGTTTTCTGGGAAAGGAATTGATCCAATGGCTGACTCGGACTTGCTCCCGTCTTTCTATCTTGCAGGGTGTTTGCGTCGGCAGGCGACTCTCTCTCTGTCAGCAACCTTATGCCGTCCCTGCTGTGCCAGGTGGGTGAGCTGTCGCTGTTGGTTACCACTCCGAACTGGTAACCAGCTACTGTAACCAGTTGTTGTAAATGTTTGTTTCTGTGGGCGACTCTCTGTCAGCAACCTCATGCCCTACCTTCTGTGTCAGGTAAGCTGTTGCTGCAGCTACTCTCTGGTTGCTGATTTGTTTGTATAAATATGTAATTATTTTTATCTTTATTTTTTTGTTTAGTGATTTATTCATTTATTCAGCTTCACAACTCTTTATTCACTGCTTTCTGAGGGCATGGTTTGCACATGTTTTCTCTCCCTTTTTCGCTGCTCCTTTTTATCATCCTTAACCCTTATCTTATAAACTTGTGTGTTTTTGTTGTTTTTTCCTTTCCTGTTCTCTATGCAGCTACACAAAGTCTCTCCCGTTACGGAGATTCTTAATGACGGCACATATGCACGGCAGAGCCCGCTCACTAAAGTGTACCTAGTCAAAGCATACAACGTCACCCTAATCAACACGTGGAGCACGTTTCTTAACGAGTACTGGCAAGATGAGGAGGTGAGCTAGGCTAATTTAGTTCTATCCATAATGATTCTTGCAAAGCTGAATAATTGTTTCTATCAATTTGCATGCCAACCTGCTCCCTGATTCCTTCCCCAAGACCCCTCAGCCCACCTCCTTTCCCTCCTTTCCCCTCCTCTCGCACCAAAGTGTCAGGCGGTAGACCACCGAAGGTGCTGGCCCACGAGCAACCGATCTCAACAACATCTTTGCCTCCCCCTCCTCTTCTGTGTGTATCCATCCTTCTCCCCCCCCCCCCACAACCCCGCCAGACTGTCAAGCAGTACAATGGCGGTGCGGACTTAACAGATGAGGATTCGGTGGTTAATCTCGATGGGCTCGATGCGCAGTGGGCGGCTTATATCGGGCAGTACGATGTGCTTATATTGCAGACGCAGGCGCACTGGCAGGCCACCAAGTACAAGTGGCGCCGATTCTGGGTGAACAGTACCGGGGATCAAATCTTCAACGAGTCGAGATTCGTTGCTGCCTTTGAGTAGGTGCAGTCTGGTGATAGTTGAAAGAAGTCTTGACCATGGCAATGAGGCATGCCTCAAACTGCCCTCTTCGCTTGTTAGCCTTTTGCTGTTCTTCACACGCCCTGGCCATGGCAATGTGTCAAACACTTTTTGTTTGTTTGTTGGTTTGTTTGTTTGTTTTTTCCCCTTTTCTTTTCAGGTATGGCATGGCAGCGGTCAGAGATCTCCTCGACCAACCAGAGGCGCCGATAACTTATTTCATATCTGCCCCGGCTCGGTTAGATGGGTGCACGAAGTTGAAGGCACCAAACACAGATGCTCAGGTGATTTATACCTTATATTACTGTCTTTCCCTTCATTTGCGATCTGGCAAGGCATCCCTTTTACCCTCTATTCGTCTATTGAGTTGTCTTACAAGACTTCCTTCGTCTTTCTCGTTTCCTACACGTGTGATGGTATACAGGTTGCAACCATTCGCAAAAGTAACCGCCAATTTGTTGCGTGGTTACCAGTTCAGCAGAGGGCATTCAAAGGCACACGGATACGGTTGATTGATGTGACCACATCGTCCCTCTATAGGCCAGATGCATTCGTTGGGTCGGGTGGAGTGAATAAGGATTGCTTACATTGGTGCCTTCCAGGCGTTCCGGATTGGTGGGTCGCTATGGTCAATCACTTTTTGACCAATGAGCCTGCGTTGGCTGTGTGATCTGTATGTTATGGAAATTCAGCCCTTTTTTTTTTTTTTTTTTTTAGATAAGGGGAAATTTAAAATCATTCTGTGCATTAGATATCCATGTGTTACTTTGTATGCGAGTCGCACCCAATTCGCCGAACGTGCTTCAGCATCGCCGCGTCGTGCGCTCCGACAGCCCCGTGCACAAATGTGCGACTTCGCCTCGCCAGCGAAAGAAGCTTGACTATCGCATCCGCGTCAACTTCGTCGGATGTAGCGAAGCAGGCGATCTCCTACACGACCCTTTTCTCGATCGTCATCGCTCGAGCTCACACCTTTCTAGTCGGCGTCGCTCCAATTTTGTTAGGTTCCTCTCGTTAGGTTTTGCGTTACGCCCGCGTGTCTCGAAATTAGCCCCTTCGCCTTTGCCCCTGCCTGCCCGCGTGTATTGAGATTAGAAAGCTTCTGAAACTCGCCCAGTAATTTCCTCCAGAGCTATCTAGGCGTGTTATAGACGGTTTGAACTTTCGTAAACCGAGCTATTATGCGGCTTATGACGCTCTGAGACCCGAGTGTTAGTAATTTCGTTTTGAGTCGACTCGAAACGCTCTGAGACCGCCTGACAGCGTTATCTCAATCCCCCTGATGGTGACTGCGGCGGTGCGCTTTTGAGTCGACTCAAAAGCAGACCCGTGTGTTAGTGATTTCGTTTCGGGTCGACTTGAAACGCTCTGAGACCCTTTCAGCACTAGCTCAATCTCAACCCCCTGATGGTGACTGCGGCGGCGCGTCGACCGGCCCGTGTCAGCTCGTACTGCATCACACTAGTTCTCCCCCGGAAGCTTGTTTCTCATCGCCTTACCGCCTCCGCACTCCTTCTTCTGTCTCTTTTGGCAGTTTCTTTACCCGTTTCGATTCAAACTGGCATCGCTAGCAGGAGCATCGTCGACGGAAACACCGCTAATAGAACCACCGTTAATGGTACTAGATTCGTTGCGAGCGCCCAAATCGCTAGCAGATGGGGGGAAGGGGCCGTTCTAGAGGCGAAGGCGAGGGTGACTGAGCAGAAGGTGATTACAGCGAGGTGTAACTTCTCCGTCGGTCGATGGCTGCCCGTGACTCCGGGGATGCAGTACCCGTACCGCGCCGACTGCCCATTTCTCAAGGTGCGCGCGGCTTTTCGTGCGCAGCTTTGTGCGCCAACTGCCCCCCCACTCCCCCCCTCCCCCCCTCAACCCCACCCCCGGTGACTTCGCTGGGGATGCAATACTCGTGTCGCGCCGACTGCCCTTTCCTCAAGGTGCGCAGCATTCGGTACCCTTGTAGTTCCCAAGGTGGGAAAGGGCCGTCGCCTTGAAGACGGAAAGTGCCGTCGCCTTGAGGCGGGAAAGGGCCGTCGCCTTGAGGCGGGAAAGGGCCGTCGCCTTGAGGCGGGAAAGGGCCGTCGCCTTTAGGCGGGAAAGGGCCGTCGCCTTTAGGCGGGAAAGGGCCGTCGCCTTGAGGCGGGAAAAGAACACAAGCGGCCCATTTCAGCCCCTTCGTTCCTTGGTAACCGCTGGCACCTTCCTTCCCCCTCCTCTCCCCCCCTCTCTCCCCGAACCTCCTTTTCTCCCCCACAGGGCATTGGCCCCGTGAGCCTCCTCGCCAAAAAGCACAAGCGGCCCTATTCAACCCCTTCATTCCTTAATAACCCCTGGAACCTTCCTCTCCCCCCTCTCCCTCCGCTCCTTCCTCTCCCCCCTCTCCCTCCGCTCCTCCCTCTCCCCCCTCTCCCTCCGCTCCTTCCTCTCCCCCTCTCCCTCCGCTCCTTCCTCTCCCCCCTCTCCCTCCGCTCCTCCCTCTCCCCCCTCTCCCTCCGCTCCTCCCTCTCCCCCCTCTCCCTCCGCTCCTCCCTCTCCCCCCTCTCCCTCCGCTCCTCCCTCTCCCCCCGCTCCCTCCGCTCCCCCCTCTCCCTCCGCTCCCTCCGCTCCCTCCGCTCCTCCCTCTCCCCCCTCTCCCTCCGCTCCCCCCTCTCCCTCCGCTCCCTCCGCTCCCTCCTCTCCCTCCTCTCCCTCCTCTCCCCCCTTCCCCCTTCAGGGCATTGGCCCCGTGAGTTGCCTCGTCAACAAGCACAAGCGGCCTTTCTCCTGGCTGGTGAGTCAAGGGCATCTTCGTTAGTAGAAAACCCGCTATGAGAAGTGTTAGTTGACTAGTTTTAGACGGAATACGGCTGCCAGGGCATTGGCCCCGCGACCTGCTTCTCCAAAAGACACAAGCGATCTTTCTCCCGGCTGGTGGGTCAAGGGCATCTCCGTTAGTAGCAGACTCGCTAACTGCTGGGTTCACGAGTTTCAACACCACGAAAGTAGGCGTGGCATAGCATTGGTCCTGTGAGCCGCCCCGCTTCAACAAGCACACGCGGCCTTCTCCTGGCTGGTGAGTCAAGGGCATCGTCCTCCCAGCACCAGGGATAAGTGTGTTTAGTTACCACTGGCAGCCGTCAGAGTGCCTCACTCCTCTCATCTTGAGGCGCCTCAAAACACCTTCTGTGCATGCGTGCTTTTGCACTGCCTGTGCTTTTGTGCATGCACGTGTCAACCTCTCTCCTCTCCTCCCCCCCAACCCAGAGCTACCGCTGGCAGCCGTCAGGGTGTCGCACTCCTCTCTTCTTCCGCCCCAGACTTTTTCTAACGCTTATGAGAAACAAGTGAGTGAGGGGGAAGGGGGGGAAGGGGGGAAGGGGGGGAAGGGGGGGAAGGGGGGGAAGGGGGGGAAGGGGAGGAAGGGGTGGGGGGAGAGTGGGAGTGAGTGACAGGGTGGGCTTTAAGCAAGATTGGATTCGTTTCCTATTTTCCGTCAATTGCTGCACTTCGTGGTCAAAGAACCAGACACTTCCTCGCTGCGTGCACACCACTTGGCTCTGCAGGGTGTTTTTGAGAATTCTGAAAATAACTTCCTCCCTGCGTGCACACTGCAGGGCTCTGCAGGGTGTTTTTGAGAATTCTAAAAAACACTTCCTCCCTGCGCGCACACTGCAGGCCTCTGCAGGGTGTTTTTGAGAATTCTAAAGATAACTTCCTCCCTGCGTGCACACCGCAGGGCTCTGCAGGGTGTTTTTGAGAATTCTAAAAATAACTTCCTCTCTGCGTGCACACCGCAGGGCTCTGCAGGGTGTTTTTGAGAATTCTAAAAATAACTTCCTCTCTGTGTGCACACCGCAGGGCTCTGCAGGGTGTTTTTGAGAGCTCTAAAGAAATACTTCCTCCCTTCAAGCACACCACAGGGCTCTGCAGGGTGTTTTTGAGAATTCTAAAACACACTTCCTCCCTTCAAGCACACCGCAGGGCTCTGCAGGGTGGTTTTGAGAGAGAGAAAAAAACTTCCTCCCTTCAAGCACACCGCAGGGTTCTGCAGGGTGTTTTTGAGAATTCTAAAAAAATACTTCCTCCCTTCAAGCACATTCCAGGGCTCTGCAGGGTGTTTTTGAGAATTCTAAAAAAACATTTCCTCCCTTCAAGCACACCACAGGGCTCTTCCTCTCCTTTCCTTCGTCGTGGTGCTCAGGTGCCCATGCGCCTTCATGTTCAAAGAACCAGAAGCTTCCTCCCTCTTTTCTGTCGGTTTCTTCTCTTTGGCCCTTCTGTGGCAGGTGCTCTTCTGTTGGTTTCCCTCCCCCCCCCTCCCCTCCCCCACCACTCGCCTTGCGCCTCTTCCTCACGTCCCCATGTCCTTCGATTCTTCCTCCCCTCCTCCATACCTCCCTCCATTCTCTCAGAGTGTTTGCATCAGCTGGCGACTCCCTCTCTTACTTCAACTTCGTTCCGTCCCTTCTGTGCCAGGTGCTTTTCCTCTCTCCTCGTTAAAAAAAAAAACAAATAATTATATGGACGTGTACAAACTCATCTGGCGAATCCCTCTCTTACGTCAACTTCGTTCCGTTCCGTCTGTGCCCGGTATCCTCTATAGGTTCCCCCCCACCCCTCACTCCCTCCCTCTCCCCTCCCCTCCCCCCTCTCCCCCCCCCCCCTTCACCCCCCGTCCCCCCCCGTCCTCCCCCCCTTCCCCCCCCCTTTTGATTCTCCCCATCATATTGCCTAACAGACAATGGAATAAACCGTCTCATTCCCCGCTCCAGCCTAGAGTACAATGTCTACGTCGTTCTTAAGTACTGATCTCTCCTCCCCTTTACACCGAGTCTCCCCAGTGCGCCAGAGCCCAGTCTCCCTCCCCTCGTCTCGCTCCCCGAACCAGCCTAGTCTGCCGCATGCTTGAATACAACGTCACACCAGGAGCACTCACCCTCCCTCCCTCCCCTCCCATGCTGCCTCCCCCTCCCAACTACCCACCGCAGTTGCACCGCCTTTCCCCTGTTCGCCAGATTCCAGTCCCGGCACGTCTTGCTCCCAGGACCAGCCTGGTCTACCACGTGCCCGAATACAACGTGACTATAGTGAACACATGGAGCACTTTCCTTAATCAGTATTGGCAGGACAAGAAAACCCTCTCTTTATACAACAAGGGCAGGGTAATTACTCCGGAGGATTCGGTGGTGAATCTGGAGGGGGTGGATTGGCGGTGGGGGCGGTACTTAGCTAAGTACGACGTGCTTCTACTGCAGTCTGCTGCGCACTGGCAGGCGAAACGCTCGAGGTGGCGGCGGTTCTTTACTGACAGACGAGGGCGAGTTGCTTATAAGGAGTCACGCTACTTGCGCGCGTTCCAGTAAGAGGAATCCCGTCATGCACACTATACCCAAAACAATCAAGTCTGATTGCGCCAAAACACCCTTTCCGCCGATGTTTCCGAATCACGTCCACAAGCAGCCAACCACCTGCTCCGTTGCCTACGGAACGTGCCCTCGTTTTCATGGGTGTTTCCCTTCTTTACCCCCGTCTCCCAGAGCCGGCATGCAGAGTGTGAAGAAGCTGGTAGACCGGGCCAATGACAGAGGGACACGTGGCAGCAGCAGCAGCGGTAACAGCAGTCGCAGGAGCAGGAGCATCAACAGTGTTAGAGGCAACAGTAGCTTCGGCAGCAAGGGTGGTGGTGACAAGTGGCCTGTGGTGTTCTTCCTCTCTGCCCCTGCGAAGCAGAACGGTTGTTCTTTCGCTACCCAGCCACGCACAGAGGCAGAGGTGAGAGGCCGGAATGAGCGGTTTGAAAGAATGTGCTTGGGTTCAATTGGCGGTTTGAAAGAACGTGCTTGGGGTCAATTGGCGGTTTGAAAGAACGTGCTTGGGGTCAATTGGCGGTTTGAAAGAACGTGATTGGGGTCAATTGGCGGTTTGAAAGAACGTGCTTGGGGTCAATTTGCGGTTTGAAAGAACGTGCTTGGGGTCAATTGGCGGTTTGAAAGAACGTGTTTGGGGTCAATTGGCGGTGTGAAAGAACGTGCTTGGGTTCAATTGGCGGTTTGAAAGAACGTGCTTGGGGTCAATTGGCGGTTTGAAAGAATGTGTTTGGGGTCAATTGGCGGTTTGAAAGAACGCGCTTGGGGTCAATTGGCGGTTTGAAAGAACGTGCTTGGGGTTAATTGGCGGTTTGAACGAACGTGCTTGGGGTCAATTGGCGGTTTGAAAGAACGCGCTTGGGGTCAATTGGCGGTTTGAAAGAATGTGCTTGGGGTCAATTGGCGGTTTGAAAGAACGTGCTTGGGGTCAAAGGGTGGTTGTTGAAGCAAGTGGTCGGTGGGGACAATTGTGCTTTTAGGGTTTCCTATATGTACTCCAGATTTCCCAATATGTCAACCGAATCCCTAAAATGTCCAAATTGCTGCCCCTACAGCGCAATATTGTCTCCCAATCGCACATGCGCCTTAAAGACATAGTTTCATCCCACCATATCCCCTCCCAACCTTCTTTTTCTGTGTACCTCCCCCCCCTCACACCCCACCTGCTCCAGGTTTCACTGTACCGTGACCAAAGCGTTCAGATGACGAAGTGGCTGCCCCTGCAACGCAGCGTCTTTTCCCAATCACACATACGCCTTATAGACATCACCTCTGCTTCGTTATACCGCCGGGACGCTTTCGTTGGGTCGGGCGGAATTAACAAGGATTGCATACATTGGTGCCTTCCGGGTGTTCCGGACTCTTGGGTCGCAATGGTGCTTGGTGCCATGCTTAGAGAGCGACGATTGGTTGGATCAATAGGAAGAATAGGATTTCCAGGTGTAGGTGGTGGTTTAGGAGCGGGAAAGGGACCGCCTTACAGAGAGGACAGTACGGCCCGCAATGAGGTGGTGAACTTGGAGAGGAAGAGAAAGATCGGAACGGGGGTGCTTAATCTCATAGCAAGGAAAAGGGAGAATCTGTTCTTCCACTTCCATAAGCACAGACCAAATTCATAATTTGCGTAGGGTTATGTGATGGTTTTCCATCTGGCATTCATACCCTCGGAACTCTCAAAACTGAATAATAGTTAGAGAAGGAGAGTACAAGGTAATATAAGGTAGGGAGTTGTACCCTCTAAGACACAAACCTGTATAGTCTACAGTAACATACGAAGATAAGTTTGACACACCCCGTAGACTATATAGGGGCAGTGCCTAACACGAGAACAAGCAGCTCAGGGCGGCACTACTAGTCCAGCCTCTGAGGCAAGGGTCTAAAGACCAGTCAATAGGAGTACAAACAAAACAGGAGAAAGACCAGGGCGGCACTACTAGTCCAACCACTGGGAGAAGCCACAAGGCCAGTCTGGGTAATACATATATATAATGTCTGTACACAGTCAAGGTCCTAGCAAGTGCGAGGCAACAGGAACAAGACCAAGCTGTAAGCAGTGCCGCTGATGATCTTTAGGCGCAAGCGCCTTCGTAAAGATATCAGCTGTGTTGGCACCGGAGGCCAAGTGTACTACACGAGCCTGGCGACGCTGCTGCAGCTCGCGCATGAGGAAGTACCGCAGCTGGATGTGCTTCGCTCTGCCCTCGAGTCGAGGCTCCTGACACAGGAGGATCATGGCCCTGTTGTCAGCGTACAGGACCGGGGCAGAGCTAGGCCGCTCACCTAAGTCAGTGAGCAAGAAGGTCAGCCAGCGGAGCTCCTGTACCGCCATGGCACCGGCGTAGATCTCGGCCTCACAGCTGGACTGGGCAACAGATGAAGAGCTAGCAGCTCTCCACGAGACAGCACCTGAGCCAAGACTAAAGCAGTAGCCTTGTGAGGACCTAAGGGTCTCGGCGTCGTTTGCCCAAGAAGCGTCTTTGTGCCCAGTAAGGACCACTGGCCTGCGTCCTCCCAGCACTAACCCCAAGCCTGATGTACTCGCGAGATAACGCAAAACCCTCTTAGCTGCGGACCAGTGCTGAGGTCTGTGTCTGCCAGTGGCCACAAAGCGAGCCAGGATGCTGAGAGGGTATGCGAGATCTGGACGAGTGCAAGTCATCAGGTACATGTGGCAACCCACCAGCTCTGCGTAAGGACCACTGGGCTCTGCTGACTCCTCAGGGACTGGAGCAGAGAGCCAGTGATCTACTGGAAGTGGTGTGGGCTGTGCGGAGGAGAACTGAAGACCAAACCTCCGAAGGACCTGACGCACCAAGTGTGACTGGGTGAGAGTGATGGTGCGTGCTGCTCTGTCTCTAGAGATCTGCAGGCCCAGGTAGTGGCGCAGCTCTCCTAGGTCAGTGCAGGTGTGTCTTCTCAGCAGCTCAGCCTTCACAAAGGCCAGCGCGGTGGTGTCTGTAGTGGCAAAGACCAGATCGTCTTCGTAAACAAGGATGTAGAACGGAGTCTGGCCAGAACGAACGAAGAGCGAGGGGTCTGTAGAGGACAGAAGTATGAGAGTACGACACCGTTACACCAATTTCCCCTTTTCATATTTCCTTTCTATTTCATTCCTCTTTTACTCCTGATTCATTTGGTCTTTATCTCATCTCATTTGGTTTCCTATTCCTCCTTTTCCATCATCCTTTGGTTTATCCTGTTATTATAATTATATCACCGACCAGGCTCGGGATGTACTGGCGCGCTATATCTAGCGTAATCCTGCCGTAATCCCTTAAAGCCAATAGCCTCGCGTGGCTATACGCATGGTGATTCTATTTCTAGAAGGGTCTATTCCCTTTGGATAGGATAAACCTGGGTACCTGATGTACTATGGAAGTATAAAAGCACCTTGTACTGATTGATAGTTCAACATTGAGCAAACCTTTCCTCGACACATTCGATCCTGTGACACTTGGTAATCAGAGCCAAGGTTTCAGCTCAACGCTTAACTGCTGGGCCCCCAGGAGCACGCCGAGGATGGAGTCGAAACTTCAATTCCTGTAAGTACAATGCACTTTCATTTAAGTTTCGACTAACCTCGCGCAGTTGCACCTGGGGTCCCCTTCGAAGGCGAGATGCCTCGCCAACCGTTCGATGGACTGCATCGACGGTGCCGATTTTTCGCGGGGGTTAACGGCCTCGACCTGGCGAGCGCGTCAGTTCCGGCGGAACACTCCCTGCGACATTCGGAGAAGTTCGCAGTTCGCGACAACACTTGGAGATGCGCAGAACTCTGCAGAGGTTCGATCGACGACATCCGTCCGATGGAGATTCGACGCTTCAGATCGACCGAGGCGAAAACGAAATCCATCTGAGCGAGTTTGCGTTTCGGCGCGAATGGGAATGGGACCTCGCAAGCCGCGAAGTTCTTCGGAGCGTCCGATCGTTCGACAGCCGACATCGACGACCGAGAATTGCTGCAGGAAACGAGTCAGCCCGGGTGCCGAAAGTTGCTGAACGCGACTCAGGAGTATCCTCAGATCGCTTGGAGTTTGGACCATCGGATCGACTTCTACTTCAACGGACGAGATGGAGCGCGACTTCTGCACAAAGGGAGATTGACGCGCAGAACAAGAAATCAGCCGTTTTCGACACCGCTGACATCATCTGGACAACCAGATTCGAATTTCTTCATTTGGTGACGAATTTGGCGCGCAAATCATCTGCGCAGTCAGAAATCTGCCAGAGTATTACCTACTTGGTAATAGCTGCAAGCAGAAAATTGACAGGAGAACGTGGATCGTCGGATTGGTGCGGAATCAACGGCACGAATACAGCAGAGACTACACTATGGGAAATCATCATCATGGAGACAACATTCGTGACCAGCGACTGCACAATCGACGCATCTTCTGACTGGTGTCGATAACGATCGAGTTATTTTGACGAAGTCATCTTCGTAAAAAATGGATCGACATCAACACAGCGAGATCTTCACCCAGGAAAAAAAAATGGAGCTGCGTGAAGACATGCTCTCCATCCATGAGACACTTCATCTAATAAATTTGATCGACAACCTATGGGATTGCAGAGAAGTAGCCGTTTTCTCTTGCAATGCTCCCAAGTTCAAGTTGCTGCGAAGGAGCAGATTTCGCATGCAACGATGACGCAGTGAACCCGTCTCGTCAAGGCCAGCGAGACACTACTTCATAACAGGAGCTGAACGATTCGTCTTCATCAAGAATCTCAGCCATCCGAAGTGATTGGTTGGAGATAATGCTGGATTATATTCCAGTGGATCGTTAAGACCTGGCCAGGCACAGTCCTATGATTTCGAGCTAGTGGGAAGGAGATACCACTATGCGAGGGAACATCATGGCAATGCCATATACCCTCAAGAGCAGAAGATATTTGCTCTTATGAGGATGGGAGGACCGCGGTACTCTACCGGTATACAAGTCCTCATGGCCTATGGCTTTCCTTAAAGTCATAAAACCTACGTCGCAACCAATCCATCACCAACACCAACTCCACGGAAGCAGATAGGCGTGAAATGGAGCGCCGACGCCACTCCGGATAGTGGACTCCGCGTATCTCCAATAACACCCGTGTTTGCCGAAATGGAGCAGACTTCAACACTGATGCTGGGTAGCTGAGACATCTTCTACATCAACGCTACTTCAAGGACAGTGACAGAATAAGACAACACATGATGGCACCAGAAGACCTATCCCAATATGTGCGCCCAGACACCGATGCCTACCGATGGCCTCCGTGCTAAACTGGAAGTGCATAAGGTCATACTGGATTGGCTGTCACCAATGCCCATTTGGAAATGGGAGAGGATTATTTGGTAATAGCCCCAACATTCCCAAATGTCCTAACCCATCACCGTGGGATATCTACACTAATGAGATTCCTTGACTGAGCAACCACCGGGGGAAACTACTTGGCACCGATTCTGGAAGTTACGAGCTCCGCGTTTATGGTACCAACCCCTCGCATGGTTCTGAACATAAGGGATACGCTGAGCAGCACTTCGCATCTGATGTTGTACTCGAGGCAGTGTGACTAGCAGATCGCGTGGTGGACCGGGTTACTACAAGTGATTCTGCTCTCCATCCCGCAGCACTACGATACCGAGTGGGTACGACTCGCGACAACACTAAGGCATGGACCAGCTCGACAGAAGCAGTACTATGACATGACTGCCATACCACCAACACTTGGAGATCTTCATACGTGGACCAGATGCGGGTAACAACATGCACAGCTCGGACAACATAGCCGCTCATCTGCACGTTACAGCACACTGTTCCAACCATTCACATCTCCAACTCCGACTTGCATCTGCCCGTCCTGGAGTTTACCTACAAGTATGCTCCTGACGCCGCTACTGGACAGACGCTGTACTTCGTCTGTTACGGACGCCACCCGATCACACCAACAGCTAACCATACCAGCCACAGTCCAACTGGCTTCCGATTTCATCGCCATCGTCCACCATCTTGTACATCGACCACACAAGCACCTCTTGGACATCCAACATCAGCACAAGCACTTGGCAACTCATCACTACCCTTCTCGAGACCATAATCTCGATATCAGCCAACTTCCATCCAAGCTTCAACCTTGCTTCTGCGGGACTTTCCTCGTTGAAGCAAATGTCACTTCAGTCAACTTCTGCTTCCGCCTACCAGCCACTTGGAAGATCCATAACGCCTTCCATACCAGCTTCTTAAACCCTATCAAGACCAAACACGCTCTACACCGAATGCCAACCACCGTCGCCGCCCGTGTTCATCCACACCATGGGACAACTACGTGCTCAGACACCGTCGTCGTCAGAATGGCACTCTGGAGCTTCTTCTTTGGTGGAAGGGTTCTGATCCTTCTGAGGCTGCGTCTCTGAATTCTACATGGGTAACGCCCGTCGTCCTCTTCGCGACTACCTTGTCAAGCAGGGTATTACTTCTACCACCCAGCTTTGAGGGGGGGAAGTGTGAGAGTACGACACCGTTACACCAATTTCCCCTTTTCATATTTCCTTTCTATTTCATTCATCTTTTACTCCTGATTCATTTGGTCTTTATCTAATCTCATTTGGTTTCCTATTCCTCCTTTTCCATCATCCTTTGGTTTATCCTGTTATTATAATTATATCACCGACCAGGCTCGGGATGTACTGGC